ATTCCGCAAACTTGCTTGCTGTATGATATCTATGTAGAATCATCTCCTATTACCAGTGGACCTATCCTATTCCCTATTTAGGACTCTGGATAGCTGTTCCGAAGATGACGCGCTGGTCATAGGGATCAGGGCGTCAATTCTCTCCCATATCAGGGCCCTCACCGCCTAATTCGACCTCCTTAACTCCCTCTATCGTAGCCTCTTGAGGACGCCAATCAAATGCTCCAGTTGGCTTCTCTGATAGAGCTAATTGAGGCTCTCGATTGTCACTCAAATGCTCACTAACCAGCATACGAAGTTGGAGATAGTATGCTTGGTAAGGAGTCATTGAATTGTCATCTTCTTGCAGATTGAATCCAAGGGATTGTAGTTGATTTTGACACCATTGATACGTCTTGGGAGGCAGAAACTCATCTATATCTAATAAGAGTTAGTAATAATAGATAGAACTATCTGAAATAGCTTACCCCATTCTTGTACGTCATTCTGTAACTCCCTTAAGGTCTCAGAGTCAATTGAGATACCCTGATTCTGAATATAAGGAGGAGGATGATGATACAGGATAAAAGGCTTGCCTGGCGTAACGTTCGGACGGTTACGTTGCTTGCGAATCGAATGAATATTCCAAGTTCGTACGAAACTCTGTATCTGGGTACGAAGAACTGGTATATAGATAGCAAGTAGAGCTATCTGATCGCTAAGGGCTGTCGGACTAAAGCTACCTTCTTGTAAGAGGACTCCAAAGTAGTTCTATAGCAGAATTAGTACATAGTAGCTACTGATAGTACTTCCTTACTCTTCATTAAAAAAGCAGTCCTTTTGTAAGCTGATTCCACCAAGCCTCAATTCGCTGGTTTGTTGTACTAGCTCCGTACATATAGCAGTCTTTGAGTTCTATAGCAGGGTCTACTGCTTGTTGTAACAGATGATGAGCTTGAGCTAAAATAACCGTCTCGCCACTATGATCTGATCGTACGAAACGAGGATGCTGATTTAGCATTTCGATTGTATCAAGATATTGATGAAGAACGCTAATAGCTGTACGCCCTGAGATACTAATATAGATCCAGATAATATAGCGCGAATAAGCGTCAATTGCTCTATATACCTCAATACCATAAGGAGCAAGCTTGAGATATCCATCAACAGACTATAAGAAGTTCGGACCAGGTACGATATATTCGCCGCGATGACGTTGCATATCTCGTACGCGACGTTCGACAGCATCAGGAGCAAGCGTACGATAGATTGAGTAGATTCGATCACTAGAAATAAGTCAACTAAGGGCAATGCGTTTACGCATGCTATACGCATGCTCTGCGCGTACTATATTTGACTATACGTGTACAGCCAAATTTAGAAGCTATACGTACCGAGCGATATTGACTCCAAGCTGCTGAAAATGAGCGAATAATAGGCCACGGCCATATCCTTGAATAACGCCCTTTTGTAGCTCTTCTGTTACTACTCTATTCGCAGTTTCATCCGCCTCTTCTCGACCTTCTACCGTACAAAGACGACGCTTCAATCCTAACTCAGCACGAAGTCGCGGAAGAGCTCGCTCTCTAAGTTGATATCCTTCGGTTTGAAGAGCGCGATAGAGCTGGTCATCGTTGAGGCCGTTGAAGAAAAGACTGGCTATTCGATCTCGTAGAGCTGACGTATCTTGAGTCCATTTGCGTATAGAGATATTCCACTCTTTTAGACGTCTTCGAAGGGTGTGATCAGCTAACTGTAGATGATATAAGTCGTACAGATATCGAATAATATTCGCATTTGTCTTTTTTAGAGATATTAGTGCTAGTATCTCATCCTTATACGGATCCAAACTGATCTTTGCGCGAGGCATAATAAATATCAATAGGAATTCGAAGAGATAGGAGGACTTAGGCGTAAAATCAATGAAAAAGGCGTAGAAATCGATGAAAAAAGCGGTGAGCGAATTCTATGCCCACGAATATTAGTAGAATATCCATATTATCAGCTTCAAAATCTGTATAACCATCATATAATGTCACAACGCTTTTGGCTCCCTTTATGCGGCGTTAATAGAGCTTCTCATGATGCTTTTGCTGATCTTAAGGAGTGCCCTCGTTGCCATCTTCGCAATCCAGCTTATGAGCCACCTACTACCTTTGAAACGCAACCGTAAGAGATAATAGAACTGCTTGACGATTCGCCAATACCACCGAAGAAGACAAGAGCTATTTTTACTGCTAGTAATGAACATGTACGAATCTCTTAAACGCAGCGTTTTCAGAAATATACTCGATATTCTGTTGCTGAACTTGTACAACAGATGACAACGCAAAAGTCTTCCTCCTCTACACGACCTTAAACGAATGTTCCAATTCCTCCGAATCGTACGAATAGCAAGCTCATAACCGAAACCTATCAAACGACGATAACGATCTGGCGACGTACGATACAAGAGAATGGAGAACAGATAGACTGTCGATCGTTGAAAAGAGTCTCTTTCAAGCTTCAAAATAGAGCAGTTACAGATCTAGACGACTTCATACACAATTCTCTGCTGAATCAAGTCCGAGAATGGAGAACGAGTATCACGAAGAAGGACAAGGATAAGCTCTATCTTGCAAAACGCGTAGAGCCTAAACAGACTCCAGTTGAGTTACCAATAAGCGCAGATAACGTTCGTACGGTTAAGGAGGCGATGGAGTTCTTCAGCATTATCAACAAGGAGTATATCATTCATATCGTTATCGAACGGGTAGAGCTTGATCCTCTTGAGCAGCTGAAGGAGGAGCTATCTGACGAAGACTCTATTAATATCAAGAAGGAGAAGATCAAGAATATCAAGAAGGAGAAGAATACTGAGCTTGTTCCTCGTACGGAATCCACAGCATGGCGAATTCTCAAATTCAAGGTTCCATCAGCAGAGCCAGAGTCTTCTACGACTGAGTCTCATAAACGAGGTCATTCAAGTACTGATGACTCCTTTGATCGATCTACTATAGAGCTGGATCAAGCTCTTGGTTTACCCTCAACTCCGAAAGAGAAGAAGAGCAAGAAGAAGAAGGTTGAGAAGAAGAAGAAGAAGGTCGAAAAGAAGAAGAAGAAGAAGGGCAAGAAGAAGATAACAGAGGAGATAGAGGAGGAGGAGGATGAGGATAAGGAGGAGGAGGAGGAGGAGAAGGAGGAGAAGGAGGAGGAGGAGGAAGAAGAGGAGGAGGATAAGAGCAAGAATAAGCATGAGCTCTTCTATAGCCCGCCAGTTCTACGTATCAAGAAGTAGATGAAGATACAACCTGAGAGAAGGAGAAGATACACCTCCTCCTGCGGCTACCCTGCTATAGCTACAGCAGACTCAACACTAAGGATGGCTATCTAGAAGCCCAGTTAGGCAATCTAATCACTTAGTAGCAACAATAAGTCCCTATGTACAGATATCATACGGCAAGCAAGTTTGCGGAATCCCTCGTACGATTTTGGTGGCCCATTCCATCGCCCTGCTCCTGAGCTGAAAATTTCGATTTCAAAATTGAATTGGCCGTTTGGTCGTAACAGTCCGCCGTACATGACACAATTTGTTTCAAAAGTGTGGGGGCGGAAACAATACAGTACTACATACACTGGTGCTGGCTGTGCTGATCTGGCCTGCTATGCTCTACTCTTAAGTCTTCCAGTTTCCTTCGGGCACTGTCATCCTTCCTGTACCAAATATCTCCAGCGGCTTCTCTTCCACTTAGTCCATACCTTTTATTCATTGCATTTGGACTGTTCGACGTCTGTCAATTTCCTCATGTTCAAAATATACTAGCCAAAATCCATCATGAGCGAAGCGAATACTACCTCCAACAAATCTCAGGTACAGTTACGTACTGCACTGATACCAACAAAGAAAGAACTTCAACCAGCATCATCCCGAATGCCGAGATGGAACGTTCGCTGGTGGTCTGCGATGCAAATGGGCGGACTCTTTTTACTCGGTCTGGCTACCGCAGTCGGTCACCATGTTCTCTACACTTCCCTTAATGGCAGCTTAGCAGGAGATGTAAAGCGACAAGAGTGGTCCATCAGGTTCGGTACAGCACTTGCTTATCTCACTCAGACGTCACTGGCTGCTTCGGTCGTGTGCGCCTACTCACAGCATATTTGGACGGTATTCAAGGCGAAATCAATTTCAATCAAGGGCATCGATGCGATGTTTTCTGCTAGTACTGACCCCATCGCATTCGGGACCACGGAGATGTGGATGAAGGCCAAACTAGCCTCGATTATGGTTGTGGCGGCATGGTACATGTATTTTGCTAGCTTCCTCCAACTCTACTAACGCTTGTTGAGGCTGATACCAATCTCTGCTCTGATAACACCTGCGACGCTCAGCGTTGTCTCAATACAACGTTCCCGGACTATCCCAACCAAAGTACCTACGCTCGACCTAGACAACTCCACAAAATTCGCGTCTTGGGGCTGGATGAATTTCGCTCCAGTAGACCCGCTTGAGCAACCAAATCCGTGGTACTTCGATGGCCCATCAAGCCGAAGCAGTCGGCTCGCTGTTGTTGTTTCTGCTGGTGCCACTATTCTAGCCGCCGAAGCTCCGTTCCAAAACTCTTCATATCTGATGCAGTTTCATGCGCCAGCCGTCAAGTGCAGGCACGCTAACCAGTCCGAGATAAGCACCATCAATCAGACCTGGCGGGACTCGGAAGAACCTGCGTCAAGAGGGTTTGGCCCCAATTTCTATGCAATCGTCCCTAGTCCTTTGAGGAACGGATCTTATTCACCTGCGTATATATTTGGTTCAGGGCATGAGTCACCCAGTTATGGAAATTTCACTAATAATCTGCTGTGTAAATTTGCCGAAGAACCAAGTATAAGCTGTGACCTTTACAATGCCTCGTACATCGTGAAATTTGGGTACTTCAACGGCCAACAATCCACAGATTTACAAAGCATCATGTACCATGATCCAATTCCCTATAGGCCCGGAACTGATGACATTGAAAATCCTCTGGATTCAAGTTCACCCGCGTTCTCTTATCAGGCAATTGGGGGGCTCTCTATCGGCAGATTGTAGGTTATGTTTATGCTGACGGTTCGACAACCAGAATTCAGCAGACATCTCTTACTGCGGCAAAAGAGCTGCGGGTCGTCTTTGGGTACACCAACTCCACCGATGATTCTGACCTTGGACCGGACAACCTACTGGCTGGCAACAGGAGCCTTGGTCCACTCATTGAAGAACTGTCGCATAACATCACTATCAGCCTATTTAGTGACCCGTCTTTTCTGTAAGCCCTTCAATCAACATTTCCCTCGCCACGTCCTAGCAGCTAACCTATCGCGTGTAGAAAGTCCCTGGAGGATCGCTCCACCGTCCCCGTGAATATGACAGAGACCTTAAACGTCTATTCGTACAACGCTCGTAATCTCTGGCTATCTTACGGAATAGTGCTGCTGGCAGCAGCACTGGGTCTTTCGCTCGGCATCCTAGCAGTCTACAAGAACGGTGCGAGTTATAGCAACAGCTTCGCGGCAATGCTATATGCAACAAGGAACGAGACATTAAGCAGGCTTGCCGACAGGTTATCAATGGCAGCTCACCCTCCCAAAAAACCAATGAGCAAGATATTCTTGAGGTTTGGGCTCCTAAAACACATTTCCTCTGATTACTCTAGCATGTCAGCGCCGCAGACAGCCTTCGGACTCGACAGCGAGATCAGGGAGATCAAATCAAAAAGGGATTGCTGTTGATCTCGGCAAAGGACAAGCTATCCATTCAAGAACAGAATTGGAATTCGCCAGCATTGCAAGTGTGTTTTACATTTCGTCACTATCCCAGCGCGTTGCTTTTCTACTTTACATTTTCCTCTATTTTAAATAGCTTAATTCTGGAAGCGTCATATAGCATGGATTTCACTGACCCAGAATCAGCAACAAGATACTGCATCATTAGCAGAAACGTCTCTGTTATTCAGAAAGACGAAACGAGCAGAATCAGAGAAAGCATTTCCCGTATTACAGGAAACCTGGATGCTAACATATCTTGACCGAGCAATCACATACGCAGAAGGAAAGCTGAAGACTTGGTCATTAACGACCTGGAGCGACCCAAGCTACTGAACAATCTCGGTCGCTACCTTAGACAATAGTATCTCCGCATAGCTTACTGTCGAACGTACAGGGCCATTGGTTGGCCGTACGAAAGATTGCTGCTGGTCTGTGCACTTGCGCAGAGCCTCTTTTTGTCACATATCTCGTTTCTGCGCTTTCTGCAAGTTTTGAACGAACAGAGCCGTTTTGGGCCAATGACTCAACAGGATGTTAAGATGACTTTAATAAAGTTCTATCCTCTCAAAGTTGTGTTGTAATGAGTAAAAGTGCGCTGAATAGAATGCTAGCATAGCGGGTCCTTCTACTTAAGTAAATCACGTGGTCTTGAAACACCAGGCTCGTCTCAGGAGATGTTAAGATATCCCTAACTTGGGCAGTTGCAACCGGCCGTAAATTAGTGTGAAACGTACAATGACATCTATAAAATCCACAGACCTTCGCTGCATAACTGCAATATTTATGCTGCGGGTTACGTTCCCTTTCCACTTTGATTGATAGTGCGGCGTAAAACAATTGATTGGATGGGCATATAAGTTATTGCTCAGCGGATCAGTTGAGCACGGAAGCGAAAGACTATGTATGTCTATATGTCTACAGGGGAATGAAGTAATTAAATATGGGCTGGAGTCGCTCGTCGCTGAGATCGATAGGTTTGCAATGGCCTAGATTAGTGCGGAAGGAGGCAAAATATTATTATACTCAACCACAGTAGCGATGATAGGAACTGAACCAGATGTTTTTGGGCGACTCAAGCCTCCAACGTAATGTTCTACTGTCTGAATTCTAAATTGAAAACAATGGGCCAACTGATATAAAACAGGCATATCCTGGTTGGGGGACAGCGCCACCGTATGGCTCACATACAATGCACCCAATATTCCTACAAGATCGATCCACATATTTCCCGCGACTTCATTCAGTGTCTGAGGTCACCCAACTGTCGAACATCAGGAAGGCGGGTTTTTCGATCTTTTTAACCATGGAAAGCCCCCGCATTGATAACCACAACGTATTTTAGCATTCAACGCTCAGATGGCCCCTCCGCCATGCTACTCGGCACTTCCAGCAATATTGCAAGCCACATTTCCCACCTTGTCGCCCCGGGAATCAAGAGTCAGCCACGCCCAGACGAGCAAAATGGGGAGGCTGGGGTATTGGGTTGGCTTACAGGTCACGTGTTTACAGCCACCGTCCTTCTGTGTCATATATTTACATTTTGGGCAGGGCATTGCGCGGCTGCGGACAAAATCTGCGTCTCTCCGCTCCTCTATTTCCCTCATCTCCTGCGCTGCCTTTATCCTCCTTTCTTGGGCCGTGGCTTCATCCTGAAGACTCTCAGCCGGCGCACCTCTGCTGCCCCGGGGTCCTGCCTCTTCTTGGGAGCGGACATACTCGGCGAGTTCGGGATTCATGCTATACTCACGACATGTCGAGCCTGTATGCCATCTTACCTTGTCTATAAAGCAGTACGCTCCGCCGCAGCGACAACAGGTAACCTTAGGCTCCTCGGAGCCATATTCATGGATCTGGCCTCCTCCGCAGCCTGACAGCGGGCACCAGATGAATCGATGATCGCTCTCTAAAAGTTTGTAAGCAGCCCGTTCGCAGTAGCGCTCAAAGTCTTCACGTGTTGCGTTACGTTGCATGTCTTGGTCAGATAGAGGTCGCTGGCACCCTACGCATGTCGGAGGGGCGTCACCGTGATTCGAGAGCTGCATTGTGATCTGGCGGCGGACACATTCATTGCAAGCAAAGTTGGCGGCATGTACGCAGTCACTGGTAACTGGAACCGTCGGGAAATCGCGCTCGGGCCGTTCTTCAGCGCAGATGTTACAGCTTCTCAGTGCGGAAGAGCCATGACTGCCGGAAAAGTTTCTTCGGGTTGAAAAAACATGAGTCCCAATATCCGACGTTGTGGGTGAAGAAAAGCCTCTATGTTGGTTTCTATGGCCCCTTGGTGATGCCAGCGGTCTCGGATGTACAGCAGACTGTGGCTGGCCTTCACATTGGCCACTGTCGGCTTTAACGTCCGCGATAGGATTACTGTGAGATGAGTTTTCATCAGGGTCTTGAACGAAGAAGCCGACAGACCTTAAACCATTAGATACATCATCAAAACGTCGGCTTGTGTTAGCTCTCCTGCCAGCATCGAACAAAGCACCGTCACTGAGAGGGCTGTCATAGAAAAGCTTGCGCTTGATCTTTTGCAGAATTCCTCTTATTTTGGGCTCGGAAGGCTGCATTAGTGTTCATCAGTCCGCTGGGACAAAGTCCAAATCAACACTAATATTACAGAAACAGCTTTGAGGGGAATATGTAGCTATGGAGAATGAACGAAAGATCCTGTCTGATCATGAAACAGAAAGGGAAAGGCGAGGGAAAGGCTGAAAATATGTGCCATAAAGGAGGGAGGAAGTGTTCTACGCCCGTGTGTTATTTGTTAAATACCAGAGCCAGGTTCTGATTCCCAGCATGCATCTTGACTCTGCTACTCCTCTATAGGTACGAGTAATGCTGCCTTGTAAAGCAAGTCGGCTTCAAGGCACTCTGGCCTCGCTGGAGACCCAACGCCTCCGGACAGACACGTCACACAGGTCATGCAGTCGTGACGTTTTCTTGCTGCCTCAGTCACCCGGATTCGTTCAGAGCTGCTCATTGAGGTGTAATTTGGCGCCCAACGTGGACGCCTCGGTTGACTGCATGTACTCATGGCCCTGGGACTAAGCCAAATGAGCCTCGTGGGAGCGCTAGTATTGCCTGCAAATTGAAGTCAAACTAACCATATGGAGACACAAAAGCCCCCGAATTATGGTGATGAGTACCAGTTTGAGCGTTCTTTAAGTGCCCCACCCTGGTAACGGACCACCCGGGTGGTCCGTTACCAGGGTGGGGCACTTAAGGCTAGTAGCTTGTGAGGGGCCCGGTGCGAGCAACTATCTTACATAAACCCATGTGATATACTCTGTAGCTCTCTAAAAAAGGCCATAAACCAATAAGGCATGTAAGAGCCTGATCTACAGCTGATCTCTGAAGGGCTGTGTCAGCCAAAATGTGCTATTTTGCGGTCCTTTGCAGCCGCGGTCCATGTGCTGCATCTCATACGATTTAACGGCTCCATATATCGTTGTCGACACCACCCTCCTCTTTCTATCAAACGCGTGCATGCCCATTACCTCTCCTAATTCGAAAACCTGTGAAAAGAAAGACCCGTAAGAGTCGTCTTCAAGTATCGAACCCCACCGTCGGATTAGCTTCCTCTGGGGTCTAGAGCTACGTAGAATGAACGATACCTCCCTACGGCAGAGCAACAAAAACCCATGGCCAGAGATCGCAGTGCACGCCTCTCTTCGATTCCTGCAGCTCGTGCTTGGTGCCACCGTTACCGCCTTGTATGGCAAGAGTTTGGTTAGCCCCAACAAACCAGCTCAGTATGATCGTACCAAATGGGTATGGCAACAAGAGCGGACGCATTCGAATCCTCTTGGTTTGGAGGCATGCTAACCAGGGATTGCTGTAGACGTACGCAGTGGCCGTGGCATGCATGTCTCTGCTCACAGCCTTTGCCTGCATGATGCCGTACGTGAGGAGGTTTATCACCTGGCCGTGGGACCTTTTGCTGTTGTAAGTGGACTCCGGTATTTTCTTGTCATTTGGGCACTCCAGCAATGCTGATTATTGGTGGCAAAGCATTTTTTGGATAGTCGTGCTCGGCGTCTTTGCTGGCCTTTATCTGGACAACGGCCCACTCAAGGGTGGCAGCACCAGGCAGGTCAAAAGCGCGGCCTTCGTCGATTTATCAAATATGCTGCTCTGGTTCATCACTGGGTTGATCACTGGGTTGATGGGCGCAGCATTACACTGTCTAGGCCCGAGGCTCAATAGATAAAAAAGGGGGGTTGGATAGTTTGGGCTTCAAGTGTAAGAAGGACTGAATTGGCGTAAACTCTTGCAACCCCCAACATACTAACCTTTTTAAAGGATGAGGAAAGCAAAAATTGGCTGACAATCGTGGGCTAGCAAAGCTAACCATGGCTCAACAGTCCGAACTAGTGTCTGCACCCATGAAACCCATTAGTCTAAGATCGTGTCTGTTGCCGGGTGATTAGAACATTGAGAAGTGCAAAGTGGTTGACTGGTTTTGTAGCGGAGAAAAAAACTGTGTCGCAACCTTCGTCAGTACAGATGCCTGGATGGGAGTACGTTGAGCAATTCATGGCCTTGGCTTGTGTGCTGAGAAAGAAGGCGAATTGACTCCCTACCTGCCTTCTACCGGAGTGGAAGAACTCCAGGGACAAACGCCCTTTGCAGCGGGTTCTCGGCGGAGTTCGCTGAAGTGATAATTTGGACGTTGTACTCCGTAGGACATGAAAGTATTCTTTAGATCACTATAAATCAAGCGTCTCGGAAAAACTGGTTTGATGGCTGGGAGTAGAAGATGGACAAGAAACGGTACGGAGCGAGCGGGGGAAGAACTGGGAGTGTGCATGCGGAAGAGGCTGGGGAGAGGGGTGGCTCACAGAAGTGACAGGAGGATCCCGCTGTCGATCCGTTCTAGCCTAACTACTAGCTAATAGGCTTGAGTCAAAGAGGCCGAACTCTGCCACCATTCCATCAAGGTACGGAGTAGCTGCTGTTGGGTACTAAAGATGGGAGAATCCTCAAAGAGCCAGTGGTCGAGCGAGCAACACCGTAATTGCAGCCGCTGCAGAGACTGAGTGCATCACCCAAATCTGGAATAAAAGCATTGACTATGCAGGACTCTTGGGTGGCGATAGAATGTGATGTGTCAATGCTGTCTTGACCTTGTGCATGCTTGCCCCAGAGCGGTTTCAGTCAACGGATACTGTGCGACAGGATGGCAGAGTTTTCCGCTCCTGCTCTGCTCTGCCTGTTCCATTGGTCAAATAAATCTGATCTGTGGCCGACTCTCTATTGCACCGGTTGGCAGCATCAGAAATCATGGTCAAGGCTCTTTTTCAGGCACTGCTGGCCTGTCTGTCAGTCCAGTCCATGCTAGCAGCATCAGAGTACGCCTGCACCAGAACCAAAGTAGCCGTCCTCGGAGCCGGCGTTGCTGGGATCACTGCTGCGGTAGAGGAAACATCTAGCCCTTATAGAGTCATGCTAATATGATTAATAGCAAGCGCTATCCAACAACTCGGTTTCGGACTTCGTGATCATCGAGTACAATGCAGAGATAGGAGGACGATGCCGATGGATGAAGTTCGGGAATGACTCTGAAGCGAACCAGTACACAGTGGAGCTAGGTGACAATTGGGTACTTGTTGTCATCGCTGATCGTGCACAATGGATACGGAAAAGCTGATGAGCAATCTCCTCGCCAGGTCCAAGGAACTGGTACGGAAGACGGCCCTGAGAACCCCATCTGGACTTTGGTACAGCCTCCAACATAATTGCACTGTGATTCGCTGCCACTTACAACTGTCTAGGCCAAGAAATACAATCTGATCGGCACCTATTCCGACTTTTCGTCGGTTCAGACCTATGGCGAAAATGGCCAAGTTGACTACTTGGCCAAAGCGGACGATTTTGAAGAGGCATACGCCTACGTGGAGCAGGACGCCGGAATCATTCTGAGTGAGAACCTGCAAGACCGGAGTTTCCGAGCCGGGCTCAACCTGGCTGGCTACAAACCTACGCTGGACCCCGAGGCTTCGGCTTGGGAGTGGTTCAGCTTTGATTTTGAATTTGCTCAGACTCCTGTACGGTATACCCTCTTTTCCCATCACTTCTGGCCATTTTCAGCTTTCAAAAGGAGGGAAGACAGCTAACGACTTGCCTAGGATGTAAGTTCCCAGGAGTTCGCAGTCGTCAACAATGTAAGCCTTGCCTTACCTTCTCTCTTGTGATGATCATAACTAAAACAATGCAGAACGCCTCGCTTTACGGCTTCTCGGAAGATAACTACTTTGTGCACGAGCCCCGTGGCTTTAATACCTTCATTCGTGGCGAAGCCTCTACCTTCCTTACCCCCTCGGACCCGCGTCTACTTCTTTCCACCATCGTCACCAATATCAGTTATACCCCCGAGGGTGTGACCATCACCAACGACGATGGCTCATGCATCTCCGCCGACTACGCCATCTGCACTTTCTCAGTTGGTGTACTTCAATCCGACCTGGTGACTTTTGACCCTCCACTTCCACAATGGAAACGCATCGCGATCGAAACCTTCCAAATGGCTATCTACACCAAAATCTTCTTTCAATTTCCTCCCGACCGCATTTTCTGGAATTCCAGCTATCAATACCTCCTCTACGCCTCCCCACAACGTGGCTACTACCCTATCTTCCAACCGCTCGACCTCCCTGATTTCCTCCCCGGCTCTGGAATCTTCTTCGCTACCGTCGTGACCGACCAATCGCGACGCATCGAAGCCCAATCCGACGAGCGCACCAAATCCGAGATCCTCGCCGTTCTGCGCCAAATGTTCGGTGACGAAAACGTCCCCGATCCGATCGATTTCATGTACCCGCGCTGGGGCCAGACGCCCTGGGCGCGAGGCTCCTACTCCAACTGGCCCCCTGGCTTGACCCTCGAAGGGCACCAGAACCTCCGCGCCAATGTCGACCGTCTATGGTTCGCCGGTGAAGCCACCAGCCAGCAGTACTTTGGGTATTTGCAAGGGGGTTATCTGGAGGGTAAAGGAACTGGGGAGAGGGTGGCGACGCTGGTGAATGGTGGGTTAGGGGAGGGGGATACGAGGGTTGAGGGGGAGGTGCAAGGGGACGAGGCGCGGTACGAGGTGCTGAAGGGCACGACGACGATTGAAGAGTATGGGCCATTCAATGGGTGGTACGTGAGCAGTTTCCAGGAAGGAGAGGATGAGGAGGAGGGTGGATTCTGAAGGGAAAGGACGAGAGGTAAATAAGCCCCTAATTATCTTTCCAAGGAGAAGTTTTTGAGGGTTAAGGACAGCGGCTTATAGCAGGGCAGCTCCCATTCGACAGTCGTTATTAGTTTCGAATTGAGAATTACTTATGCGGGTATGGTACTTACCCCTTCAAAGTTTGGTGGCACTTTGGCTGCAGAATATGGACTCCATGGACTAAGTTATTGCAAAGGTGACAAGTTTTCAATGGAAGAAAACATTGATCTCCCACTTCTGATATGTAGGAATGAAAGCTACATGATCGACGTGGTAACCATGTACACTCCCAGCATATCCAGTGACGTGAGGATTCGTTGACGATATCGCCAGCTGCAGCGAAGGAGGTCATCCAAAATCATATCATACGACTGGTAATATACTTGACTAGAACAGATCGCTTTCATGACAACTCGGCTTTCATATGCTACCAGCTGTCCCGTTATGTCTCCAACCCTCTCCTCTTAGACCCTGCCGGAAACGTTCTTTCTCCCAATCTTCTTTGCCTATCTCTTCACCACCACCTCCATGCCGTCGAGATGTTCGATACTCTGCTCGTTTGGGTTTTCGTCTTCTCCAGATGTTTCGGGGGATACGTCGTCATCAGCGAGAGGGGTGATCAGGCAGGTGGTTTCGTTAGGTGAGACCGCCGAAGCCTCCACATCGTCAGCTGTACTCTGCTGGCGACGGAGCATTGATGGCAGCCCAGGAGGTAAGCTTTGGTGTGGCTATCCGTTGGGCACTCTGCTTACGAGCAGGTGACGTTTGAGCGCGATCAACGTTGATATTCTCATGCTCCATTGGGGAACAAATTCCTGGGTGATACTGTTGTCAGCGGTGGTATAGGGCTGAATTGCCATTTCCCTTCAGCTCCTTCAGCCACGCAGCCTTTTTGTGCGCCATGAACTCTTTTCGGAAGCAGACTGCGTGTAGATAGCTGTTTTCGTTGTCAGTCTCCATCTTTTCTCAAATTTTGCCAACTTACAGATAACACAAAGCTGTGATTGAAGCGTATGAAGCTGAAGGTCCTGCACTGTAATATCCGGTCAGGTTGGTCAGCTCTATACCATACCACCAGCCAAAGACCGCTGCTAAGACCGCGTCCCCAGCCAATATCTTCTTTGATGGCCAGACGGGCTTCGTTTCTGGATCTCTGGCTTTCGCTAGAGCATAGCGGACTAGATCATAGATGCACAACACTGCTGAGCATAGTGTCAACAGGATGTGGAAGATCCAGACAGCACTTCCTCGTCCGCTGTTGGTAGCGGCAAGAGCACTTAGAAGGAAGGAAAGGATGGCCAAAAATCACAAGACATCTGCGTAGCGAGTATATTGGATGAGAGTTGCACTGGTTGGCCATGATGACGGGATTGGTTGATTCGAAGCCAATTGAAATCTGGGTGAGTTATGAAGAATTGGCACCGGAAGAAGTGGAACTGCAACAGGCTTTCCAACGACTTGATTTGATCCTATATATGGTGTTTCCTTGAAGAAACACTAAACAGGAGTGGTAAGAAGCAGAGAGATGAATTGCAGAATCGATTCGATGCACTCCACACAATCAAGCAGTGTTTAAAGACATTTTCTTGCGAGTACTTCCGACATTCAGGACTTAACATTCTTGGAGAGAAAGACACATTGCGAATTGACAAGGGAAAAGTGCTTTCCTAGCACAGCAGGCAGGCTGGCATGAATGCTTTTGGCCCCTACTAAGCTGGAATCACCCGTGGCTCAGTGAAGCTCTGAGCCTAGTATGCCAGGCAGCAACGGAACGGCAGTGTAAATGTAAGAAACCTCGTTCTTGGTGACGAGAATCTTCAACCGTTGGAATGAATCCGGGCATTGCGAGCGGTATCGACGCTCGAAACTCGAGTATATCTCCCTTCACGGAGCACGGAGGAACGTGCCAGCTTTTCCATCGAGATCATCAGCTGCTATCTGGATGACAGGACAAGGAAAGATGCCAGGAGCTTATGCATTTTGACTGGGAACTGCCACAATGGCAAGACCAGTGTGTTTCGTTGTCGTTGCTGTAGAGAGCGGAGCCAGATTTCGATTGCATCAAGCAAGGGCAGGGCTGAGTGTCAATGCAACGTTGTGTCTTTGCGTTAAGTAGTTAGAGCCTGCGCTAAGTGGGCAACGCTCCAGGGGTCGACCTTCAAGCTCTAAGTTAGGGTAGGTGCCTCTCTTGGTGCTGGCCCGTGTCTTCTAGGTGGAATCCAATGCAGCAATATGCTACGGAGTAGGAGTGGTAACAATAGAGGTCGACTGCAACCACCACTACTCCACCCGTAGCCAATGGCAGCCGGTCTAAGTTTAGAGCACACAGAATAACTACTCAGATGAATCCACAATAGTTACTCTCAAGACCCATAGAATTAGAGAGAGGCATCACATCCATGCGCTAAGCAGAAGAATTCCTTTCTCTAGCTTTTGTTCTTACCTTCATGGTCGCTCCAATCTGTCTCATTGATCTTTGGCCAAAATGTCAGGCTACGTCCACCCGTTACCTGACGGCACAGTCACGATCCAGACGCCACGCTTACTCCTCCGAGCCGCTCAGGCCAGCGATGCAGAGGCGTTGCATCTATGTTTCGTAGATACAGAAGTGATGCGATATTGGTATGTCTTGTCTATAAAGCCATATCAGAAATCGATATTGGCAAATATCGCTCGCTGCTCTCTCTAAGATGCGTTGTTGAACCGGTCTAATATCCCTTCAGGTCTTCTCGACCACACAAATCTCTTGAAGAGACCAAGGAGTGGCTGGCCAAAATGGTGAACAGCAAAAAGACGAATGGCATCACCGATTTTGTGATCACACTGCGGGACAACGCACCATCGTATCTTTCGATATCACAACCGAAACACGTACAGATAGAGACTGGTCCCATTGAGTTGTCGAAAAGCAACATTAGTCCGGCGATAGGTAAGACTGGCATCTTTGCACCGCTAGATGCGAGCATGTCGGGTGAGATAGGCTTTCTCCTCAACCGCTCATACCAGGGCAGGGGATTCGGCTCAGAGGCTCTAACAGCTGTGCTGCGTTATCTTTTCGAGCAAAAGGGTGTAGAGACAATCACGACGGATGTTGATCCACGTAATGGAGCATGCATCAGCCTCTTGAAGAAGCATGGATTTGTGCTCACGGGAATTGCGAAGGAAAGCTATAGAATTGGAGAGGAGTGGGTAGATAGTGAGTATAGAACGCTGAGCAGAACTGGGTGGGGCACGATGAAGACAAGGGGATACTGAATCCTATTTCTTGCGCTTCCAAAATAGCAAAAATGGTATACGAAGCTACCATAGCGAAAAAGGAAAGGTAGTGTAAAATAAGAATCCAGAAGTCTTGACCAACGCCAGTAAGGATTTTCGAGTGCCTATGTTGTTGGGACGAGCTTTGTGGCGGTAATGTTATTCAAAGTCCTCACGAACGTTGTCTAGACGTGCTCGAACGACACAATGGGTTCTCAAATATCAACTTGAGCGCTGATAATATTTTCGCAGACCAGGTCTGAAGAGCGAGCCACTCTCCAGGCACATGGAAGTACTATAGCAGATGACAGACCTTTCTTGGTCATCCAGAGTCCTTATTGATCATCTTGGGCTAACTGTCTAACATTGGCAAAGTGCTGCCCGAACCAGAATTCGGACTTGGAGGGATATCGGAGTAGTTTGAGGACGAATCTAGGGCACAGAGTGCCAGGCGCAGGAACACTAGCTTTCCTCAACCGCTTGGAATACGCTTTTGCATCCTTTCGAGCTCTCATTTGGCTCTAGGGAGAGTCGTCACCAGCCGGATGGGTAGTGGTATGGAACATTATTCATTGCCTGACGAACATGATACGAAGACTTAGCTGACGAGTACGGAGCATGCATAGCCATCTTCAGCAGCATTCAACCTGCTTTTTCTTCAGTGATGAATCGTCCCCCTTACTGCGTACGCATGGTGGACCTGTAAACTACTAGTAAAGGCCAGATGGCACTAAGCCGTGGACCCAAGGACCGTCGTCCGCCTGAAACGACCTGAGTCAGCTAGCGCCCCACCATCGGCAAGCTACACCTTAAATTTACAACTGATTTAGCCAAGAGGGGAAAGGTTGACGTGTTCCACACGGCGCAGCTCCACGGCAACAGGGACAGACTTCCGAGCCTTTCAGTATTCACAGCCTCAACGTTGCTGCTCCGGTTAAAGCGACCAGCATAGGCTCGGGAACTGCAGAGGTGGATGCATGAGGTAGGGGCTCCTACACCCTAGGAATAGAAACAAGACTCTCCACAGCTCCACTGATTGGGTGGCTGGAGACATATAACTGGGGTGATGCTATGCGATTGGTTCCAGAGAGTGGATCTACAACCGAAGCGAGTAGTACGTAATCTTGCGTCAGATTGATATTCAGGAGAGGCATATAAGGAAGTGAAGGGGACAGTGGTTGCCTTGTTAACACTTTCGTATTCGTGACCTGCTCCTGCCCAGCTAGCAAACACACCACCGCCTACTCTCTTGGCCTCCAATCCCTCATCCTTCACTGCACATAAAATAATCTTCACCTCATTCTGAACCATCCCTCACATCCATCTCTTCACACCACCAGAAACCACCAACATCTACAAGAAACAACATCAAAGGAACCCTACAAGCTACTCCATCAAAATGCGAACCAACAACCTCACCACCGCAGCCCTCATCTCCGTCCTCCTTCCCTTCGCCTTCGCAAACCCCAACCCCAATCCACAGGTAGACTCCCTCGTCAACTCCATCCTCGGACCCGCTACCTCTGCCGCCTCTTCTGCCATAGCCGAAGTGACCAGTCTAGCCTCATCCGCCCTTGATGCCGGCAACTCACTCGCCTCCTCCGCAGTGTCCGAAGCTACCAATGCCGCTTCCTCCGCCATCTCCGTCGCCACCGATCAAGCAAGCAGTGCCATCTCGGGTGCCGGCAGCCTGGTGAGTTCAGCTACAGATGGGGCTGGTGGTGCAGCTAGTTCAGCTAGCGGGTTCGTGAGCGGGGTTCTTAGTAGTCTGGACAGCGCGGTTGCAAGTGTTACAAGCTCAGTGGGAGGTGTGATTAGTTCCGCTACGTCTGCGGCATCGAGCCTGAGAACTGCTGCAACTGGCTCTGCTGCCACGGGAACCGGTGCTGCAGCTACAGCCAGTGCGGCTGGTGGAAGTGCTCCTGGGATGATGGATTCTGGTATGGGATTGGGTGGAGTGGTCGGAGCGGCTGTCCTGGCTGTTGCTGCTTGGTTGTGAGGAGGAATGGAAATCTTGCTGGATGGGAAACTATCAACTGCTCCCTATCAACAAACCCAGCACGTGGATGTGGAGGTGGTATTGCTGATCATAGTCTTCTGACTATTTCTTGCTACAGACATTGCTTGAAAAGATCTGTCGTCGGCATTCTCTTTGAGATGAAGTCTGTGCTTAGTATCTTAGCAGTTCCAAAGAGATTACTTTGATACCTTCACATTGATCGTGCATCATCACAGTACCTCATCACTCGTCATCTAGCCTTGTTCTCGCTCTTGCAAGGCACTCTGAATTGCTTATGCGAGTTTATTGGCCACTCTCAGTTGGAACCCTATCCGCAACTCCAGCAAACCTTCATCGATTCCTTTTCACTCTTCTATTCCGAGTTACGTGAATGGTCAATTCCACACGCGGTGACCCAAATATACCACAATCAAACAAGTCATCAAGCTATCTCTAAACCCCCCCATCTTAGATCCACCATATACCACATACCTACGACAAAAGTCTCCGCGGGGACCTTACTCCCCTACTCTCCTATGAAGAAAGGAAATGTGGAGCTCTAGACTCGTTCCTTGGAGGGGCTGCTGGGCTGCTGGGTGGGAAAGGATTGTTTATTTGTATGAAGATATAGGCATCGGGCATATAGCTAGTTATTTCCTCGCTGGAGGTTGTTTCGGGGCGTGCGTAGATCAGCATAGATAGTGTCGCAGGTATTCTCGATAACTACACACTCGAGTATGTGTAAGGTCTTATACGAGGCAAAGTGGTCCTCACAGCAGATGCTGAGCGTTACTTATATATAATTTGCGTTGGCAGGAACAGACTCAACGTGTTGCCACGAAGTCGGGTGTAGTTACAAGCTAGGCAGTGAACGGGCCTTGTCTGAATGGCAGTGTTTGCTGGCCACATCTGCCAAAGAACCAACTACCAACTACGGTCAATAGTGAGAACTGTGAAGGGATTCACCGGCATTGCGGCGCCCAATCGGAGTTCACAGACCTTGTAATTGATTCCTCTTAGTGGAATAGGGAACCTTCGACATCGCTGATAAGCACTTGTATACGGAGCTCAGCAAGAGTGCCGATAGCTAGGGACTGCCTTCATAGAATGTCATTCTTATCGCGGCCATTCCGCTGTGAAGGTCTAGCTTTCTCCATCTGACCAGGTTCGCCGCGTTGCAGAGTGCCTCGTTCTTCCAACTGAACTTGACGATCACCACTCAAATCCGTCCGAGTAGCTTTCCCAATGACTTCGCTCACACCATATGGAAGCGTCTGTCCCTCTGCATCCCTCGTATCCCAACTCTTTCCCTTGATCAATTGCATCAACATGTAGTTCAGGACGCATTTGAGGCCCATCTCTTCACCCCGTCGGACAATGTAGCCATTAATATACTCAATTTCGGTGTCCTTGCCATTCCTGATATCCTCACGCATGGAGCTGCTGTTCTGAGCCGTCCTTTGTGCAACTCCAATGTACAACGTTTCGAGCCTTTCTGGTGAGAATCGGACCCGGACACTGGGTACCCCTTCTAATTCGGGGAGACCTCGCATGACCGCAGCAATCTCAGCAATTAGAAGCCTTGACACTTTCGCGAGAGAACTGTTTCCTATTAGACTACCGTTGGGCACGTTCATCAACGCCGTGGTGGGATTCACAATGCAGTTGACTGCTAGCTTCTCAAGTTGTAACTGTAGAAGGTCGAGGTACGGAAAAGCTGCGCAAACAAGGATCGGAGACCTTGTGAGGGTGCGAAGGAGATATCGAGACGTAATGTTCGCATAGAGGTCCTGATCACTAGGATACATTCTCTTCCTGTCTACTTCTGTCAAAGAGACTGGGGGCGACTTTGGAGGCAGAGGGTGTCTCTCCAGATCTCTTACTACGCCGATGGCAGTTGAACCTATCCCAGCGTGATGTACAGCAAATTGTCGTGATAGAAAGACACCGTGAGATATAACACCGAGCATATATGTTGGTCGAGTTTCTGGATCGGTGAAGACCTCGCGATTGAGCTCGTCAATTTGGCCCATACCATTCTGCATCAGACAAATTGTGGTCCCAGTAGAGATTCTATGTTTGACCGACTGTAGCGCCCTGACCGTAGCAGGTCCCTTGACCGTCACAATCATGGTATATATTCTGACCTCGCCTGTCGGTAAAACCTCCTCCGGCCCTGGCGGTGTGGGAGGATCTTTGTGGTATGGCTGATGTGAAATATGCCTCCAATAAACAGTACTTTTATCGGTGTTGAATTCGGCAAGGTCCACATCGTATCCTCTTTGTTCATCATTGGTCTGGCTTCTGTTGTTGATCACGCGGATGATTCGATCACCAGCTTCGAAAGCCTCGTACATGTCTGGTCGATGGAATATAAGTGATACTGGCGGGGGATTGGGGAGGCACTTCAACGTATGAGCAACAAAAGTGCCTACGCTGCCCATGCCTAGCAAATGGATGCGGCGGGTTGGTAGACTTTCGGGCTGTTCTTCGTCTGGGATATTAAGGGGGGACGGTCCATCCTTTGCATCCTGCTGTGAATCTTGAGCCACATCTCCATAACTTTGACTTCCCCACCATGACGAAACTCCTGCGGTACGATGAAACTGTCTGGGCCTCCCACCCAGAGAGCTGGTGCTATCTAAAGAACATCTCGTAGATGTATGCAGTCTGCGAACTGCAACCCGCAGGAGGGGCGAAGACAGAACCCGACGAGACAGCTTGGGCGTAGATTTCTGAAGTGTCTAGGATGGTGCGGAAAGCGAGAATCAATTTGGCATAAGCAACTATTGGTATCACGATGTCTTCACACTTCGTTGCACAGAGGTCAAAATTGTGTATGGATGGGTTCAAAGGAGCCTGCAGAGGATGATCGCGCCAAGAGAGTGAAGATGCCCAGAGATCTGGGGCGACTGGGCCTGGCCTCCCTGAGACCCGTGTATTGGGTTAACAAAGTGCTAGATTCATTATATTTACTCATTTAGTGTTCTACCTATCCTCATTGGCGAGTTCAGTTCCCTGTCAGCTTTCAACGACGCTGATCCACAACATTGTAGATGGTCACAGGCGCCAGCTTCCTTAAGAGTACAGAGAACAAGATTGGCTGGCAATGAAGGTTCAGTCAGAACTGGCCACTAAATAGAGGCGGGAGTACATGATGGGTCCCCTTACGAGAGGAGAGAAAAGAAGTCTATTTAATAGATAATGGGGAGTATCGGATGACATAGATAATGAGTTCTGGGAGGATACAATTGAGAGGTAGGTCTGCACGATACGTTGGGTACTAAAGGTGATGCTTCTCTTTGCGCTGTTAATACTGAGGATCGCCATCAGGATTCGAAACTTGTGATCCGGAATTTCTGTCAATGATCCGCTGAGATTTCGTCCATTACACAGCGCTCTCCCCTGTCCAGCCGAGATTCAACTATATCACAATCATTCCTTTGTAAGTGTAACACTGTCCGTAAAGAAATCGAGACCTTGTACTCCAGCGGGGATAGTCGATACATAGTTAAGTGTCAGAATCGGTACTAGCGACGTCGGAACCACTGGTATAGGACCAAGTTTGTAGAAAGATCCACTACCGCCGGGTAAAGAACAGGGGAATTCCGCAGTACAGGGCTTGAAAGACGCAAGAATCTCAATGCCGTCAAAGCTTACGCTGACAGTCGTGGCGCTGGGTTCATTGTTGACCTGTCCGGAAAAGCCGAAGTATGCAACCAAAGCGTATCTTTCCCCCGGAAAAATACCACTCAAAGTCTGCCGGAGCGTGGTTGTACCGCCAGGAGAGTCGGCATAGACGTGACATTGCAAGCCACAGGCATGATGATTACCGTGCCGGTAAGTTCAAAAGCGAGATAGATCTTTGACTGTGGTGAGGTGTCAAGGGTGTTTGACTTCTTCACTCAGATATGTATTTCGTGCAAGCGCAACCTCGGGCCAAGAAGCCGTTTGTTGACCACTCTCGGGGTATTGCGAGAAGATCCTTCTAATACCTCACGCCAGCATCAACATGTTTTACCCAACCACAACATAGTAGATTGGCTTTGCAATAAGTAAGGCTTCAACGTGTAGCCTTAGTCTTTTTCTTTTCTTACCATAATTGGCATCAGGTACTCATGTACCTTTCATGAGGTTGGCCGCTTTGGGCAATTTAATAGCTCATAAGCCGTAAATTGTCGTTGGTGGTCCAAAGCTGTGAGGTCATATGCTGGGGCGGATTACGTACCGTGTAATTGCGGGCAGGCTGGACGCTGCTTGTGATCCCTGTCTAATCATGACAGTTGAACTACCAATACAGATGTTATGAGCAGACTATTGAGAAGCTCATCCGCGAGTCCCCCTGCTGGCGAAGTCGAGTTGGTCAAAAGCGACATCATCTGTGACATCAAAGGGGAGCTAGTACTAGTAGCGGAGATCGTTTTTCTCCTGCGTCGCCAAGAGATTACTCCAGGGTAAAATAAGTCTCAAGAAAGCTTCCGTACTCATCCAAATATCTAAGCATGTGGATACCTTAGCAAAATAATGCATGATACTGAGATTCTTTTCCAATGGACGCCACCAATCTTGTTTCTCTCGTCGAGCACCTTGAAGACAACATCGATGAGCTGGAGGAAAATCTGGAACCTTTGCTATCCGCAGCCCTAACTGCGACCACGCAGAAGCTTCCCGTTCTTGACAAAGCCAAGCTCTACGTGCTGATCGTCTACTCCATCGAGTCTCTACTATTCTGTCAGTTGAAAGCAGGCTCCACAGCACAAGCTCTTCTAATCATGCACAGCATATCTACGACTCAATGGAGTCAAAGCAAAGGATCATCCAGTATTCAAAGAACTGACGAGGGTGAAGCAATACTTTGAGAAGATCAAGATCGCAGAAGAAGGTCCTGCCGAGCCAAGAAAGAACTTGAGTCTGAACAAGCAGGCCGCAGGCAGGGTCATCAAACATGCCTTGGTACGTTGGAGACAAATGCTCTTTGCGATCGGTGAAGACTAATTCGCAGCAGTCTGGCAATGAGAAACATGACCTCGAGCGCGCCGAAAGAGAAGCGAAAGAAAAGCTTATGGCGAAGAGGAAATTGCAGGTTATGAACCAGAAAAAAGACATAGAGGCAGAAACTACCTTGGACACCTCTGAAGACGAGTCGGAAGAGTACGACGGCGAAGCAGAGCAAGGTGAGCTGAAAGACACCAATACTGTGTCTGACACACCAAAGCCTCTTGCCAATCCATCCAATCATAAGGACAAAACCGGAAAGAAGGACAAAAAGAATGCTAAGCGAAAGTCAAAAAAGGCTGAGAAGCGCGCTAGAAAGCGCAAAAGAGGCCAGCAAGACCAAGGCGACCAAGCAACGAAGAAGAAAAAAGCGGGCAGGGGCAAGAATAAGCAAGATCGAAGTCCACCGGCTGACCGAACATGGCTATGAAGTGGAAGCTGAGAGCTATGAGCGAAAGCGGTTGCACCTACGCTTTGGGCTACCTTGCAGCAAGATATCAGTATGGTATCGTGTCTGTTTAAGATACGATAGTCAAGAGCTGATTGGTGTAATTCGGTAAGACAAATAGTCGTCAAGCATGTGTTTCACATCAAAGTTTCATCAACTACCAGCAATGCTTTGTGACTGTAGCAAACAGCCGAGGTCAGATCAGAGCTCTGTACGGAGTAAAAGGCTTGCTCAACAGCCGAAGGTAAGCCTGAGAAGGGAGGTCAACTGCTGAGATCATCCATACGGAATGACTGTGGAGCGCTACCATCGTCGCAGCACAAGAGGGTGAATATAGGAATGATGGGAACCGTTGCAATCTCTTCGTTAATTCATTACGAGATTTTGGCTGTATCAATCCTGTCTAAACATCGCCTACAGGCCAGAACACCAACTAAAACAGAACATATCCACCACATCTCCTGCACTCAGCTTCACACCCAAACTCCTCCACTAAACTTCAGTCCTCCTTATACAAGTCATCCAAAGCTCCATCGATGTGGAATCAATCCACTCATGATGTCCTCAATCCAAACCTCTGCCCCATCCGTCTCAAACCGAACTCAAATCCCTTAATCAACATTGCACCCCCAAGCAACTGGTCAAGATACACAATAATCCTCCCAATACCACCAATTCGCCAAGTATCGAATGGAGAATGCGCCTCGCACATCTCCTTATTGACTGAGACCCAGCGCTCCGGGTCGAACTCGGCTGGATTTCCAAATGCCCTGGCGTTGCTAAGGAGCATGCAGGTGGGTACGGAGGTTGTGACTTTCTCGTCAATGAGTTGGCCAGAGGTGATACGACTTCCTTCAGGCACGACACGGGAAAGGCCTACCAAGCTGGAGGGTCGGACGCACTAGCATCCTCCGATGCGGGCAATGTCAAATTTTCTGTTGCCGGTCTACGCTTCGACAGTTCGCTTTATATGCTCTTGGTGGTATGAACACGTTTGATCAGGATGTCGCCAGGTGAGGCCTCCAACCAGATACTCGGAGAGAAGGTCTCAAAGTCAGCCATCAACACTCACTTCTTGCTCACGCCGCTCATCAACCGTGGCAACAGCGGAGCACTTGCACCGAAGGGTACAGAAAAGTGATGAAGTGACGCTGCAGTGGGGCCAAATCCTTGATCGAGTTCAGAAATGGCCACCATATATAAGGTGACATCAGGTTACCGATGCCGCAGACGTTTTGGGCCCCTGTAGTCTTGGTCAAAACGGTAAGATTACGCTCCACATCGCATTGGGCCCACGTCAAGTGACTAGCAGATGGCGTCGAACTCTTTAAGCCCTGGACATCTGTCTCACCGTCATGGAGACAATTTGATCTGGACAGCCACAATGAACTGCACGTGTCAGTCTCAACTAGGAAGTTTGATGCCGAAGATATTGAAGAAGAGCTTTTTCCCAAAGGATGAGCCTACGTCTTATGGAACAGCTTCCTTCATATCATTCTTGAATCTCTCTATTGCCCTTGCTTTCGTCTCTTTCCAGTCTACATGCGGCGCAGGGTAACCCAGCCTCTTGAACTCTTCTTTGGACAATCGATCATGTGGCGAAAAAATGGCCTTGCCCTTAACACCTCTCAGTTCTGGCACCCACTTCCGGATATAGTCTCCATTCGGATCGTTCTTTTCGGCTTGCGAAACAGGGTTGAAGACGGTATACGATGGCTCCCAACCCTGGGTGTTATTATTGAGATCCCAGTCAACCAACGTCTCGGCAAAGTACCTTTCGCCGCGTCGATAGTCAATCAGTAGATTGCAGTACAAGTATGAAGAAACGTTCATTCGCAAACGGTTGTGCATGTATGCCTCATGGTTCAGCTGTCGCATACCTGCGTCAATAAAAGGCACGCCAGTCTTTCCCTCATACCATTTCTTGAATCCTTCTTCATCGTCCTCCCATTGCACAAATTCGAATTTCAGATTCTGTGGTAGATTCATCGACGTATGTGGGGTTGTGACCGTGGTCTGACGATATAGCTCTCGAAAGACGATTTCACGAACCCAGGAATACACGCCCGGGCGGCAGCTGGATTGGCTGAAGTCACTGCTACCCCTGTTATACTCCTTCACCTTGGATAGAGCTTCACGAACACTGACAACGCCAGCAGCAAAGTAAGGACTCATGCGTGAGGTCGAGTCAGCAGCGGGCTGGCTCCGGGTGGCGAGATAATCCTCGATTCTGTCATTCAGAAAATTATCCATACGTCTCATTCCAGCTTCGTGACCGGCAGGCCAAAGCTTTCGGACCCTCTTCCGCTCTTCCTCAGACCTGAACTGTTTCCCTTTGGGTATGTCCGGTAATTTACTGTCGAAGAGTGCAAAGACCTTCTTCGAAGTGGAGGAATCTACCGCGGATGGTGCTGGCACAGTATTGAGAAGTCCCGGATTTCTCTTAACCTCTGCAAGCCATGCCTTATGGTAAGGAGTGAAGACTTTCATTGGCCCTCCGCTTGATGTGGTCATCTTCCCAGGCTCCATGACGCACTGATCATGGTAGAACGAGACATGAAAGCTATCATCTGCCGTTTTGAGAAGTTTGGCGTCACGTCTAAGCTCATCAACCTCGTACTCGAAATTAGCAAAGAGATGGGACACGCTGTTATCCTTGAGGAATTTGAGGATGACGGGAACAATTTCATGTCTTTTGTCTGCCGTGATGTAGACCAAGGGTATATTCAATCCCTTGAGTTCAGCTTGTACGCCTACAAGCGTCTCATTCATGAAATCGAGTCTGGCTGGACTAAGGCCATGCCACTCGATCCATTCCGGGCAATTCAGATAGAAGCAAATCAACGGCCTTTTTGCTCCCCTCGCCCGTTCTGCGGCAGCGTGCAATGAGATGTTATCTTGGATTCTCAGATCTCTTCGGAACCAATGCGCGACCTTGGAGATCTCCTTCTCAGGCGCCTGCGTGTCAAGTTGCTCCTGTAGAGCTTTGTACGGGGTATCCTGGTCTACCTGCTTCGCTCGTTTTGTACTGGGATGCGTCAATTCAGGGTGCTCCGGATCTGAACGTTTGGACATTCTGTGAGACTGTTTCCAATTTGAACAATTGACCCTCCCCCAGCCACTGGCAAGGATAAAATTGTTGCACAACGCCCTCCTGTAAAACATGCGCAGGGATGATGGTAACTGTTGCTAAGGATCATGATGGTGATATCATCCAACTGCAGCGATCTGCAGGGGTTTGTCTGGATCGATCTTAGACTAGGCGCAGATCACATTTGCACCCCCTGGCGAAATAGCATTTGATAGTTATCCATTTTTCGGTGCTTAATTGTTTCACGTAAGGAATCATTCATACCACAGAAGCATTGGCGAAATTGGAAAAAGGAGCATGGGAATCTGGGTTCAAGGGGGGCTATGCAAGAAATACATCCCACCATTTCCCAGTCTGCAGTTCATCTTTTCATGCACTAATTGACTGAAAGCACACTGTTCCAGGATCAAATAATGAATTGAGAATCTATGCCAGAACACTAAGTAGGAGGGATAACCAGGCAGTGCCAGGTATAGACGGAAGACGTTACAACAATGGCTCTGATGCGATTTTCCCCTCTCTTTGATTACCATCTGCCAAACAGCAAACTTACTTCCTAATTTCTTCCTCGAAAGTGGCACAAATGTAGAAAGAAGACTGCCAAGCAAGTTGGACGCTCGCATCATCTTGTCAACTTGTTCCAGAGTCAACCCGTTTCTTCAGGCATGCAGAAGTAAACGAGGAAATACTGCTCAGACAGCATTTCCCCAGACAAAGAATCCTTGGTCTTGAGGCCGGCAGGGTTTACTCTTCATTTTCAAGATACGGCGTATCCGATCGCCCCCGTCGCATAGCCAGTCGCTTGCAATGGGACATGGTAAGCAACTTTGCGTACAAGCGCAGAGAAGGTCTTCACCCTGTGGAGAGCTAGTTGGTTAAAACGGATCGACTTTTCACTGCGTGAGAAAGAAGAAATCAGGAATTAGGCATTGACCCATTACGAGAATGCCGCCAATCGTACCAGTGTTGCAGCCGAAGAGGATTTCCCAAAGGCTACGGACAAACACATCAATATTGCTGGGCGAGGTGCGCTCCCGACATCTTGTGAGATGATTGAGAGGAAACGGGTGTTAACTCAACATTGAAAGGTAGGAAGCTCAGTTACATGTCTGGAGGACTGTGGGTTGCCTGATGAGATCAGCAAGTTCTTTCCTCCTGTCAATCGATACCCTGCAAAAGATTCTTGAAGCTAAAGAGGTGTTCCGCTCGGGGCAAGGCAGTTACATCGTCCTTGGGCTCAACATCGGAGATGGGACCGGAGTTAATCTGGCAGGCTGCTGGTTCAATGCCGAGATTTGCCATGTGGGGCTATAGATGCGGGGGCGGGGAAGGAGGACTCCACCAACACAATATCATGGTTCAGCCCTGCAATCCTCCTTTCACATCCTCAGTGTTCTCTTTCCTATATTCTTCTTGCCAAAAGATTCGAGAAATTAGGGTTTTGGCATAGGCGGCGCCAATGGCGGACGGCTGAGTCAGGGATCTTCTAGCAAACTACCTTTGAGTTCCCCCGAGAAAAACTTTTATCATTGGTGATCCAGTTTCTTCGCGCGCCCACGCAGTTCCCTCCTTCTAGTTTCACGTCATTAGCTGCCTAGCATGGCCTTGTCTCTCCCTTCAGTCCACAACGAATGGCTGAACCTTTTTTCCCATATCGCCTCATTGCTGCACGTCCCACCATGGCATACCTCTGAACTCCCAGACCTCGACGCTCGTACCACCGCTCAATTAATAGATCACACCCTTCTAGCTGCAGCTGCAACATTGGATCAGATCTCCACTCTCTGCGTCGAGGCACGTGAACATCACTTTCGAACGGTCTGCGTCCGCTCAAATCATGTGGCTCAAGCAAAGAAAGACCTCTTGGGCACCGATGTCGGAGTGGCCTCTGTGGTTGGTTTCCCATCCGGCGATGACTATCCGTCCTATAGTACAGCGCAAAAGGTGGCAGAGGCCAGATTCGCCATTGCGGATGGAGCAACCGAGCTCGACATGGTCTTGAACTATGAAGCTTTGAAAGAGGATGGCCAGGTATCCGAAAATGAACACACAAGCATGTATACAGCCATATACGAAGACGTTGTGGCTGTTCGCGAGGCAGCTCCTAGACCAATGATTTTGAAGGTCATACTCGAGACGAGTCAGCTCACGGATGAGGATGTGGCTAGAGCGTGTGTTATTTGCTGTTTAGCAGGAGCAGATTTCGTGAAGACAAGTACAGGTTTTCGAGGGCATGGTGCCACGCTAGAAGTGGTGCAGCTGATGAGGGCAGTGTGTGACGTATGCCAGAGTGAGGGGTTGACCACAGGAAGAGTGCAAGTCAAGGCTTCTGGTGGGATAAAAACAATAGACGACGTCCGGAAAATGGTGTCCGTGGGAGCAGAAAGGATAGGCGCGAGTGCTGGTGTTGCCATCATAAGTGGTCTGAAGAGGAGAAACTCAGTCGTTCCGAAAGCTTTAGAGGACAGGGTAAGGGGTGATTACGACATTTCTGAAGCCAATCAACGGTTAGAGAGCACGCTGACAGAGTCGTCGCAACCCGGAAGCCAATACTCTCCCGCCAACGGGCAGGAAGCTGTCTAGATCGTTAGGAATGGTCAACCTGGTCTCGAGACCCGCCAAACTCCATAAGAATACTCGAGACAAAGCTTCCCCCAACAGAATTACTCCTAGCAGAGAATGCCGCGAGGCTAGGCCGCCTGACAGGCCCAATCCGATGCTTTTGTATCACCAGGTTCCGAAACTACAGCACAGTGATAGAAGCCGAGGAACTCCTTGAAGCTGAACGTCTACCAACCTGACACTCAGCAAGCCAGCACGCAAGCAAGCTATCAACCTGAATCGGCCCTTCAGCTCCACGATCACTGAAGGGGTGCATCCCAGCTTGCGGCCAAACCCCGCTCTTCTACTTATTCCTACAACAACTCCCTCCCCAAACCCTCGTCTGTTGTGCATGCGCAACACGATGAGGAAAAAAACATCTTGCCCCCTCCACCCCTCCTCCTCTCCAAGAGCCCAACCTCACGCACCCCCCACAGCTACATGTATACAGATCACAGGACAGAACAGAGCAGACAACACAGCCCATTCCAGCCGGCGATAAACCATTTTCGCTTTCGAACCGAGAATATGTATGTATGTATGTATGTATGTATGTATGTATGTATGTATGAGCGGATTAACAACACGAGGCGCCCCCTCTCACAACACCAAGTCTAAAACGGTATTGCGTACCAGTCAGTGGTCTTTTGTGGCGGTTGATGAGGAACAATAAATATATACTATTAGTGTGTTATCCGGGTATACGGATGATGGTGGTGTCTGATCGGGTATGAGATCCTGCTCGAGAGAAGAGGGGTCGGGGTCTATAATGGATGGGAAGAATTGGGCTTGTGGTGGGGTGGGATGGGATGAGGAGAATGGTAGAGGCGCGTCCTGTTCACTGTACACAATAAGCATAAGTACAAGTACAAGTACAAGTATGAGTGCAGGAAAGGTGGAGCCGGTCCATTTTTCCTTGCTGAGCTTTGACGTTATTGCCCTTTCATTCATTCATTCATTTCTTTCTTTCTTTCTGTTTCCTGTGTATGTCGAACATTTTCTACATAAGCTAATCGCTCCCTCAAGCGCACACATGTACTTACTAAGCTGCTGCTGCGCCAAAGTCAGTTACAGACAACCCTCGCATATTGGTTACGGTATGCTATATCGAAAGATGTGCATTACGCTCCGCCAGCCTGCTTGACCGTCGAACCGCCTCCCGCATCCAGGCGTCCCATCTCCCTCACAAGATCCAGACCCGCGGATTTCTCTCCAGCAACCACCTCAGCTAGATCTAAATCCAATCCCCTAAACCCCTCCTCGACAACCCATCTTTGGCCCCCAGACCGGTTCAGAACTTCACAGCTCCACCCCAGCACCAGTAACCCGGGGGGCCGACTGCCCTCCTCCTCCACCGCCTTGGAGATATATTCCAGCGTTGAGCGGATAACGCGCTGATCGGGGCAAGAAGCCCGTTCCACCACAGCGCAGGGTGTTTCTTTCGGCCACGGCGCCTTCTTGTCCTCCTGCACCATCGCATCACTGGTTGAATGATCAGGCGTGGCGGTGAGACTCGACACCAGGCTCTCCAATCTATGCAGTGCCATCAGAAACACGACCGTCATATTTCTGTTATAGGCAGGCGGCTCTGGGCTGGCGCCCTTCCTCCCTGTTCCCGTACAAATCAGCACCTGGTCCGCCACCGCACGATGCGTGACCGGAATTCCGGCAAACAGCGGCGCCGATAATGCGCTCGTCACACCCGGCAGCACCCGTGCCTCATACCCGTTCCGGCGGAAGAAATCCAGCTCCTCTGCGCCGCGGCCGTAGAGATATGGATCCCCTTGTTTCAGGCGGAGGACGTTTTGGCCCTGTTTGAGAGCATTGAGGCCGAGGGAGAGGAGCTCCTCCTGCGCGGCGTCCGCGTTGCCGGGAAACTTGCGCGCGATGTGCACAGGTGTGCGGCGTGGGATGAGGTCAAGGACAGGGGAGGGGACAAGCTTGTCGGCCAGTATGAAGTGCGCATCCTGGATGGCGGTGTAGGTTGCTCGCGTAAGGAGGTCGGGGTGGCCCGGACCAGAGCCGGCAAGAGTTATGGTTCCGCGCTGTGAATGGGTGCGGCAGTCTACAGTACGCGGGGTTAAAGGCGCGGTGTCGATGGTGGAGTTGGTGTAGGCGGAGAGGATAGTGGAGATGTCCGAGTCGGTTATGCTGGCTAGGCGGCGAAGGGGCCAGTATTCGCATATTTGAGAGAGCCAGCGGAGGCGGCGTGTGCGGGCTATGGAGGGAGATGTGTCGGTGGATTGTATCAAGGTGTTGAAGGTGTGTTTTTGGTTTGGCGTTTCCTCGTCTTCGATTTCAGGAGTGGGATCTGTAGCCAATTCGGCCGCATGGTCTTCTTCCCATATCCGGCGACGGATGGTACCCAGTCGTTCGACTGTTTGACCGAAATGGGGCGGTAGAGAGGCAGCTACCTCCCTCCGGATGCGGGATGACAGTTTGCAGCCTTTGCCGGAGGTAGTAATGCCAATTTGGAGAGGACCATCTGTATGAGTCGAGAGGAGAGTGAAAGTGCAGAGATTGGGCGCATCCGTCACGTTGACTGGTATGCGCAACCTCCGGCAGATTGTTGAAATATGTATACTCTGTGAAGACCTTGAACCTGTTGTAACGAAAACAGCATCAACCACATTGTCAACTTCCGGTCGTCCTAACGTTTGCAAGTCACTGTCTTCAAAGTCCTTTTGTATCCATTCCGCCTTGCCCTCTTCGATTCGCTTCAACAAGGTGTAATGACATTCGCTGCCGGCTGGGGCGACGATGACAGGCGATGCGCCAACCTCCGAGGACTTTGCAGCTCGAGATGCGGCCAGTGGGCCAGAACCAATTATCAGGTGGACATGGCCAGTCGAGTCAACGGCTGTCAAAAGAGCGGGTGCTATCATGCCGCTCTTGCTGTGCTTGTGCGCTGATTAGAGGAGCAATGGACTGAAGGGATAGGAGCTGAGCAGCTTTTATGGGTAAGCACTGTAAGGGCAGCCAGGAAATACTGGTTGGGAAACATGACAGAGGAAACCATTGAGACAGAAGGAAAGGCCAAGGAAAGCTTCGCGCATATCACCATCTTGTCCGCGTCCTGGACGAATGGTTCGTAATTCGGATGATAACGCGATAACAATCTTGGCCCATATCTGATACTAATGGTGCAATGGCGGTGGCGAGGAAAAGCCGAGGAGATGGATTTTGTGGCGAGGAGATTGAGATTGTGGAGGGATAGTCTTCACGCTGCCTCGATTGGGACTAACGCAGCGATATGCTCTATTGATCTTAGATCACTGTAGATACGCAAGCAGCGACCTGTTGAAGTGGATGAGCAGAACTCTATCTATCTATCTATCTATCTATCTATTCACCAGTTTATCTCAAGCGCGGCAAAGTCTGCTGCGGTGGGCGGGGTCACGTGACGGCAGGGCTTGGTATCTGGCCCCCGTGCAAGACATGACTCAAAAGTCGAATAGATTACAAAAGCATGTGGGTTTCAGTTTCCAGTAGCACAATTATTCTGCACCTACCATCTACCTGGAGAAGGCCACAAAAATTGACGCAGTATTGGTCCTTAACAAATTCAGACGTCTTGTCATTACAAGGATCATCGGATGACCATAATCTAACCGTCATGTGGTAATAATTTGGTAGAAAGACGTCCGAAATGACACAATTTCATCAGATATCAAATGTCTTGGTTACATAATTTTATGCAAACTAAGTCATGTTCTAATTAGGCCTAAACTAAGCACACATTGATGGTAATTTAAGCATAGCTTTCAGAGGGCCTCTTCCTGCTAAGAACACCATTAATACCTACCCCTTGGCAGTTATCGTTCAAGAATTATAGGTGCAACATCAAGAATATCCAGATGTTAGCGGATGTGGCATCCCTAGCCAGACCGAGTCCCAAGCAGTCGCCGATGCTTGCTCTGGCTTCAATGCCGACCTTCCAACACAACATCCTCTACTTACACAATGTCACATGGTCCTTGCTCTCTTTCCCGTGGTCCTCTTCGCTGAAGCCATCTCGAATTCCGTCAGAAAAACTCTCTACGACATCTGCTTCAACAACAGGACCGGTATAGGATTTCCTTCCGGAGATCACCCAGTAGATGGCAGCTAAAGCAAAAATGAGGCCGAGGAAGGCGATTGCATAATTCATCTACCAACAAGCATCAGCTCGAGATCATATAATATTCCTTCCTAAGGTTCGATGATGGGCACGTTCTCCATCTTGCGTTCGATTTGAAGGGCAACTCACGTTGAGGGCTGTGACAGGCCTGACTGTCGGCAGGATAAAAATGATGGTAATGAATGCGGTCCAGATGCAAGCCCATGCGTTGACCCAGAAGCTTGCCTTGCCCATATGCCAAGGACCCGGCTCAAATTGGCCATATTTGAGCTTGCAGAGGATGGGAATAACATAGCTCCAGTCGATGGCGATTGCAGTAACATTGAACACGCCTGCAATGGCGATGTAAGAACCAAGTCCGATGAGATTAATAGCGATGCACAGCACTACGGAGATCCACACTGCGTAAATGGGAGTCTGAGTCAATGGGTTGATCTTGGCCCAGATGCGAGAGCCGGGGAGCAAACGATCGCGAGAGAAGGCAAAGACCGTCCGTGCAAGGGATTGCTGTGAAACAACGAGTCAGCTCGGTCATCCGCCTACACCCCTTGTTCCGGAGTCATGTCCTTCCCGATTTGCGGCAACAACTCCGAGCTGCCCTGCTGTGCTAGGAGCATGATGACAAGCCAGTATCCTCAAGTGACTCCATGATGCTACTCCAGATTGGCAGGGTTGTTGATGCAATTGACAGCCTCCCCAGTCATCAGAGCACCCAGACAGCCAGAGGAAGACGCCTTATTCACCGACTGAGAGCAGAACTACTTACCATCCCAGCAATGCAGAGAAATTTCACTGTAGGATCGTCAGTTACTGATCTGATCATCCATGCTGTGCAAAGCATGGTTTATGGTGTGTCCCTACAAATGATGAGTGCGAAAACAGTATAAAAGAGACCTCCAGCCTTGCCGAGCACATTAAAGAATATCTGCGCCACCGGCTGCGCCATAGGACTCGCGAGGATCTCGCTTGGTTCACCCATGACAAAGCAAAGCACGATGTTGAACAAGAACCCACCAACATATGTGAAGGCCATGGCAAGGCTTATCGCCCATGGCGCCTTCAGTTCTGGTTCTCTCATCTCTTCTGTGATGTGTGCTGTAGCGTCTAAGCTTGAACTCAGCAGTCGCTCGGAAGACAGAAAAAGAAATTACCATAAGCAGTCATGGTCCAGCTACAGCAGTCAGCGCTCTATATGATGGTTCGGAGGGATAACTATTACGAACCTCACAGAGAGGAAGCCAAAGAGGAAGCTAAATCCCACGGGACTCCACCCAGATACCGACTCGACGTTAGTAAAGACGTATGTTGCACTGTGTCGAGTCTCCGCTTTGGCGAGAAGTGCGATCGAGCCTATTAGTCCGAGTGTCAGTGTACATGTGACCATTTGAAGAAGTGGGCCACAGAAGGAGGGCTTACATGTGAGGAGCACGGCAACATGGATAAAAAAGTATGATCGTGTGATCTTCTCTATCTGCAGGTAGGTCAGTAAGGCTCAGTCCAATCGGCCGCCGGAACAAGGTATACGAAGTATGTGGACAGAGAATTGACAATTCCAGTCACCACTGTCAGCGCAGCCATGACTCCAATCACTGTTCCTGTTGTTGGGACATAGGTGAAGTCTGAACCCATCGAAACAGCCGCCAATAACAATTGTGAGGCTCCGTACTCCGAGGAAGCCAAGCCCGCAACCTGGGTCCTTTATTAGATACACAGACTCTGACCTTCAACATCGTCCTTACTTGACCAAGTATGTTGAGCCAGCCGGTCACCCTGAAGTCGAACCCGTCGGCAAGTTCCTGGGTTTGGGCATGGTGGACAGATCACTCACCAACTAATCCACGGGACACTGTTCTTGGGGGCTAGGCGGGAGACACTGTAATAAAGACCACCGCTTGTCGGATAGGCCGATACGAGTTCTGCTACAGACAACTACGGTGCATTGGGATAGTCAGCTATGCGCTGGCATTCGGTAGGCTCACAGCCCGTGGCCGTCGCTCACAGCAAGACACATACAGCCTGCTCCTGAGATCGCCCAGGACCAGACAGCACTGGCACTGCCTCCTGCAGACAGTGGATAGATGAATGTGGTTGAGACGGTTGCAAATAAGGCGCTGATACTGACAGCGAAAGAAAAGGCGGACAGGTACCCAAACTCCTGGAAGGAAGTTAACCTCCATTAGTTGGTGAAGCGAAACGCGGATAGGAGATTTCGACCCTCTTGAGGACTGGATTGTAGCCAAATTTGCCCGCAAGCTCAGCATCAGCCTTGTTCAATTCATCCAGATGCACCACACGGCGGCCGCCGTTTTCATTGATTTCGACAGTGCGAAGAGTTTTGCGCTGGTGAAGCTCCGGACCGTGCAGTAATTCAGCCATGATCACGCTAGTTGCTGGTCGTGGTCGTAAGAAAGTGACTGGAGAATGGCGGGGAAGGAAGGGGAAAATTGGGAAATGTTGTCCATCACATCTTCTTAGCCTGAGCACTCTAGCTGATCGATATCTGGATTCGACCGTTCTAGGCTAGGCAGGCTCGGGTAGGTGGCTGCAGGACGGGTCGCCGATGTGGCTGCAGTTTGGTGGATGAAGTTGTGCTCTGAAATGGCGCTGATCGGTTCTCTAATTGAGTTTCAAGATCTATTGATAAAATGGTCCGTCCCTCCTGGAAACTAAAAGGCTTGAACGACTGGCATCTGAGCATTGACAATCCGGCGCTCAAACGGCAAGGAGCGGCTCGTTATGCGCCAAACACGCATCGGCCTAGGGGCCGCGATGGCGCCAACGTGGCCATTTCTATCTGCGTTGGACACCTGACGGGGAAGGCTAGCCGATAGGCAGATTTGCAGAGGGGAGCGCCCATCTAGAATGAGAAGTCAGGGCTAAGATTTGGTGGCGGTGTAACAGCAAATGATAAGAGCAAGAATCGAAGTTCTGGTCTGATCTCTGCCGGGCGCTTTGGTGGAGGGTTGAAGATGGAACAGAATGGGTCAGGATTCGGAATCGTTGAGCACCGCATCCCCCGGAACGGAGACCAAAGAGGTGGGGAAAATAATCTCAATTTGCCCCCTTTCATCCCTGTGAGTGATCGTTGGTGCTGAACCCTTAGCGTGTTTCGCCATATTTCAAGGCCCCCAGCTCGTCTGTGTAAGAGAGCTTGAGGAAGATACAAGTGAAAAGCATTTATAAGAGTGGAACCATTAAAATCTATTCAAGTGATCTTACAGGGCTCTATAGCCGATCGTACTCTCTATCTCAATGAGTATGCCACCTAGAACGTTATATTGCGAGATATCCACCCACCCGACCATTTCTTTCCGTAGCAACATCCTCGAATGCACAGAAAGGAGGCAGGAGGGTAGTTCTTTTATAGATGGGCCCCGAAGTACCAAGTGGTGACATGGGTTTTGGGTAGTCATTGGAGGGTAACTTGCGCTCTGGAGCAGCACAGGTTTCAGGAGGAAATGATGTAAAATGCCATGACGGGTGGACAGTCAAGGAGCCACTGCCTCCTTAGCGCGTGATCTCAACTTGGGGTTCATCGCTTTTGCGCGTTTCTTCTGTTTAGCTTGGGGTGAAGAGCCGCCATCTGCACCCTCGATAAATTTCAAGAGCTCATCTATGCTCCGCGAGTCAAGGCCCATTGGTCGCGTATTCGACCTGGCAGAATTGCTCGCTGTCTCTGCGACTGTACGACCAACTTGTGGCAGTGGCCGGGTTCCGAAAGACACATCCGACGTCAACTGAAATCGCCTCAAACGTCGATTCTGGATATCTTTGGCATGCTTGGCAATAGATACAGCATTTTGAGTCAACTGCTCGAGCCAGCTCTCTGCCTCTTTGGTATTGCGGTCATTTGGTCCAAGTTCGGAATGGAAAATGTTGTAGGCTTCACGCATGCGATTGACTGCACCTTTCGAGTCTTGATCTAGTGCCAGCGCCTGCGCCAGCTGGAAAAGAATAGTGGCTGAGTTAACCGACTGACGTCCGAAGAGATCTTCGCACACAGCAAGTGATGCCTCAAACCATCGTCTTGAATCTGAATACTGTTTCAAAGTCTGTAACATGACAGCGGCATTGTTCATCGTCGTGATAGAATCCGGATGGTTGGGGCCATAGATGATCTTCCACAGATCCAAGGCATGTTTGACGTAATTCAAAGCAATCTTAGTGTTGCCCATAGAATGCTCGAAAAGCGAAAGATTGAGGTAGGCGAGGATGGTGTCGGCAGAATCCAAACCAAGAGTTCTTTCGGTGACAATGACTGCTTTGCGTGCGAGCTCCACTGCAGCGTCTTTCTCGTCGGTCTGGAAATAGATCATTGACAACTGATGATACATCTTGGCTACCTCTGGATGGAGGATGCCATAGATCTGTTCATGCAAGGACAGTGATTCTAGTATCAATTCTTGACCTAGCTGCTTGTGGTTCTGCTGTAAGGAAATGCGCCCGGCTTCCAAAGCTTCTTCTGCTAGAGCACTACGTGGAGCAGCATCTTTCACAACAGGGGTTATGTTGAGAATGTCGTCCGGAGTGAAGGTGTTGGTCGGCTTGGGACTTGTTCCATTGGTGAGTGCATGGTCACCGCCTTTCTTCTTCTTCTTTCGCTGCTCTTCAGAATTGTGGCCGTTGGCATGGTTGACACCATTCGTTATGGCCGCACCATCGTCTGATTTCGATTCGTTCTTGCGGAAAATGTAGTCTTTGGCAGCCAGTTGTAGTCCTTGCTTCAGACTAATTTCACGCAGTGTCTGCAATGGTTTCAAGTCTGCTAACCATTCTGGAGGCAAGCAATATCGGTATCTTATTGATATTTGCTTCTCGATGTCAGCTCGCAAGTCCTGTGGCGTGGTCTTTTCGAAGGAGAAATCGCCTTCAGGGTACATCTCTTTCAGCTCTTCATCTATGTCTGGTCGAGGATTTTCGTTGACCTGAAAACTCAACAAGCAATTCAGCAAATGGGAAACACAGGACACAGCAAATACAGACGGCAAATGTCGAAGGCATCTGTTAGTAATGTGCTTGAATGCTCGCGCGACCATCTCTTGATGAGCCAGCCCTACCAGTGCTCTGAGGCGATTGCCCTTCTCTGCAGCAAGCGTAGCAACCTTGCCAAGATACCGCACGTTAATACCTCGTTTATGTAGCAGCTGACTCAGAGATTGGCCATCCATTGGGTAGCCTACGTCGTTGTCATAGAGGTCTTGAATTAGGTCTGGGATGACTTTTGTTCTCAGATAGGCACACACCGCTAGAACTTCTTGTTCGTCTTGTGCATATTCTCGTTTCTCCTCGTCCGTCTGCGGCACCTGTCCGCTGCACACATCGGGATTCAATGCAAATTTGAAATTCGAAAGGTCCACAAGCTCTTGATCCTGGCCACCCTCCTCTTGGCTGGTTTGAACTGTCTTCTCGACAGACCCCTCTGCTACCTGTGGCGGCAAGTCATTGACTGAACTCTGCTCCAGGCCGTTCTGCTCATCCTTCTCGTCGACTTGGGGTTTAGGCTCAGCTTTCCTTCTTTCCACCTCAGCTTTGACGTACTCTTGAAGCTTCATTCTTCGGTACGCTTCGACAAGCTCGAGACGCAGAATAGCCATGCGATGAGGATATTCTCCAAAGTCGGAGCCATCAGACGAAGCGACTTCATCTGCCCAAGCGACATCAAGTGGGGCGATGCGATACATGTCAAGCACGTACTTCCGGCCATCGGTACCAAGCAAGCCTTTTGTCTCAATGCTGCCTTCTAAGTCGTGGCGTTCGCATTTTTTGTCCCAGACCGCATGCTTCTTGACATGTATAGCTTTAGACAATCTCTCGAATACCGGAACGAATGCCTCATTTTCTGTGACGATTTCTCTACCTTCAACACCACCATAATCAATCTGAGGTTCTCCAGGTTCACGCTGTTTGAATATGCCTGGGACTATGCTCTGTCCGACTATCCGCTTGCCGAGATAGTCGACAACAACTGTGCCCGGAGTATACAAGTCCGGGATGTCCAGCTGATTGACAGCCCTGACACCCATCACATCTTTACCAACGGCCACCCTTGCAGCTTCGTCACCTCCTTCACTAGCGAACGTCTGAACGCCGTCAGCACCGAAAGAGAAGAATATGTTGTTGTAGACAAAGATTTGGGCATCTTTGCCTTCGGTGGGGTTTAGAGGAGCCACCTCACCACGTGCAACCAGCACTGCGCCTCTGGCTGCTGCATCATTATAGTCCGCAAATAGCTTCGAGGTAAGCCTCTCACGAAATACTCTGTCCTGAACGTTGTCTCTGGGTAGCTCCCTTGTGCTTTGAAATTCTTCATTCCAATCTCTCAATGTTTCAGTATTGTCCACCCCTCCCATCAAATATGCCTCTTGTGCTCTCGTCTGGTCCGGTTGATGCTGATTCAGTGGAGAGGACGGAGACAGAACCAGCCATGGATTTGCGGGAATGGCATTCTGAAACGGAAAGGTAGTAAGAAGGTCCTTCTTGTTGTTGACTTCTTGAAGCTCCGTGAATGCTTTGTTGAACGATGGTGAGATTAGAGCGATGAGAGAGAGCAAGGAATGTGCGTTGTGGTTCTTAGGTGCTGGTCTTGGAAATGGATCGAATTTGTTGCTGGAGGATCTGCTAACGAAAAAGCCTGAGACTGTTGATGTAATCTGATATTGTTCACCTTCATTGGTAGTGACTTGAAGGTATAGGAGATGACCTCGTTGCCTGAGATGATAGGGTGGAGGGTTCCACGGCGAGATGGAGATGGACTTCAGAGTCCGTGGTAGAGTTTCTTGCTGCTGGGGTACAATAGTCTGGATCGAGGAAGGAGCGTCGATTTCGAAGCCAACCAAAGGGTGAGCTGGCGCCGAGCTGTCATTGATCAAGGCATTTCGAGCAGCCACCGCCGTATCGTGGAGTGATATGCCTGCGCAGATGCCCTGTAGTTGATCTACACGATCTCCTGCGGCGCCAATCAGCTCCCTGATCCTAACCACATGCATGCGAGCTTCTCTCTCGGTATACGGATCCTCGACTAGAACCAATTCAGAGCCAGCCTTGAGATCTTTCACATCTGCCAGCTCAATGAAATCGTTGATTCGTTCTCCATTATGTTCCAAATGAAAGCATGTGTATTGGAAGGTCCCAGGTGATTCAACGATCGACTGCCGCACATCTTGGACCTGTTCCTGGCTAGTGACTGTTAAGAACATCTTGTATGGGTCATGGGGCAGCTTGACGTTGATCTGGAAGAGTGCTCCTCCATTCGGATCTCCCTCATGGTTATGTTCATGATGATGATGGTGGGTGACATCAGTGTCTCCATTGGTGCCGTTGACAGAAATGGCGGATAGGTTTTCAGAATGTGCTTTTTCAGACTTAGCTGCGTGAAGTGGATCAGCAGTGGGATTCAACTGATCGCTTGCACAGTTACCATGTGTAGTGGTCGTGTCACCGTAGACCTCGGCCATTAGTATTTCGAAGAAACAATGCTTTTGTTACAGGAGCCCTAATGCACGAAGATTACACTATGCAAGACAAGGATAAGGGAGAAAAGAAGGGAGCGACCGTGCTCAGTATCTTAGTGTACAGAAAGATGAGGCGTAAGGAGAAAGGACTGGATAAGAAGTTGACCTGACGAACTTCTTCAAGCTTGGAGTGAGAGCTTTTTTTTTTCTGAGAAAGCTTAAAACAAAAATCTCATGCAAGGAAAACGTCCCGGGGCCAGCGTCGGCAGTCGGCTGACGGCTGCCGGCTGAACTCGGCTCTCTTGCCCCATCACTCGCACTCAACCAACATTAGGATCAATCAGAGCTCCAGAAACTGCATGATCGTTATTTCTAGACTCCAACAACAACCTTCAGGCCCCTATTGCTACGAATACTTCCTCATATTTCACCCAATCCAATCCAGATTGCACTGCATCACTTTGCTCCTCACGACCTTGAACTGTTGGACATTAGTTAGTAGTTTAACTAAGTCAAGCTTCCCCAATTAGCGCCAAGATTGGCCATTTCATTCTTTCCGACTGAGACTTGGTACCTTTCATAGGTTCATCAGCGTCCCGTTTCTCACTCTTCTTTCCCCTGGTTCCCATAAACCTTGACGTCTCGTGTACTGTCCCTACAGCACGGTAGTACAGAGTAAGACTTACGCATTTGGCGACTTATTCTTTCTTTCGTGCTATTTGGCTCAATTTTTCCAAGCTTCATTCTTGGCTCCTGTCCTTGAAACCCCTTGTCTGCCCCTGACCCAGACCCACCAGCCTTTGGATACCATCAACCTTGTACGGACATCTTGCATCCCGATTGACCTAGCACATCCAAGCTGTTATGCATATATTGGGAGATTCTCGTTAATCTGTCGATATGCATGTGTTGCGGTCCATCAGTCTAGGCAGGAGACGTTCGCGGCAACGATATCAAATTGATATACTGCCTCGATACCGCCAGCCTAGGTTTTGCTGCATACGTTACGCCTCACAATTGTTCGGGCCGTTCGGAAATCCACTGGGCACTAATGAAGAGGATGAGCCTCAGCGACCACGCAGCTCTGATACAGAGACACAATCTCGACTATTTGACACCTTTTACAAGATGTTCGAATCTGCGGCAACAACCTTCGCTTCTATTGCTGTCCTTGGCTTGGCCGGTTATGCTTATCATAGGTATTACAAGCGACTTGTCTTGCAGAAGATAGAAAATGCATTCCAACCTGGAGACCCAGTTCTGGAGCTGGCCGCTTTGGGAAAGTCTGCCACTGGTAGCTCAACTCACATTTCAGGCGCAAGAGATGGTAAGGATCAGAATTGGATCCTTCGTCCAGAGCAAGACAAGATCGACGCTGTTGTGAATGGTACTGATAAAGGCAAATATCACCTCATCATTGGCGAAAAGGGAACGGGAAAATCGTCGATGCTTCTCGAAGCAATGCGCAAGGTGGACGGAGAAGGCATCTCTATGTTTGAAGCCCACGCCGACCTTGAGATTTTCCGAATCCGGCTTGGGAAGGCTCTCGATTATGAATATCATGAAGACTACATCGGCAGCCTCTTTTCAATTCGTGGACCACGAGATACCACAGCTTTGCTCGACATTGAGCGGGCTTTCAACAAATTAGAGAAGTTAGCCATGCAACGGAGGAAGCGCCGAAGAGGTCCTTTGATCCTCATTATAAATTGCACTCATCTTATCCGAGATGATGATGATGGACGTAATCTGCTAGAGTTGATACAGCAGCGAGCGGAGCAGTGGGCTGCTTCGAATCTGTTAACGATGGTCTTCAATTCAGATGACTACTGGGTCTACGAACGTCTCAAACGCTATGCTACCCGCATGGAAGTTGTACCAGTTCTCGATCTTCCCAAGGATCGTGCTATTGCAGCCCTGGAGAAATACCGCCGAAGGTATTTTCCGGAACAAACGCTCTCGTCCGAAATTCTGAGCCAGGTTTATGATCAGGTGGGCGGTCGACTTGCGTACCTAAATCGGGTGGCAAAGAGTTCGAACATGATCCATGCCTGCGAGAAGATACGCGAAGCAGAAAAGACGTGGTTTTTGAACAAGTGCGGCATCCTTGGAGAAGAGATGGACGACGATGTGATGGATCAACAGAAGTATGCATCCGCAGCCATGGTCTTGGCAAGAGCTCTCGTGAAGGCTCAAGATCAGATGGAGGCTTCCTATGACCCGAGGGAGGGCCACAAATTACCCCAGATACCACTCTACAAGGCTCGTCAAATTATGACCAGAGCAGATTTCATTCAGTCTTATGATCACGACAACATCTTCACCATCGATTCAAGGGCCAATGTCAGAGCAGACAGCGTACCAATGATGAACGCATTTCGAGAGATATGCAGTGAGCCAGGATTTGATGACTTTCTTGAAGCGACACTTCATAGAATCAGTGCCATCGAGAGCCTCAACAGGACAAAAGAGCTGACGCTGAAAGATCTATGGATTGAACAGCGTGGCGAAATACGTGGCAAGTATCTAGCAGTGATGAAAGACAGCAAGGGGCGTGATACTGGTACTTTGGAATTTGCTATCAAGCCCAACGAGAACCTAGAAGATGATGACGCGGGGTGAGTGCGTTGTTGAAGCGCAGAATTCATGGTCGTCAAACTTTATCACATTCTGCAACATATACAAGAGGTTTATGACCCTTGCATCAAAGGAATTTGAGATGCAGCACAATATAGCTTAGCTATCGTCCGATAAGCAGAGAGCAAAGCTGAAATTTGTGGAGCCAATCTGGGATGTTCGGAAGTGCATCGATCGAGCTCACAGCTGCAAAGCATGGGCAGTGAGCGGATTAGGAAAGCCTGCAGAGACATGGTGCATTTGACAGCTTACATGTCAAGAAGCTCAACCTGCAGCAGGAAGATTGCTGCCGCGTGGTTCCTGCAATGCATTTTAAATACAGCGCCGCCGGCGTTTGAGACCCATACTAGTCAACTCAGGAGGGTGCGCTTTTCCATCTAACACGCGAAGAATAGATGCAATATGTCAAAGCATGCTCCCCGGACCGACTCAATCGTTATCGAGTCTTCTGCATTACATTCTATCCGGTCGAAGTTCTTTCGCACCAAGCCCAAGCACGCAAACGCCAGAAGAGCTGTGTTGAGGCAGGACTATTTAGGTTCTTCTTACTGTGCAGAGAACAATTTGCCACTGTTAGATAATGCCAATCGGTGTCCCATGGCACAACTACGTCAATCACCAGCTCAAGTCTGCAGGAAGTGTTGGGAAACGGGAGATAAAGGTGTCCGAAGCACAACTGAGAGCATCTCAAAGCGGCAAAACTTCCGAAGCTCAATCATGAAGATCCCAATCTTATCCATGGTTATGACGCCATTGCTCGAGGTGATGGAGATGCCATGGGCGGTTGAGCTAGGATGGAGGAGAGTGGGCGCTAAGGTGGCTGAATCATAGGGGAATGAACCATGGTTAGTTACAGAGCCGGGCCGGTGGCCCCTTTAGCGAGATGGAAGTGGCAGACAACTCAGACTTCATTGGCCGTTGAGCAATTTGTGCCTGAGCGTCAAACGCCGGCAGAGTGGTTGAGCACTTGTGATCCCAGCGAAGAGCTTCCTGAAAACTGGCTAGTTTAGTTAAGATGTGGTCAAGATTGTTTTAGGGGCTGCCTAAAACCTCTTGGCTCACACTGAATATGCCAAGCCTGGCTGATCCCCCCTTCCATTCATTTCACCTCACCAGGTTCTGACTTCTCAACCTTCATTCCACATTGAGTCCTCTTGTTCAGAGGTCACTTACCTCATTTACGCTCTCTTGCACCACTTCTTCATCTTCAGTACCTTGATGGTATTCTCGCTGGACAAGTGAATCCGTTCTTTTTCTTTTCTCGAACATTCCCTTCATACCAGCCTCCTTCGGTTGAAAGCCACCAATTCTTGCACATCCAGGCGATAGAGACTGTCATTCTCGACGCCGGCTTCGTCTTCGCAACAAGCAGGCTGGTGTTTGCTGCTCAACCTCATTTTCACTTTCAATTGGTCATATGCAACTGCATAAAGTGCCACTCGCCGCTCGCTGATTGACCACTTCAATTCAGGCAGCAGGACTGCACGGTGGATTTCGTGACGGCTGGCAACGGTTTTGAAAGAATCATAGACGCATCTGTTGATTTTGTTCTCTTTACGACTTGGCCGCCGCTCTAACAATGTTCGATATGATGTACGCGGGAATACTTTTGGCTGTCTCGAATGTGGCATTGGCTCAGCATGGAGGAAAGCCCAAAAGTGCTGCCGATATTGCTGAAGAAGGGGCCGCAGAACTTCTGAACCATAAGCTACCACGCAACTACTTTCTGGCGCTCGCAGCATTTGCGTGCATGTTCATCTTCTACCGGCTTATGGTTGTTGCGGTTCAAAACTTCCGTACGATTGCATGCTTGTCCAATGACACTCAACGATACTTTGCCATTGCCTCGCCTCAATGGGCGAAAATCAAGTCCATGATGCTTTATGCACCTCTATTTCGAGCACGTCACAATCGGGAGTTTAAGCTCTCCACTGCTATCAACATGGGAACATTGCCATCGCGTTTTCAGTCGATTTTCCTTGGCGTGATCGTGGCAACGAATGTGGTCTTGTGTGTTTATGGGGTCCGGTGGACCGCACCACGCGCGAAGGTACTTTCAGTCCTTCGAAACCGCACTGGCACTATCTCTGTTGCAAATATGATTCCCATGGTTCTGATGGCAGGCCGCAACAATCCATTGATTCCACTACTCAATGTCTCTTTCGACTCTTTCAACATGATGCACAGATGGTTGGGTAGACTAGCTATTCTTGAGGCTATTGCTCATACACTGTGCTGGATGATCTCTAAGGTCGATACAGGTATGGACTTGTTATTGATTCCACTAAGCCTCGTACTAACTGCTCTACAGCTGGATGGTCGGCTGTTAAAGCTTCAATAATCAACAGCAATCTTAACACGACTGGCCTGATCAGCGCTGTTGGCTTGGTTGTCATTCTTGTACAGTCCCCCTCTGCCATTCGTCACGCTTTTTACGAAACGTTTTTGCATCTTCACATTGCTCTCGTGGTTCTGTCATTCATCGGTCTCTGGATGCATTTGGCCGAGTTGCCTCAACGGAGCCTCCTGGTCGCCACAATTGGCGCTTGGATATTCGACCGTAGCCTCAGATTCTGGAACCTATTCTACCGCAACGTAGGTCGTGGTGGCACCAAGGCCACAATCGAAGCACTCCCTGGCGATGCCCTTCGTGTCTCCTTTGATGTTGCACGTCCGTGGAAAGTCCGACCCGGTCAACACGTATACATAACCATCCCTTCAGTCGGCATGTGGACCTCGCATCCCTTCTCCATTGCCTGGAATGAAAGCGGCGCCCCGTTCAGCCGCGGCCTTAACCTCAATGAAAAAAGTGACAGCATCATCATGACACACCAAGATCTACAATCCACAAAGTCTAAGACTATCTCCGTCATTATTCGCCGGCGCACCGGTTTTACTGACACCCTCTACATACGCGCCGAGAAAGCCGGCGCCTTTGACGGGGCCTCCAAGCTCACCCTCAACGCCCTAGTCGAAGGCCCCTACGGCTCCTCACGTCCCATGTCCTCCTACGGCACCGTCCTTCTCTTCGCCGCCGGCGTCGGCATCACCCATCAGGTGCCCTACGTCCGCGATCTGGTAGCCGGCTACACCGCCGGCACCGTCGCCGCACGCCGCATCACACTCGTGTGGATCGTCCAGTCCCCCGATCATCTGGAGTGGATTCGGCCGTGGATGACACAAATCTTGGCTATGGAGAAGAGAAGGGAGATCCTCGGTATCAAATTGTTCATCACGAGGCCGAGAAATAAGAGGGAGGTAGTCAGTCCGAGTAGCACCGTACAGATGTTCCCGGGAAGGCCTTGTGTGGAGACTTTGGTAGGGAAGGAGTGTGAGAGCCAGATAGGGGCGATGGGCGTTAGTGTTTGTGGGACGGGGAGTCTGAGCGATGAGGTTAGAAGGGTTGTGAGGAGCAGGCAGGGATGGTGCTGTATGGATTTTGTGGAGGAGAGTTTTACTTGGTAAACAAAAGCAAGAGAAGAAGGGGGGTGCAGAAGTGTGTGATTTGCACTTCGACTGCTGGGCAATTTAATTGCCAGGGTACATGTCTGTCTGTACGTACATCTGCGTGTGCTACATGCCCATTAGCATGCATCTAGCAGCAGTTTGCCAGGAAAAGCACTGAAGGTCTACGCTTGCATTTATAAAGTGTAAGAAAGGAGAGGTCGGACCACAAGTGCTGAACGAAGTCTATGAGGATGAAATTGACAATGAAACTGAAACGACCATTGCTGTTATTTGGTTTTCCTGTTGTCCTTTTGATCTACATTCTCTCCATTCCTTACTCCCGCACAACCCCCATCGCTCTAACTGGCCTATTTAATGGAATCACTGGAACCAAGAGCAGGGAGCACTGCGAACAATTCGTACTGCAGTGCAGGAATATGAGTTTATTGAGGGAAAAGAGGTTGCTGCCTCACTCTGCGTGTACCCATGTCGTCCAGATCCACCCGCTGGTGATGCCGCTGGATAGGGCACTGCCAGGAGACCTGTGTCGTCGATTTTCTGGGTATCGTACTTTAGCGTCGGGTACTGGAGGCAGATGGTCTATCCTCTGAGAGGCGCAAAAGCAGGAGTGGATACGCTAGGATTGCACGATGGGCAGAGTGCATTGACTGGACAGTCTTGATTTGGCTGTATCTGGAAGAGGTATCTCGTCTCTATTTCCTGGTAAAGGTCGCATGCTACAGACTGCTCGGGGTCTGGCTGCTAGCAGGATACCGTATGTAGTGATTGCCTTGATTGGCAATGCAAGCGTCAAGTCTTCTTATCTACTCTGCCGCATCAGTAAGAGTTGCCTTATTTGGATTCGGTTAGCGTCAAGCAGAGTGAACGTGCAGAGCTCAAGGTAGATCAGCGAAGGTTTGTAGCTAAGAGCAAAGCCGTGTCAGACTCAGTAGCCGAGGTTTGAGGAAGGCGATCTGCAAGACTTTACCATTACTGGGGTTGACAATGCTCTCATACCATGTAAAGCGTTGGGAAAGAGCTCAGTGGGGCAACTCTCATGTATCCTGCGTGCATGTAGTTATTCGTCCCGCTTGTGAGTAGATGTTTATAGCAACCACAGCTGCTATGCCTGTTTTTTTCCTTTTTAGGTACTTTAGGCTTTGATTTCGATCTTTTGGCTCTGCACTCATATTTCTGAACGATGACAGCCCAAACCTTCCATTCGTTAGTATTCAATACCAAGCGGTTTCACTCAAGAATGTCGCTCTGTGGTGGAGCTTCGTTCCACGCCGATTGTGGACGGATGCCTGCAGTGACTAGGGAAGATACAAATACACTGATGGAGAACAACATCTCCGGGTATGACCTGGCCACCGTTAAAAGGTCTGGGTCATCTATAGCAGACTTCTTGTTGTCTTGACTCGTGCATCACTCCTGGGTGAACCGTTTGTCCGGTTGTAGGTCATCCAGAAAATCAAGAGCTGTCCTAGGAGTGATTGTGACAGACATTCCTTTTTGGGTGATTTGATCTAGACTTCCAACCAGAATCGGGCATACCGGCTGCCCTTGACTCAAGCAAGCTCGGTGTTTGTATGGAGATGGACAGATTTCATCTCCCAGTTTCTGCCTGAAGAAGTGTCTGGAAGAAGTGTGGGTCCGGCCACTTAGTAACTGCCGAGAACTTGGCGCATTTCGTCCGGACTTTAAAGCCATTGGCAAATTCGATTCCTCTTCTACCACCGTCACAGACCTATCACAGTAAACAACAAAGGGTTTTCTGTTGATTCTGTTGTCTTGTAATGCGACGGGCGGTGTATACCAACATGGAGATACTGATATGAATCTAGGCCAGACCAGGTTAACACCACTGATCAACAAGGTGTCCATGGTGTTACGGAATGGCAATCTTTTACAAAGTTGAAGTCAGCTTTAGTACCATCTGTTCATCTTCGCCTGCTGGTCGTCCTGTCTACCTGACAGTCTCAGGCTGAATGGTGATTGGTCTGACAATGATGAAAGGATTCGTGTACTGATGGTCTCAGAGCTTACCATGACATATACATATCTGCTCATCAACGTGTGCCACACCACATGCTTGATGATCATTACGTGATGCCTCTTGCCCTTTCCATAAGGAACATATGCTTGCAGCTCTTGAAACATCTCAGCTCCTTACCGCTCTAACATGTCTTCTTGTCAATCAAACTCATCTGCATACATGCTGATAGATGAGCTGAGCCCTTCCAATCTTCGGAGTCAGGCATACAGGTATTGATATGCGGCCAAGAAACGCGGCTGAGTAATGCGGCTCAGTCGTGCTGCTGTGCGATGTGACAGCTCCTCACAAGCCCTGCAGATTTCGTTATCCTAGATCTAAAGCACTTGAAGCACAAGAGCACGTACAAGCACCTCCTGCTTGCTGTACGTGCCTCCAGGAACTATTTTCCGGTGTACCGAATCCTCCTCGTCACTGGAATTTCATCGAGCATAAGCCAGAGTATTACTCATAACGAGTCGCTTGAAGACACAGGCATGCAACGGCAGGACGTGTTCCGTTGGCTCTAATACCTCGACCCATCCATGGCAATGTGGTCCAACCATAGATACCTGGCTCTTCTCTCTTGGGACGAGGCTTTTCTTCGGCGTCCGCAAGGCTCTCGCTGCCCTTAGTATACCCCTTCGATGGATCACCAACGGTTTGAAGAATCGTCGCTTGCATTGGCTCGGGAAACCTCAAGGTCTTACAACTACTCAGCGAGCAGATCTGGCAATCTTCCCTCAAGTAACGTCGTTTCGGAGCATCGTCGGATTAACACGGCTTGCTCAATGTGTCTTGCTGGGGAAGCAGTCACCACCGGATAAGGCATTTTCGTTAAGAGAGGGTGTCTCCATCATGGCATGCCGTACGTTGAGTTGGTGCCTGAAGAACTCGACCCTGACCATGGATATCGTCCGGCACATGGTTCAGATATCCACCTGCCTATTCAAACAAGGCATTCATGAATCTTCTACAACGCCAAGCTCTTTAGCCAAAGAGGGTCCTGGAGGATGGGAGGTTCATGTAGATTGCAGGTGCTTACTGCTCTCTTTAGTGTTCTAGAGTTGCTTTGTTGTCCTCTGCTGCCAGACCTCGAGGGAAGAGCTGAATGATCTCGATGGCTGGCCTTACCAGGATGGGAAACGTTGACAAAGGTGGCTACAAGGGTGATGTTGTGCAGAAGTGCTCATCCTCGAGAGTAACTTGGCTTCTGTTTGAACGATCCGAGTCAATCTTCCAAGCACGGTGTCCAAGACACCCTGGGTTTTCGTTTTGCTGATGCCCAGCTGGAAACAATTTGCTCACTGCGTTGGTTTTCTTCATTCGATCAACCGGCATGGAGTTGGGTGTAGTATGCTTTATCTTGGTGACCTTGCTGCACCAATTTGGGACAGTGTGTTTGCACATATCTTTGGAGACAAAATTTGGGCGAAGTGGTCACAACACTTCCTGCGCACCGCACTCCGAGCTCATCCACCGACTCGTTACTTGTCTGCTAAATACGGTTCATTCCAGCTCATTACGACTCCGAACAAGTTCTATGTTGCAATCATCGCTACGATGAGCAATTCTCTCTTCTCACAATTAATGTTCGACCCTGTTGTTGATGCCTCCCTTTCGACAAATCTGCAGCAACTCAGTCTAGGTGGCCGATGCATGATAGAGAATCTGCCCAACGAAGTACTTCACAACGTGCTAAGCGAGCTTCCGGTCACGGACCTCAAGGCCTTTCGACTAACAAGTAAGAAACTTACGAGAGCACCTATCGAGCACATTTTCAGACATATCCGAATCACGATACATCCTCGAAGCATCTTCAACATTGGGGAAATTGCAGCTAATGGGGAGGTACGAAAATTTGTTCGCAAGTTAACCTTTGATCTGAGGATGCTATGGGAAGCGGTAATACCGCTAGAGACCTGGCCTGACGTCTGCGTGCGAGCCGGCAAGCGATCGTGTCCGGACTTGGGGAGAATTGGCAGCGCCAATTATGACAGTTACGTTGAATACGTTAAAGGTCAAAATGAAGTCGCTAGATCTGGTATGGGGAGGGTCTGCTCTTTCTTCGAGGATTTGACGAACATACAACACCTGGAATTGACTGGTGGGACTGATCACGGCGCTATGATACCTACCACACAGGATTACATCGACTTCAAAACCACCTGGCCGAGACTTGGCGTCGCTCCACACAGGAAGGGAAATAGAAACGCAGAAGTTCACGTTGACAGGGTGTTGACAGCAGCTTTGAACAGCAAAAACTCTCTCACCTCTGTGTTTCTCGTTGGTGTCGAAGTAGATTTTGTTTGCTGCACCACGCCAGACCGGCAGGCACAATGGCACCACGGACTCAGACCCGTACGACATCTCAAGCTGCACCTGTGTATGCCCAACCCAAAACCGGGCATATTGGAAATCTCCAATGATGCGGCGCTTCTAGCGGGCGACTATGCACAATTCCTTACCAGTCCGGCAAGATTGGAAACGCTGGATTTTGCACTATTTGTTGAGCCACCACAAACAAGGAATGAGATGCCATGGACTTCTTATGGGTACGAGAAAGACCTTTTCAACGCGATACTTGCACGGCCGTCTTTCATGCAACACATGAAGAAATTGAGATTGGCCGAGTTTGTCTTCTCGCCGAACGACTTCATTACTCTGCTGTCCCACAACACAGCACGGACGCTCAAATCTCTCACATTTCACAAAATCCATCTTAGCGAGGGATCCTGGCTGGTTTTTCTACGGCAGCTTGCTGTCGCTGCCGAACTCGATCATTTCTCTCTCTCCGGTTGGATTTCCAGCCAGCACGAAGGATGGAATGTTCTCACTCAGGAAGAAGCAGCTACCTATTATGGAAGGAAAGATGAGAGGCTGCACCCATGGGATCGTGACATCTGGGACTACAACCCGGACTGTTTGGTGACGTGCGAGGCGTTCAAAGATTGGAACGACCAAATTGAAGCGCTTGAGGAAAAGTGGTGCATTCGCTCCCAAATTGAAGATTGGGTAGTCAGTGCTGGTGGTACTCGCCGTGATTTGAGCAACAAGGGTGATGATCCGACCAAATGGGCTGGGTGGTCATGTGACCACAGCGATTTTCTGACTTCTTCGCACCACCCTTCCAAGTCCTGGCACGATGACGGCTTTCCCCTCATGCAGGGTTATCTCCCCACCTGTGCCGTGCACCATGCACCCTCAATCGAGCGTCAGAAGCAATACCACTACGAGAGCCGCTGGAGGACCCGCTTAAATCGAGATTTCTCCTTTGTATGGGCTGAAGAGCTGATGCGTTCTGTTCGTGAGGGTGGGAGAAGCTGGCAACCTTGCCCAGAAGCAGGAAGTGAGACGGTGTGGAATGCGAGGACGAGATTCTGTCCAGATGTGCTGGCAGAGGACGAATTTGTGGTAGACGAGGAGATGGTGTACGAGGATAGGGAGGAGGAGTTTGTGGTTGTAGGTGATCATTTCATTGCTGAGAGGCTGGAAGACGAATAGGTGCACTTGCTTTTCTGGGATGATGAATGAGTCCCTCTTGATAGCTTTCAAAAATCAAAAATGGCACAAATCGCTCGTATTGTTTAACCTAGCGGTGATCTCCAGGTAGTCTTTCCCACCACTTTTGTGTCATCCAGGAACATCTTCTTTGAATCATTCAGTCGGAGGCCTATCATCTGCTAGAACTAGGATGGCTTCCACATCTTCCCCTGGCAAAACAGTGATGTGTCAAGGGACACCCTTTTTGTCCTTCACAGTATCAGCTTATTGTTTTCTCATTGACCAACAGCGGTCTTCTGACACTGGCAGTCCTTTGAGAAAACTGTCGTGGCTGTCCAGAAAGAGACTCCTCTGACATCTGACTCCTGATCTTCAAATCATCTACGAGTACCAAAAGTGCTCCAAACTTGCCACTACAGAAATAAGAATCTCATTGGAAGTATAGTTCTCGGGTTTGTAAACAGCTGGCGTAACAGCCGCGATGCCCTGCATGCTATCACCCTATAATTCCAAAGCGCTGAATTCTATCTTGCTTGGACCTATCTGGCGTACTCCTACACGACTCTTACTTTGGTATCTCTATATGGAGATCCCTTGGAAAAGTCATCATCACACCTGAATATGAGTTGATAGTGGGGTCACGTTTGGAAGCCAGGTGTGGTGCTTGTGACACAGCAGCAGACGTTGTGGTGTGATCTTTTGACGGGCTATGCACTCCGGAGTTGGGGTGCATATATGCGGAACCTGAAGTGTTCTGTGGGGAAGGGCAAGCCACATAGTAAGCTACAGACTCCGTACTACGTAGTAAGTTAAGGCTTAGCTAAGGTCCTCCTGTCCTTCGGTCCCGTTCCTCGGGCAATCAGGCGCCCACTTTGCCGAAGGACTCTTAACCGGAAGGAGTGAATAACGCACCACAGCCTCCAACGTGTTTTGCTCCAGATTTCTCCTTCTGGTCTTTGCTTGAAACACCTGCTCTTCTCGGACAAATAGTTACTCAGAGTGAACGCTTACTCAGACTGGTCTGCCACTGACATGATATCGATCAGTAACTTCCTTCTCTCAACCTTATTCTCACCGTACCTCTGCTTGGCGGTTTGAGTGTTGTTTCTGGTCCAGGCGTGGAGCAATGGAGGATTGGAGTTCTTCATCTGTTCTCAACACCTTATGCACATCTTCGCACCGCCTGGCACCTCCGAAGAAGATGCACAGACTATGGAGATGATTCGATCTTGCTAGATTTCTACAATCTCATCAAGTATTCCTGTGCGGTGCGAGGTGAAGGTGCATTCGGGTTTGAAACTTCAGAGCCGCCCTGTGGCCCCTCGGACAACCGCGCGCCGTTATGAGACTCCTTTCAAACCCATCCTGGAGCAGCCTTGGCCTCGTCAGCGAACAGGGTTACAGCTTTTGTTTATGAAACTTCAGCACCAATGTTCGCGACATCCAAGTGTAAGAGTGCTCACTCCGCGTTCTCATCCCATGATGTCTCCATATACTCGCCGTTTCCTTCCTTCCGGCTTTCCTTTCACTGTCGTTTGTTCTCTAAATATTCCTCTCTTTTACATTACGCTTTTGTATCTGTATTAATTCCGCATTCGAGCTGGTCTCTATTGCTCTGCTGGCGGGCTTTCCACTCCCTCTACTCTTGATCTTTCGTCTCAGATTCTTTAAAGTTCCAATCAGTCTGTCGAGGCAGAGGTAGGCTCAGCCTTAAGCCGGGTACGGTATGAACGACACAAGAGGGTGGGCAACCCATGATGGCATGAACAATAGTTCTTTATGTTCGCTGACGGGCAAAAGATTTCAGCAGCAGTGGAGCACATCAACAGACACCACGCTCGAATCTCAGATAGCCCAAGCGTCGAACAATTATGCAATATCAGATTCATCCTTCACCCAACAGCTAAACAATACTGATATCAGTCCCCAAAGTGATAACTCATCGCTTCAGAGTTGGCCATCTGCTGTGCAGAATTTTACGACGCATTCAGCATCGTTCCCCGGAGCCTTCAGTACGGCTTCCTATCCCACAACTACAGCCTGGACTTCTGCAGGTATCCCAGCCCTGAATAACTATGCATCGAACCCAAGTGTCGAGAATTTCATGGGCTCCAGCTTTCCAAAATTTGATAATCTTGGTACGGACGAACCGGGTTCCAACTATAACATTTTGGGTACTGATCGGATTACAGGTCTTCATAACCAGAAGCCACTAGAGAACACGATCGACTTCGGCGACTTCAACACTGACTTCAGTGCCTTTGAAAGTGACGGTACTGGCTCAGACGGGCACACGATAATCAATCTCGGCCAATTTCCAACTAGTCTAGACGACCCCATCAATCTGCAGACGACCCCCTTCCCTCGAAGACAATCAGCCTCCTCATTCGTGTCGAGCGCGGGCCCAATGAACGACCCGCCAGATGCTTCCTCTTTTCCGGAGACAACGTCCCACACATCCGACTACACTCCTCAGGGCTCTTTAAACATGTCCTCGACACCGCTGTCGCCTGTCATGTCTCCAAGATGCACTCCTCAAGAAATGGTGCGTGCGTCAAGTCGCACTCGGGCAACACCCTCTCCTAGACCTAGCATACGTTCAAACGCGTACTCGATTGATGCAATGCGCCACAACCGGTCTTCGACAGGCTCATTCACCTCTTCACCAGCTAAGAGATCTTCGCCGTATGGATACCCCGCAGCTGAGAGCTACTTCACACAGATGCCAGTGCAATCACAGGTTTCCACTCAATCCATGGTCAGCAATGTCTTGCCATCGTCCAACCTCAACCCTACTATTTCCTATGCCTTCGGTGGCATACCTAGGTTCCATCAACCCTCCATGCCACCATCCTCGTTCGATCCAGCTAGTCGCATCGAGACCGTTCCGTACATGTTGTCGAATGGGACTTTCAGGACATTGCAGTCCAATGCAGGCCCCGGTGGTCATGCTCATGATCATTTCTGTGATCACGCTGACCCTCCTGATCTTTTTGGTCCTTTGTCGGAAGAACAGCTTGTGCCTCCTCTTGAGGACATGAAGCCTGATGACCCCGATCTGACGCCACACGAGCAAGAACTCCGCTTTGAGGGCGACTTGTACACTCCCAGATTTGTGCGAGGTCATGGCAACAGACGAGAAGGTTGGTGCGGAATCTGCAAGCCAGGCCGTTGGCTGGTTTTGAAAAATTCTGCCTACTGGTATGATAAAAGTTTCACACACGGGATTAGCGCAGCATCTGGACAAGCATTCGAGGGACCGCGTGAAACACGTAGAATGGATGGCAATGCAGATGTCTGGGAGGGTCTATGTGGCAGCTGTGGCGAGTGGATTGCTCTCGTCAGTAGCAAGAAAAAGGGAACTACGTGGTTCAGGCACGCATATAAGGTATGTCAAGCTGTTCTTTGGTTTGTTTTCTCCTGCTGACAACTTTAGTGTCATACACACTCGAAGGTTAAAGATGCACCCAAACGGCGACGGGAAGGTAATACTAATCAACGTCCGACAACGATGAATCCTATGACCATACCGGGACCCACTCCTGGTTCCATAATATCAGCTTCGACCTCAAATCCAATGCACAACATGAGTGGAAGGATTGAGACTGTCACCCCACTAAGACCTCTTTCAACGATGGTTTAATGATTACACGTGTGGCGCCTGGAATTTCATCTCCATTGGGAGCCTCATGAGCAACGAATCTGGGTAGGCATATTGTACAAGTGACGGAAAGGCCAGCTCATCCAGCTCATGAGACTTCGACCTGGTGAACATCAGCATCTGCATAGCGATGGCGCTCATCGATTGGGAAGCGATATCAGAGGTTCTGATTAGTAGTAATGATGGAAGCTAATTATTGACCCAAGTGGTAGCCACGCGCCGGCCTTACTAGATGATGGCCATGAGACATTATAGGGCAGCCGGAAATAAGGGGAGCTTACAGTACTTCACTGATTCCCTTGTAGTCTTTTCTTCATCGAGAACTCTGTTTCCCTTTGTCAACATCGTGGCAATCAATTGATGCCTGATATTTAATCTGTACAATTGAATGGCCAGCCTGCTTTCCTTCACCAGACTAAGGATAGACTTCTTGTGAGCAATGTCATCGCACAGTTTCGGGATTTTCATAACACGTCAACAAGGAACCTTCTACATTATTCACTAAGTGCACGTATAGGATAGTGTCCGTCTCAACTGGTGAAGCGAGTTTAAAGCGACACTTTACCCAACATCCGCCAAGGAAGGCTGGAGTGGATGCAGGACGGAAGCCTGAGGAGGTTTGGAAAGTTCCAAGTGATTCTGGTTCGAGAGCCAAGAGATGCTCAACCTCCGGAAACTTATTGGAGCCGCAACAATAATGCCGCCAGCCAACGGAGGTCGAGAACGACGATCTTCCAAAGAATCTGATAAGAGGAGGCCAAAGTTCCGTGTTCGAGAGGGAAACACCGTGCAAGATTATGCTGACAGTCACAAACTAAACTCCCGTCATCTAAGTCAATACCTTGCTAGTCATCCTGCACACTCCCGTCCTGCCGGCAACCGCTCAAACTCAGAGCCTGTTCATCAATCCCCACTTGCTCTAAAGCCTAGACACAACGGTTCTCTTACCAACGCGAGCTGTGATCCACATTCACATTCGGAGTCTGCCATTGGGCATTCACAGATGAGAAAGAAATCCTCGCCCCTGAAGAAGGACAAGAAGAAAGACAAGGACAATCGGGACTCCCATCCTCTCAATCTTCCACCAGACGAGTTGCGGAGACTTTCCGCTGTCATGGCTGCGCAAGAGGGCGCTCGAGGAGATCCTATGGATCTTGACAGTAATGGCCCATTTGTTTCACAAGAAACTGAGTCACCAGCTACGCCTGTTGGCACAGCGCCCGGAGCATTTCCAGAAAATGCAAACGGCACAGTGAACGGCGTCAATGGGGATCATGGAGATGAAAAAAGTCCTACACCGCCACCACACCGAGTGCCAATTCCAGAGAAGGCTTCCATCGATGCTGAAGCCGCCAAAACAGCAGGTAATAAATATTTTAAGGCCAAGGATTACTCCAGAGCCATTGCCGAATACACAAAAGGTTGGTCAACCGCTTTCTTATGTATGTCTACATCTGCTGACCATGGTACAGCTGTCGATGCTCAGCCGTCAAACGCAACATATCTGTCAAACCGTGCCGCTGCCTACATGTCTGCAAACAATTTCCCAGCTGCGCTCGCAGACTCATTAAAAGCCAACGAGCTCGATCCAGGAAATCCCAAAATACTACATCGGCTCGCTAGAATCTACACCTCTTTAGGCCGTCCACAGGAAGCAATAGATACATATTCCAGAATAGAAGGGGGCGTTTCTGCGAAAGACACAGCACTAGCGCAGCAGACATTACAAGCTATCCAAAATGCTGAGCTGACTTTAAAGGATGAGAAGGGCTCAGGCAACATGGCTATCTTCGCCCTTGACCAGGCCGACAAGTCCCTTGGTTATTCTGTGTCTCGGCCTCGGAAATGGCAGCTGTTGCGTGGTGAAGCTTATCTCAAGATTGGATCCCTTAATGCGCTCGGCGAGGTACAATCTATAAGCACGTCTCTCATGCGGACCAATTCTACCGACGCTGACGCCCTAGTCCTCCGTGGCCGCGCTTTCTATCAAACTGGCGAGAATGAAAATGCTTTAAAACACTTCCGGCAGGCCTTGTCCTACGACCCCGATCTCACTCAGGCGCGTACACTGCTTAAGACGGTGCAGAAGCTTGACAAAGCCAAGGCTGATGGAAATGTTGCCTTCAAGTCTGGTCGATACTCGACAGCTGTCAAGCTCTACTCTGAAGCACTCATGGTGGACCCAAGCAACAAGGGAACTAATTCCAAGCTCCTACAGAATAGAGCCGCGGCCCGTATGAAGATCAAAGAATACAAAGAAGCGGTTGAAGATTGCGACCAAGCCCTCAGACTTGATCCCACATATACCAAAGCACAAAGAACCCGGGCCAAGGCCCTCGGGGAATCAGGCAACTGGGAGCAAGCTGTCAAGGAGTTGAAGGAAATTGCCGAATCGAATCCAGAAGAGCCTGGCATGCAAAAAGAGATCCGGAATGCCGAACTTGAATTGAAGAAGAGCAAGCGGAAGGATTACTACAAAATTCTCGGCATTGAGAAGGACGCGTCTGAACAGGATATAAAGAAGGCTTATCGCAAGCTAGCGATCGTGCATCATCCCGACAAAAACCCTGGAGATGAAGCGGCGGCTGAGAGGTTCAAGGACGTTGGCGAAGCTTACGAGTGTCTCAGTGACCCGCAGAAGAGGGAGAGATATGACTCCGGGGCGGATCTGGAGGAGATGATGGGGGCTGGAGGTCATCCTTTTGCCAGTGGCGGTATGGGAGGAGGTGTGCAAATTGACCCCGAGATGATCTTCCAGATGTTCGGACAGGGTGGAGGGATGGGTGGAATGCCCGGAATGGGAGGTGGTGGTAGCAGGGGTGGTGGATTCAGATTCTCCACTGGAGGCGCTGGTGGTGGTGGCGGATTCCCTTTTTGATGAACGAGTGACTTTGTTTAGGCTCCCTCTGGAGCTTGATGTCGATGGTCGCAGCCGCGTATGCGTGCGTACTCGATATACCATCGTCACTTGCATAGCGATGCGACGGAGCAGGTTGTTGGTATGGAGTATAAATAGAACACGACTTTCCTTGCCTCGGGATTCTTTCCTTCGTGATATGCTTTACCATGGTCTAAAGGAATTTTCTTTTTCACCTGGTGTTCTTCCAAATTGTAGTAACATACCTTACTTGATGCCTACTATCGTTCGGATTCGTTCGGTAAAGTTTATCGGTAAGTAAATCACATTTTGGTACTTCCATGTCAGTTTTCTAGATCCGCTGCATGCTCGGTCTGAAAACTCAGTCCCCTATGCGTTTCAGTCCCACCTCAGGCAATCTACCCTGTACCTTACTTACTTAACTCCCCTACCCTCGGACTCCCTTAACATCAAAAATCCCATTCCATACCACGTCAGGTCTCCTCGCCTTGGGATCTAGGTAGTTCGTACTCGGTTGGAAACATTATTGAGTGCAGGTGCGCTGCCTGGATGCACGCCTGGTGGATGGAAGTTTGGTTGGATGACCAATGATTGGATGCGTTGGGTTGCTGGATTTGTGTGTGCTTCGTTCGTTTATCTCGTCACGCTGTGTGATGGGACGCTTTTAATTGTGGGGTGTTGTTATTAATATTTATTTAAGATGGGGTGGATTTGATGTTTGGGAAGTCATTACTCCGCATGAGTACAGTGACATAAATACCAAGGAGCTGATGGTGGTACTCCGTAGTGACTAGTAAGTAGGTATGATATAACATCATACAGTCTGATTGGCTTGGACTTACCTCTGGGGCGTCCGCTGTACTGCTGCTAGTACTTATATCTATGGGATTAATGAAGCTGGACAAATAGAAATTGTTTCAATAAGGACTTAGATGAAAATTAGATCGTAAGAATCTGTTGGCACATCTTTAAGTCAAGTTCTTAAAGGTCCTTTGATTGATTGATCGAGATAGTACGTAGATGATTAGATAACTTGTAAACAGCTGTTTTGGAGCAATTTTAATAGCTCAAGTCTAACAGGTTTTATGTTCCCTTCGGGAGAGGAGTTGATTGCTAGTAATCGGCCACATCTCAGGCCAATTTCCTCGGGCTAGTCTGCGCTTGGCGGACGCCTGCTGTCAGGAATGCCAGGATGCTATATAAGTGGTTGTGGTCTATGATCCGGCAGAGCCGCATCATTCTGACCTTTTGGTGTAGTGGTCTGCGGAGGTACGGAGCACCCTAACACCTGCCTTCAGCCTCTTCCTGATATCAATGTTTTCTCACTCTCTCTGCCCCACTTCATGGGGTTGATAATATAGCCAGATCTAGAACCACACCAGACCAACTGATTCATCGTAAGTAACTCGCTAGCATAACTACCAATGGTGTCGGGAAGCACTTCAACGTCCTCCTCGGTCATACGCCGAACACAATCACAACACGAGCTCACGTGTCTCTGAGATCTTGCTTGAGACATCCTATCCGAGAATGGAACTTCCCTGTAGCACATGACAGCACAAGGCACGGCTAATGGCCAATCACGAACAATTGAGACCCTGTTCCAACAAATGTATTGCGACAGCACACGAAGCATTCCGCAGGAAGTCACCCCGGACTGCTAAACAACCGTGGCGCCACCACCACCAAGGATAGGCTGGAATCGTGCATTCTTCCCCACAAAGACCACTCATACAGATTTCCACGCCATCTTCATGGCTCGCCTCGTCCGCAGCAACGGATCGTGATGTATATATACGAATGGCGAAAGTTCCGAATGCTACGTCGGCTTCCTACCGTCTTACCGGAGGTGTGGGAATGGCAGCAGAGCGCTGCCCTCCGAGGAAGTCGACTGTATGACCAGAACTTGCTCAAAGGCTGAGGAGTGTTCGACTAGGATTGCGAATGGGTATATATACCCCTCTTACCAACCACTAAAGAGCATCCATTCCTCAACATCAAATTCATTGTATCCCAAGGGACCATTTCGTCACCGTCCACAGTTAATTCGTCTTCTCATAAGCTTCCCTATTTCTCATCGATCATCGGCCCACCGCGAAGATGCGTTCTCTCTTAGCACTTCCAATTATCCTCCTCTCCTCGCTCGCTCTTGCTACTCCACAGGATGGGCGTGCACCAAATGCCTGTCTTCAATGTACACCCTTCCCAACTCCAGGGGACAATTCGCAACAATGTGACCAGACCACTATTTGCGTTACTCAGCCCGGAGAACGCAACTACTGCGCCTGCAGGGGCGGATACAGAGGAAGTGGAGCATATCCTCCCGGAGACACCAGTGTTCAGGTAGGTGCAATCGTCCTTTCCAATCTATTCGATATAGCTCCTATAGGCGAGCTGTAGAAAGTAGATTACCGGACGGTCGTTGGGCAGGACAATGCTGATGATTCGACAGTTCCGACTGAATACTCCCGGCCAGGAAGGAAGAGTCTTTGTCAGTCCAGGCGTCAGGTGTGACACACTCTGTGATGAGTGGTTCCTTGGGAGGGATGGCTGCCGGGAGGTTGGACTGCGGGCAGACTGCTGAGCATGTCTTTCATGGAAAGCAAGTATCATGGATAGGCAAATTGATTGATCTATCGAGCATGGAGGAGAAGGCTACGTAGTAGGAGCAAGCGAGGCCAGGCTAGCTAACACAAGCAGAACGCGCACGTGACAGCAAAACATCGAACGATACGGAGGACTACTAGTAGTAGTAGCTGAGATATCCAAATTGTTAGCACTGCATACATCACTAAGTAATAGGAAAATACACATTCATTACTGGATAACGTCATTCCTGTAAAAATGGTCCACTTACACCTACTAGTAGTATAACAAAGATCATACTGAGTACCGCGAATGATTATTCTGTGCGTACGGAGTACAAATTGTCGTTTGGCAATCCGGATTCCCAACCTTTGCAACCCAATCGACTTTGGAGAACCACCTTCGGCCGCCCAGAAAAAATAAAATCGTCTACAATAAGCATGCACAAAGAAGATTGTACTACTAGTAGACTACTAGTAGTTGAAAGGAATGGACCTTACTTGGCGGACAATGGGGTTGTTCCAATTCCTTGTCAAGACCATCTCCATCGTCCCAATCCATCCCTTCTATAAAAGTTTTTCATCCGATCTACCCTCTGCACCTCAAATAGCAATCTCATTTCGAGCCACTGCTTCAGCACCTTCCTGGAACCCAGAACTCACCATCAAACCCAAAACCAGCAATTCCAATTCAAGGACCGCCATGTTCGCAAAAATTTCCCGTATGTTGGCGGGTAAGAAACACAGCGAAACAAAGAAAGCGGGAAAGGACCCTCGGCAGGTTGAGGTGACAAAACGACCAAAGAAATCTGTCGGGTTTGAAAACGACGCGAAATTGGTGCAGACCATCGAGGTCCCTCCAAATGTCGACAAGCCCGCTACAGGTGAGCCACCGGTTTTGCGCAAGGAAAAGCATCCGTTACATCTAGGTGTGAAGGAACAGCAGCCATCTTGTCGAACGGATTTAGAGATGGCGCCGGTTGCCGAAGGTGGATCATCTTCTACCATGCCCTCCCGAGCTCCACCAGCGAGTTTTCCAAACGCTCGAATCCCAGGATGCGATCACCACAACACCACCCTCATCAGCACTGACATGGCTGGCAAGAGTATGACGAGCTTCCGCGCACGTTGGGTCTTTTCCGATGGCACCAGCACCACTCACACGCACGAAGCTGCTCCGTTCTCGCCAATCATGGCTTGTCCAACTTCTCCATTTCACGGCCTTGATCCTCTCATACCAGGGACAACGATCGTTAACACCAGTGTCATCTCCACTGATGAGGCCGGCAACAGCAATTTACGTTGCCGCACGACTTGCATGCTACTCGATGGCACTAGTAAGACTCAAACTCGCGACCCTGTCTTCATTCCGGCGTCTGCTGACAAGGTTGGTGACCCATCCCCACTTTCTCATGCTACGCCAGCTGAAGGCGTTCCTTCATTCAATGATAGCTCTTTGGGAGAGTCGTCCTCAATTGAATTGTCTTCTTTAGGTAGCACCAGCCATACAGTCGCTGAAACTGCCAACCCGCAGACCCAACCAACCCTACGCCAACCTCGAAAGTTCTACCGACAGCCATGGAGTAACGCCTCTGTAGCTTCTCATCGCCCCGTTTTTTCCGTCCCTCCCCCTCTGCCTCGTCGTAGATCTATTCGTCCGCAAACCTAAGTTCTGCAACCTCACTCCACGGCCCGAGGAAGACCATCGTCTCACCGATGAGGCGTGGACGGTGATCTTGAACCGAATTGCAGAGCAGAAGACCGAGGTGAAGAACACAAAGCCTGAGCAGACCCAGCCACAGGAGGGAACCAAGCCTGAACAGACTCAGCTGAAGGTGAGTCCTACCTTTGATGACATCCTCGCGGCCTTGGATGGCAGTGTAGAGGAGAGATCGGAGCTGGAGGGTAAGAAACGCAAGCAGACGAAAGCAAAGCAGTCCAAGGCCAAGCGCGAAAAGAAGTTGCTGTCTGATCAAAATGGGCCAGCTTGGTGGATGTGAGTGAATATCGCAGGATAGAGTCCCTGTCACTTCTAGGAGTTTTCGATTTCGCTCGGTGGGTCTGCATGCGTTTTGACAGCTTCACATTGCATTGCAGGAGTATCGCTTGCGTGGCTAGTTCTGCTTTGCGCTCTAGGTAAGTTCGTTGTTTTGACAATGGAAATCAGTTTCTTTGCCATCATATCGTCCATCTTTCTACTTGTATGTTCTAGCGTACTAGTAGTGTTACTATTGAATTACGTGTATCAGCACCATAGCATCAACGAGACATACTTCATTCATGTGATCAAGGTGGATGACTAAGTACTGCTAGTACTATTGTCCTTTGTGGTGTCTGAACCCAGTAATGTTGGCTTTATGGCTGCCACTACTCAACCCCGCACAGCTCCTGAGGTCAACTTGGACCTCGAGCATTTTTGTCAGCCAGGCTTCTGTATCTGCCAGTCTCGATTTGAGCGTTATCTCAACACGCCTTGAACTCGTCCTGGATTCACGGAATCTCGGAAGTTGAACCCGACTCAAGATTGCTTCGATCTCGATTCAAGTCCTCAGCGTGATCAGTAGTTGGTAGCATTCCCAGAAGACATCGTATCCGGGCCGAGCGAGTCTCACTTTCCGTCTCGATATGGAGATATACAACACATAATATACTTATCCTGCAACCGATCACAGGGCATGGGAAAATGGGCTTCCCGTTCACTCAGCCGTACCTGAGCCATGTGCCGGCCGGTTAGTAATGGGTGGCTGACCACCAGCGAATACCAGCTGTTGATTGTTTTTGGCCCTTTCTTGGGCATTCCTGTGTGTAGTAAATGGTCTATTGTGGCTCTCGTATAGGTTTGGCTGACACCTAGGAAGGGTGTGCAAGGATGGCTGTTATTCCAGAGACTTGAGTGAGACAATCGAGCGGATTTAAGCTTTCTGGGCTTGCTAAACTCAAGGTTGTCACACTATTGATGCTTTCCTCAAACGGTAATGGAACCAAGCGTCACTGTAGCTACAAAAGGACACTGGCAAATGAGTGGTAAGCGATGTTGCATTAGCTGGTGAGTCTTATCTCACGTCTTGGTGGTACAGAATTTACATTGACGTGAGTTATCCTTACACATAGACCCTACCGGTAAATAAGTACCACACAAGTTTAACTACACTACTGGAGAAACTACAACTTTCATTGGCCTGTCAGATCTATGCCGAAGAAGCGAGAACACGTAGTCAAAGCACGCTTATATTATCCTTTGGATACAGGATTCATGAAATCTGAGCTCCTTTTGGTCTTGTTGTGGATGATCGAAAAACACTATTTTCCAGTTGGTAGATAAATGTTGCGTTTTGTGGTTGACTTGCATTCACAGCTTGCAAAAGTACATCCGCAGCTAATCTGCTTACTACGTAGTACTATGGATAAATGCCGAACGCAAGTGACGTCAGTACAACCTTTCTCCACACTCCAAGAACCTGCAGTCGCGGCTTGAGTTCGCGATGGTCCGCACTGGTCCGCAATTTTCGCTTAAGAGATTATGATTTTTATGGCTTGCCTCGTGTTCTCTTGTTGATGCCTTGATAAGAAAACAAAACTCGCAAGATAGGTATAGGCGCCACAAGAAGATGCATCTCCTCACTGATTGGTGACCTTATCGAGCTCGTTTAAAAACCTAGGCGGAAAGACTTTGAACACTTCAAGAGACCACTTAGTCGAAACCTTCCCTGCCATGAAGGTGAAAATTCTATTTCGGTATATGCCAAGGCTCTGAAAACGGCTCGCCTTGGCAGAACTAGCCTGCCTGTTAGCCTTAAAGGGCTAAGATTTCATAATACTTTCGGCTTCTAGCTTCGGCAGCTATTCGTACCAGACCCCATACTCCAATGCTGCTTGTCAAAAGTCCCACAGCTGTACGTGCAGAACAGAGCACTCGCCTTCCAAAAGAAATGTGGCTGAAGCTTGGTTCCACACCAATCTATCCACACAACATCGAGCTTCTACAAGTGACTTCCATCCATTTTGTTCTTGAAGTTGGCTCTGGAACTTCGTGTATGCAAGCCACTTCGTCTGTCTCTATCGGTCGAACCCACAGCTACCTCCATGGAAAACCACATCGTTCTCGACTATTATTACGAGATCTAAAAACATCTCAGACAAACAGATAAAGCACGCCCTCGCTCACGGTAGGTGATGGTATATAAGCTGGCGTATTGTCCGACCCAGTCCTGCTTTCGAGTCTCCTCAGACTTCCCTGTCAAACATGCCTTTCCCTATCTTGTTGACCCTTCTGCTGTCGGTGGTTCCTGCTTTGTCCACCCCGCTTGTGACAGAGAGGACTGAAGGAACATGTAATCGAGACAATGTACTCAGGGCACTAATCGACAAGAGATACATCGATGAGGCAATTCCGTTCTGCAGCAAATACATCAAAGTTCCTGCTTCCACTGTCACAGCTACAACGAGCTGCCAGACTGTCACTATTACTGCGATTGTGGATCCATTACCCGTGACCACGTAAGTGCCATGTGTGGTTGGAGCTTGAGGCGTACGCTGACAATTTTCCAGCACTATTACACCCACTGTCACAGTCACAGCCACAACGCCCGGTTCAACTGTTTACTCTACCTACGTTCCTCCTTACTACAAGGAGAAACGGGATGAGCCGGTTCCGGCCTTTGTCTCGCAATATCCGGCTTCTCGAATCTCCAGTGCTTGTTCATGCTTGACCATTACACCATCAACTACCACTGTGCCCTGTCCCATAAAGGTAAGGAGCAGAAACGAACCTTTGCTTCTCCAACGCGGTAACCATCACCATACTAAATTGGACTTTAGACAGTCGCCACCACAATAAAACCACCTGCGCCGACCATCACCATCACGGCTAGCCCACCGGCTACCACCACCACAACCGTTGCCGGTCCCGCCACGACTCTTCCGGCTCTTTGCAATCCATCTCTTTTCTTGGATTACCGCAGCGGCGTCGACAGAGAGGGCTTTGGTGGCTTAGTTCAAACCTCGGACGCAACCAAGCAAGCCTGCTGCGTTGCTTGTTTCAGAGCCGGGAACTGCACAGCCTTCCAATTCCGTCCTGACAACCCACCAGAGACTCGCTGTGAGTACTATACCCGCCGTTCCCCAACAGACCCGAGCAATCGGAAGGACATCTGTCCATTGGGAGTTACGATTGGGAGTGAACTTCAAAGTCCCGTTGGGTCCGGGACCGGGACCATTTTCCTGAATTATGGACCATGCTTGGATAGATCACCATTGAGCGGCTGATCGAAAATTGATAATGGTCTACAATGTTTGGGAGCCAGGACGTGTTGACTGTACGCTGGGTTTGAGTCAATATCATGATTCTGCAGAGTGCAAATGGAACAAAATTCGTTGTCTTTCTTCCAGGGCATTTCACTTGGCATGATTCATGTAGACGCAAATCGAAAACAAATTAACAGTTCGTATGTGAATCAATTCAATCGTTTACTTTGCATTGTCTCAGTTCACCACCAAATGACATGCTTGCGTTTGCACTGTATTCGTTGTTTCTTTGTGTAGATATTTATGGAGTGGGACCGAGGCCTTGATTGGCATAAATCTTACGAGCCTGTCGGAGACTGCACGAGCAACCAATGCATTGCAATCAAAGCAGCCGCCAAGTGGGGACTTTTGTTTGTTCTTCTCTTATGACGATGTACTGCATCCATGTGGCCCAGACAAGGGTCAGGAAGCCTAGCCGCTCTGATCAAGGAAGAGTATTGGAGGCTTTCTAGCTGGTAAGGCTGCTAAAGACGAAATCTCCCGTGGTGTCTCTCGAATGCTTGAATCAATCCTGATGGAGATCGAAAATCACCAAGCGTACTACGTAAAAGAGGTCAAAAATTTACTCTGTGATTGTCAAAACATGAGTCTGGAACTCGGGGAGCCACTTTGTTCATGCACGGTTGTTAAGATATTACCTGGACGCCCTCATATTCTCTGACTGTTGCGGAGCAATATTATCCGGACCAGTGATATCTGAGGAGGGAATGTGAGTATTCTTACAAGCGCATATCGGCCCTAATTTGAGGTACCTTTGCGCGAATTGATGGGTGGTGTTGCGTTTGAAGCCTGGTGACATATTATTGTGAAGCGTCTAACAGGCCGATTCCGGCCTCTGTACAATTATTAGCAAATGGGCTTGGCCATAAAGGCAAGTTTTTAATGCCCAACTTTCACTTAAACTTAGGGGTCACTAAGTTAATTCCTTGTCCGCAGCCGCCTTTTTTCCGTAATTAGCCTCACTCGCCCACCGCCCTTCGCCTTTGCCTAAACCGCACACCCAACCTCAATCTACCTCCATCCTGCTCCCTCTTCCATTCGGCCCTTTCAACTACAATCACCAACAATTTACCACCACCTCAACACATTCAAGTAGCCTTCTCTTCGTAGGAGGCCATCTTCTCTACGTGGTTGTAAGTGTTTGCTGTGGTCATTTTGCTCGTCGGTCTGCTTCTCTCAACAAGCAAGGTCAGCTGCACCTCACCTGCATACCCGATCTACCTTTCCCTCAGCATATCCATGATCTCACCAAGCGTTCCTGCTCTCACAGCTTGACAATCTTAAGCATCTCTTCCCTCCTGCTCTTTTCGATTGCAGTTGGTTTGTTCTTAGGGAATTCAATGAGTAACTGTGACGCTGACATAGTTTCCAAGGCTCGGCTAGGCTGTGATAATTAAGATTAGCCTGGGTCACGCACCAACTTCACCGCATACATCTACTTCACACCAGCCTGACAGCTTCCTCTTCATCCTTCATCGACCTGTTCGAATCATACTCAAATCTCCTTCCACAAACAATTCAACTGGAGCAGCTGGGAAGCTGTATACTCAGACTTCGAGATGACGACCATGGTACGTACGGATACTGTTTCTTGAAGCTTTGACGGCGTTTGGCCGCAGTCCATCTATGTTGTATATCCCACCCTCTCTTTGCTGCAGTATGTGTCGAGGGATTGTTCTGTCTGCTTGCTGTGAAACGTCGATTAGATTCAATCTAACGTTTTGGTGTGATCAGGATCTTAGGGTCGGCAACAAGTACCGTATCGGCCGAAAAATCGGGAGTGGAAGTTTTGGTGACATCTATTTGGGCACCAATATCATCTCTGGAGAAGAAATTGCCATCAAACTTGAAAGTGTCAAGGCTAAGCACCCTCAGCTGGAGTATGAGGCTCGTGTCTACAAGTCCTTGGCTGGAGGAGTTGGCATCCCGTTTGTTCGTTGGTTCGGTACCGAATGTGACTACAATGCCATGGTCCTCGATCTGCTTGGGCCTAGCTTGGAGGATCTCTTCAACTTCTGCAACCGCAAGTTCTCCCTCAAGACTGTCCTTTTGCTCGCCGATCAGCTCATCTCCCGCATCGAATACATTCACGCCAAGTCTTTCATTCACCGTGACATCAAGCCCGACAATTTCTTGATGGGCATCGGCAAGCGCGGCAACCAGGTCAACGTTATCGACTTCGGTCTAGCAAAGAAATACCGTGACCCGAAGACTCATTTCCACATCCCATATCGTGAGAACAAGAACTTGACCGGAACAGCTCGATATGCTAGTATCAACACCCATCTCGGTGTCGAGCAGTCTCGTCGTGATGATATGGAATCCCTTGGCTATGTGATGCTCTACTTCTGTCGTGGTTCTCTTCCATGGCAAGGACTTAAGGCCGCAACCAAGAAGCAGAAGTATGACCGTATCATGGAGAAGAAGATGACGACGCCAACCGAGACTCTCTGCCGAAACTTTCCCAACGAATTCGGCACATATCTGAACTATACCCGTAATCTCCGCTTCGACGATAAGCCCGACTACTCTTATCTCCGCAAGATCTTCCGTGATCTCTTCGTCCGCGAGTCATTCCAATATGATTATGTGTTCGATTGGACCGTCTACAAGTACCAGAAGAATGCGGCGGCCATCGCAGAGCAGAGCCAGACTCAGGACCCAAACGCCGAAGAGAAGTCCACTCGTCGAGCAACCAATGTAGCCACAGCTGGGGTCCTTACTCCTCACAATCCGTCCGCTACGACCAAACCACCCGCCACCTCTACCAACCGCCGCAACAAGATTGCAGGAAGAGGTGACGAGTTTCAACCAGGGGATAGTGATAGGATGTGAGTATCTGAAAACCTTGGTTCCGAGTAAGGGATCTTCTCCTCTACGTCTGATGCTACGCTTGCGTGGAGGTGTGAATCGAAAATCTAACAAATGCTTTAGGCTTCGGCGCTAGGACTTCGTGCTACACTTTAGATAACGCTGGCAATCGCGGACGACTCTCAAATGTAGCCGAATGACGGCTCTCGTGCACTGCGGCTCTGAACCAGGCAGACCTGCAACATCTCATGGAATGTTCGTTCCAGACTTTCCTTCTCGACTTTAGACGCAGCGGCGCTGGATTTGCTTTAAGCACATGGCAAATCCAGCTGCTATTGCTCTGTTCCATTCCTATCTTGGTCATGGCTGGCTCCTCTGACACTCCCCCTCGACTCAAACTCGATGTTTATGGCTGCTTGGCTCGACGAATTCAACAAATTTCAACCACCGTCACGGACCAGCATTCCCTGACATGAAGAACATCGACCATTGGTGGTGTAAGACGGAAGCGGGTTTACAATGGCTTATTGCTTGACTACACAACAGCATTGAGGCTCTATTTCAGCAACAGTCCTCTTCGGCATGGTTAAGGCTTGATGGTATGGCTCGAGAGGAATGTTTGTTAGGCTTGCATCCACCAATCACCCCCTATGATTTTCACAGCACGTTTTCTTTTGTTTGTTCAACGTCAAATTGCATCAGCTTTACAAATTCGAAATGATGACCAGAGGAGATGCGTGTGGGAGGCTGGGAGAGCAGGATAGAGGAAGTTGGGGAGATGGTCTCGCCGGGCTGAGAATGCCCGACGTTGTCCTACTTGATATGGTATCTGGTGATGGATTTGTCTAGGGCGGCTTCCGGGGTGGTAATGGTCATTTGCTGTAGCGTGGAGTACAGCGACATAGCCGAGACTTTCATAGCTGGATCAGAATGCAATCTTAATATGTGCTCCATGATTGTGGTTGGAATTCTGATGCTTAGCGAATATGACAAGTCTTCATGTGTTGGGAGAGGTCGTCACATGAGTTTTCTGGGAAGGGTAAGATGATCATCCAGGGAGGTAAGCAGATGTACAGATGGCCAAGAAGGTTCTGGTAGATGGGGTTACATTGTACAATTGATGATTAACAGTGGTCGCTCTCTGCAATGGAACGTCGTGTGTTCCTGGACCTTCAGCCCCGGTTCCCAAGGCCTCTGGCCCTTGATCCTCCCCCGCGCTTGGAACGTGGCCAGCAACGCCTGTGCCGTGCAATGTACGGGACGTTCGACTTTTCTGGAGGCCATGCTGTCTGGCTGCCTCCGCCCCTAGGTTTTCGATGTGTTAGCTGACTGGGGCCCGAGGCCCATCTTCAGAATTGGTAGCCGTCTTGGCAATTCCCAGCCGTACTACTATCATGGGAGGAGGGGAAAATCCCAAGACAGCCACCAATTCTGAAGATGGGCCCAAGAAGCTTGTCATAGTGACTTGATCCATAATCGATTGGACCTCATCGAAAATGCAGATGTGATATCCCCTTCTTCGACGTCTATCCGACCGATGAGAAATGGCTCTCCATCAGATCTCATTTGGACCATGTCTTTCCTGGTTGTGAACTTGTGAGACTTGTGTGGCCAAGAATGGCGGAATGGCGAAATGGCCAGATGGGGCCAGATGGACAAGGGATCACTACAGGGATCACTACAGGGTCACTACAGGGACCACTAAGTCCAATACTACGGTAGGAAGCATAAATAATGTTAGTACGCCCTAGTAATTGTAATGTTAGCTCAACGCTAGTATCTTTAATTGTAAACCCTTTCTGTACAGAACAGCTATGCTCAAAGAAGTAGATGTACGGAGTAATGGTCTAACTCATCGGAAATGGATGCACACAGAAACAAGCTTTGAAGTAACGAATAATAGCATTAGGTTGCCGTATTAAGAACTGGCTGCTCTTAGCACCGGACTAACATTACTTCAGGCCTCCCAGGTACTACCTCCTACGTAGTAGTACTGGTAGCGTGCAGATAACGGAAAATCCTCGGCACGGCTGTAGCTAGTCAAAACGTATTCATTTTTCAGGAAATTTTATCAACAGTTGATGTAAAAAGCACAACGATGGCAAGTTAAGCAGCTCGATTCGCTTAACTCGAAAACATACGTCTTTTATACACCACTCAAATTGTATATTTCTCATCCACGAAAGTTGTTATTACCCTCACGCTGCACACAGAGCTCCAAACGATCTATAAATATGTACAGAGATAGCTATAGCAACGAGAGAGAGCAAATTCAGCTCCAAACGAGAGACTCTACGGCCTCTGATTGGTCGAATACCCTGGTCTACACGCTATACCCTCTAGGGCGAAATCTCATTACTTCTGGGCGGCACCTCGTACATGTGATGGGCAGATCTTAGCGTCCGGCCCGGAGTGACTACGTAATTACCTTGCGGTTAAGCGCCTTGGTGTCTATCAGGCTAACTATTCTTAGTTGTGGGCTATCTCAAGCTGAAAGCTCTCTCCGCTTTTTACTGCGGTAGGGGCTGTACTGTGACTAGGATCCTGCGCACTTGTCGGCCATCTTGTCTTCCCATCTCTCGCACGTGGCATGGGGGTGAGAGGCGGGATCCATGATTGAACACCCCCAATGAGGATCCTTCTGCTGTTGCGCCGTTATCGGGATCTTCGCGCAACACAAATACCGGCAGAATCAGCTTCCAATGTTTTCCTGCGGGTCTTGTAAGAACTCTACTCGATCATCACTATTCGGCCATGCTTAAGAGGATTGGCCCTAGGCTGCAGCAGGATCATCAACATTTGGGGCCCTGGTTCCTGGTTCATGGTTCCAAGCTGTCTGGAACCACAACCTCATAGTTTCAAAAATTTACCACCCCTGAACACCAACATTTTCGGGCATACTCATCAATTTAGAAGTCGGTCTCAGGTTCTTTGAACAGTTCAACTCCATCGGAGGACAGGTCGACGTAGCAAAAATATCTGATAATCTTGCATTCCTTTCTTCGCATACGATCAACCTCTTCATCATGGACTATACATACTACCCCACGCCACAGGCACCTTATCAGTTCCTGGGATTCACATCAGAACCTAATCGAACCCACGAAGATCCAAAATTGAATGGCTTTACAGGGTCCGCCTCTTCAGCTGTAAGTCCTGCTTGTTCTTCCTTCACCTCCCTACCAGTCACTCATAGAGATATCAGAACCAACACTTTGATCCTGGTTTCCCAGCCTTTGACCATAGCGTCTACGATACGAACAATTTCGTACCACCCCATTTCACGAGTCACCAACACCCTGTACATGAAAGCCCAGCACCTTCAATTTCTCCTTCCGGCTCTCTGCAACATAATGGACACATAAGCTCAACTTCAGAGCCCAACATCAGCTCCAACAATGGCGTCGTCGAACAAAACGTCCTTCCGGATCCTATGGGAGATGTCGTTGGCGAAGATTTTATGAACAGAACCCGCAGCAGTAGCGAAGAGAAGGACTCTATGACCCCTGCGCAGAATAAGAGGAAGGCACAGAACAGAGCTGCGTAAGTTGAGATAGTGCCGCCGATCCGCGCTTCTATATGATATTTATGGGTGCTGATCTGTTCTTGATATAGTCAACGCGCATTCCGTGAACGCAAAGAACGCCACGTCAAAGAACTCGAAGCCAAACTTAACGATCTGGAAGCAGCATCCAACAAAATCCACACCGAAAACGAACGCCTAAAGCGGGAGTTGGCAAAAGTCGCAACCGAGAACGAAATCCTCCGGGCCACCTCCTCGACTGGTCCGCTCCACCACCGAGCAGCGTATGGTTCCCAATCCGCCAGACAAGACGAAGAGATCATGAATACCGGACCCATGAAATATACCCCCACCGACTTTCTGGCCACCCTTGGAGTCCGTCACTCCGGAGACAACGAGTCTGCGTACACCCTGCTCGATCCTCCTACTACAAAAAACAACGGCAACGACTCTTCCTCCCCATCTTTGGACCCCAACAACCCCGTCTCCGTCCACCACAGTCTTCCCGCCCCACTTATCTCTTCTCAAGGCTCCTTCACACTATCTGCACACAAAATCACCATCTCACCGCTCACAGGTAACCGCTTGCTCTCCTCGGGTGCTACCTGGGATTATATCCAGGCACATCCACTGTTCAAACAGGGGCTGGTAGATATCGCGGATGTAAGTGAGAAGTTGAAGGGTAAGTCGGAGTGTGATGGGACGGGGCCGGCATTTGAAGAGGAGAGTGTGGATAGGGCGATCAGGGAAAGTGCTGCGTTGGGAAAGGATGAGCTGATCTAAAACTAACGAGCAGGCCTGCTGTGACTTAACTCATTTCCGGAAGCTGGTTGGAACCACTCTCTCCCTCCTGCTTCCGTGAGGCAAGCTTGGTCGTGGCTCGGCGAAGGGGAGATCATGTCTGAGACCGGAGTTTTCTGGCACATGTCCGCTACAGCAATTGCTCGTCGCGGATATCACGTCCCCGCTGGCCACACACAACCATATCGGAGCACCAACACCACATCATTATATCAACCTATATCGGCACATGGAATCATATCACCTCTCAAACCACATCAACGAAGCGCATGCAACCAAATCTGGACAATAGAATTCATTTTCGCGCATCTGCGCGACTACGAATCCCCCAATCCCCAATATATATGTGTATATATACATTCCTAGAAAACAACGAAAATAATCTCCTCAGTGCATGCCAACCTACCATACCCCCCTTCCCCCTCCCAGCACCGACAGACACATAGACACGCAGAGAGAGCGCATGGCGTGGTAGGGTTCGTTCATATTCATAAGTTTGTCCCATCACTTTTTCTTTTTTGGCCTGGCTGGGCGTGGCAGGGATGATGCCGAATGAGAGTATATGAGTATGTGAGATGAGATCAGAATAGGCAATGAGGAGTGGCCTGCAAGATTCGAAAAACGGGAGAGGATTCATCATGGAAGATAAGATGGTAGGGTTTAGATGACATTGCTGCAAGAGCAAGAGAGAGAGAGAGAGAGGTGTGGTGGTGGTGAAACGGGCGAGTAGAATGTTGTTTGTGTGTAGCGGGTGTGTCGTCTCTCCATGGGAGGATATATTCAGTACATAAGTACTGTTGGTATTGCCTACTTTGATCTGCTGCTGCGTGTATATGTATGTATAGTTACTACCCCCGAAACCCAGAGCAACACGTAACTTCAAGTTGCTTATTCAGGCATTGCCGCTTTGCTCACGCGCTAATGCTTGTTTTGCAGATGCAGAATGATGGGTGTATGTATGTTACTCCTTTGTCATTGTGCCTGGTGCCACTAGTGGTTGTGCAGTTTAAGTAGCTTCGAACAATGAATGCATAAATCAACTTTCGAAGCAGACAAAAACAGCTTCCAGGGGCGATAAGAGGACTTTTAAAAGCCGGCCCCGATCCTTTCCCAGTAATTAATGCACACACTATTGGTTGTGCGATATGACTTTCAGCAGGGCTACGAGTGCAGTGCGAGTGGTGCGATCCGTCCGCCAAGCAGGCTGTAATTGCTGCACCCACCCAAGAAGAGGCACACATCAACCACTTCACCAAAAGGACAACGCTCATGCATTTCGAACAACACTGGGTTGATGTATCCTCACTGACGGTCATAGTAGTGCTCAGCTGTCAAGCGTTCTTAAGAGAGTTGTTGGGGTTCGTTGTACTAGCCTGGCGCTCAGCCACCTACCTGTGTGGCAAGGTCTAGGGAGTGGTAAACAATCGAGCAATGTCTCTACAAAACTTCTTTGATTGATCAATCTCGTAGAAGACGGCCTTTCCGGAAATAGAGGCTTGAGAAAGCTCCTACTAACTTAGCGCGAGAATCCTATCCTACCAAGCGTCTTGACAGAAAGTCTCGTCGCACAGGACTGTTGACAGACCTTGTATCTTTTACTCCATTGGCAACTCAAACATCTCAGTGCGCAAAAACTGACAGGGGGCGCAATGCATAACCAAAATAAAGCACATCTTCCATCACAACCCGGACTGGATCGGGGCCTGTTGACTAAGTGTGTCAAGATTCATTACGCAAGCTTCGAATAAACCCAATATAGAACAGTACTTCTGTGACACATTGGGCTTTGCGAGTCGGCGAATAAATGTACGAGGCTGCCGCACCTGCACACGTCATCCTTGCACACAGTATCACCTTGGAAATTAGGGAAGAAATAAGACGGAAAGTTTTACAAGGTGATGATGACTTTGACGAGGTTGAAATGCTCGGGAAATTGCTTTCTAAACTCTATGACTACTAGTCAGTAGGAACCGGCTTTTGAAGAGGAAGATACGTTCGCGAAGGACATAGAAGACCCCAATATCATGCCTGAAAAGAATTGGTGGAACGTGCCGCTGCAAATAAGTGACTCAACCATGGCCAGCGTGGCCATTTGTTTCAAATTGAGTCAAATAAACCAAATCAAATGCTTGGCAAATAAACCAAATCCGTGCTTTCGTCAACCCAAATCAAGACTTTGAAATTTGACAAACTTTGAATTAGTCGAATGGAATTATTGGTAGAACATCAGGGTTGTTCAATTCATGATGAAAGATAAAGACTTGGCGGACTCTTTTTGTGAGATGAAAATCGTTAACAGTCCTCTTAACATACTAGCTTACTAACATTTGACTTCATTTGACAACCGAGCCAAATCAAATCAAATCAAACTGACCTCTGGGATTAGATGAGCAAATCAAATGAGGGTCATAATTCTGGTTTATTTGATCTGATGCATACACTGACAGTGGCCTGACTCAAACTCAACAAAGATGCTGGCTCTATCACCCTGGACAAGACACGCCCCTGTCATGCAAAGATCCGAGAAAGAGCTATGCATATCTTCGAAGAAGTCTTCCAAAAACGCTATGATATCCTGTACAATACATGTCAAGCTTTCGTCTGATATCCTTTGGTATCAACAATGCTTCTCGATCCCCCGAATATTCAATGGAACAGCAGGGGCATTCGAGAGCCCATCCACGATCACCGTAACTTCATTGCATCCCACTGTAGCCATGCAACATGGAGACGAGTTATTGGGGAGCAAACCCACCCACCGATGAATACACGATGAAAGGACTGGTACATGAAGGGAAACTACATCGAATACGACGAGATAATCCCCCCGGGAGAGTGAAAGAACTCCTCGAGCCCAGTGAGCGGCCACCACAACGGAGGAAAACGGCCCCCCACAGAGAACAGGACACGCTGCTCGCCATGAGCAACCGAAGTTTCATGCTGCACGCGCTGCAACCCAAGCACACCGTGATTCAATCCTCGACCAGCTGAAGGTGCAGAACGCAACCAGTGTGCAGAATCAAGCAATTCAGCAGGTTCTGCTGCCGAGCGACAATACCAACTCAGGCACCTTGGGCCTTCCAATGCCAGGAACGTATTAACCTTGTGAAATAGACACTTTTGAGCGTTGTTACCATGTCGGAAAAGGTTCGCGGTAGTCACTGTAGACAGGCCTGGGAACTGGGGTGATATGTCGCAGGGTGGCGAGAGTGTCAGTCTCGGATGGGGGGATAAATATCCGGCACGGTGGTACAACTCAGGACTTCACGATGGTCTTAGAATCTTATACTTAATGACCAGTAGAGCGAAAACATCTCTTGCTTGGCAAGCTTCTCGATAGTGCCTTTGAATTGAATGAGGTGATAAGATACTAGTACTAGCCAGCTGACAGTAGCCAGTAGTTAGCGGCTGAAATAATGTACCTAGGCAATTGAAGCCGTGGTGAACACAAAGTATTTTTTAGCCAAGCGTTTTTAAAGTTACAGCAGACAAAGATGGGTTTTCGGGATCGAGGGTGTATACCTGGGAGATTGATCGGGTCTTTGTGCCATCGGGCTGGAAGCTTTTGCTTTGATTCTCGGTCTGTGAGATGTGTGGATGGGACTGGAAGGGATAGGATCGGCTTTTGAGATTCTCCCCTCAGAGATTTGTATGCGTTGCGAGATCTAGCGAAGGCTTTGAGATGGAGATTTTTGTGAGATAGTTTCGGGGTCAAATGCGAAGCCGCTGAAAGTATTTATGCCGAGGCCTAGGCCTGGTGATGGGCGGAAGAGTTGGTGACCGAGGAGTAATTGTGATTGGATAGCTAGAGGCATTGAACGCAGCATTAAGCGTCAGTCAATGCTCCGCTGCCGGAAATGAAGCCGCCTCCAATGTATGAGTGTGTCTCTAACGTGACCATGCAAAGTGGCACAGCAGCAGCCGCGCTGCGTACTTCGGAGTGACCCTTCTGGATCTGAGGGTAAGTTTATGAAGGGAGCTACCACTCCCTTGCTTGCTTTTTCGATTGGGACGTGGCACCTGAAACCCGCAAATACAGCTCAGCGGTGTGTTGATGGAGGAACCGGGAATTCCCTGTCGTTGTGACTGTTTCGGAGACTCTCAATCCCAATCATCGTCGTCTTCTTGCACAGCGGCGCTTCTCCCAATCTGCTGCCTAACAATCTCCTCGCTATCTCTTCTCTTCATGCGAACATCGTTCTCCTTGATTGCTCCAAGATCCAACAACATCCTCTCGAGGTCTGCAACGCTGGTTCTTGGGCCGTTGAGCTCTGCCAGCGTAACGATTTGCTTTCTAATATCCCCGTCTTTGTACACCAAAATGGTAGGTGTATTCCGCTCTGGATATCCTTCGATACAGAGATCCGCCCGCATCTCACAGAACTTGATATCGCCATACTTCCTCGCCATTCCTCTCCAGAGCTCGGTTAATATCCTTGACTCGACATTTGTGCCCAGCGACGATGCCAGATGCACAAGCACCCAGTATTTCGAACTCGCTTCCGTCACGTCTCGAGCGTAATCTGGTTTCTGGATTCCATAGACTTGGCCGTGTATGCTGGTCTTCTGCAACGTGGATAGTTCTGCAAGGCGTTGCTGCCGGTACTTCTCGAGGAATGTGTCATCTTCTTCATCTTCGAGGTCGTGGAGCTCCGAGAGATCTTTGTCTTCGAGGCGGTTTTCATGAGCCCGCTGCTGGGCTGAGAAGAGAGCTTCTTGGATTATGGGAGTCGGGGATGGGGGCTTTTCGGGTATAATTTTGTGGGCGCGGAGGATGTCATTCCTAGATCGCTTTTAGTTCATGGGAAGAGTGGCTATAGGGATAAAGCATTTACCATTCTGTGTCGGCATTTGGATCGTCCACGGGAACATTCACCGGCATATCCATCTTGTGTGGGACTTGTATTGTAGGGTGTTAAGATGTGCCTGGACAAGATCGAGGTATTGGTATTAAAGCTCTTGGCCCGTTGCATTTGCACTGTTTGCAATTGACAGCCACAAGCTTGGCGCGTCAAGCTGTTGGACTGTGGCTTGACCGCACAACTTTTGCAAGGACACCTCAACTCCATGCTGTTGCGGAACAGAGGAACGGGCTTCATGATCACGAACAGGGAGTGCGTGTCGCCGATCGACGAGTCTTCGCCATCTAACCAAGAATATATATGCATGATAACTTCCGCCCTTCACGATATGATCGTGCGATAGCCCTCCTACAGGAAAGTTGAGCCTCTTACTCCTCCCCGGGCCTGAGCCTCTAGCCGAAGATACTCTTTCCTGTCTACACCCTACAGAGGAGCCTATAGTCACAATGAGTTACGCAAAGAAAGATGAAGATGCAGATATGCCTGGCTTCAAGCTGGATCGCACCTCTGTCTTTCAAGATGGTAAAGAAGAGATTCCCCTTCCTGCCCTTCTAACTGACCCAACACAGCTCGCCTGTTCAACTCCTCCCCAATATCACCACGAAAATGTCGAGCACTACTTACGAAAATTGCTGTTTTGTTGTTTACTGGAGAGAAGTTCCCAACCAACGAGGCGACAACACTCTTTTTTGGTATTTCGAAGCTATTTCAGAACAAGGATCCCTCGTTACGACAGATGGTCTATCTGGTGATCAAGGAGCTGGCATCTACTGCGGAGGACGTTATAATGTCGACAAGCATCATCATGAAAGATATGTCGGTGGGAAGCGATGTCATATACCGTGCAAATGCCATTCGGGCCTTGTGCAGGATAATAGATGTACGTCCTAACATGAGTGTTGGAGTGCAATGCTGACTCTCTAGGGTACCACCGTGCAAGGCATTGAAAGGCTGATCAAGACCGCTATTGTTGACAAGACGCCATCGGTCTCTTCGGCTGCCCTAGTATCTTCTTACCACCTCCTTCCGGTTGCTCGAGATGTCGTTCGAAGATGGCAGAGCGAAACCCAAGAGGCCGCCTCGTCTTCCAAATCCTCCGGTGGATTTCTTAGCTTCTCAACCAGCGCACAGCATTCTCTAGCAGCCTCTAACACCAATTACATGACTCAATATCATGCCATTGGTCTCCTATACCAAATGCGCTCGCATGATCGCATGGCGCTTGTGAAAATGGTGCAGCAGTATGGTCAAGCAGGGGCTATTAAAAGTCCGGCGGGTGTTATGATGCTGGTACGGCTGGCGGCGAAACTGGCAGAAGATGATCCAAGCCTGCGAAAACCGATGATGCAGATGTTGGACGGTTGGCTCAGACATAAGAGTGAGATGGTCAATTTTGAGGCGGCAAAGGCAATCTGTGAAATGCGAGATGTAACGGATGCAGAAGCAGCTCAAGCGGTTAATGTGTTGCAGCTATTCCTGACATCTCCCAGAGCCATCACTAAATTTGCAGCCATCCGAATCCTCCATAATTTTGCAACTTTCAAACCTCAAGTCGTTGCTTCTTGCAATACTGATATCGAGGCTTTAATCTCGAACAGCAACAGATCAATAGCAACCTTTGCTATTACTACGTTATTGAAGACTGGCAACGAGACTAGCGTTGATCGGCTTATGAAGCAGATATCTGGCTTCATGGCCGACATCACAGACGAGTTCAAGATAACCATCGTGGAAGCTATACGGACTCTTTGCTTGAAGTTTCCGAATAAACAGGCTGCCATGCTCGCTTTTCTGAGTGGAATTCTGCGGGACGAAGGAGGCTATGAATTCAAAAGAGCTGTTGTTGAGAGTATGTTTGACCTTATCAAGTTCGTTCCTGGCAGCAAGGAGGAGACATTGTCACATCTGTGCGAGTTCATCGAAGACTGCGAATTCACCAAACTGGCAGTCAGGATTCTGCATCTGATTGGTGTGGAAGGGCCAAAAGCGCCGCAGCCCACAAAGTACATCCGATACATCTACAATCGGGTGGTTCTAGAAAACGCCCTAGTCCGAGCAGCTGCAGTCACAGCACTGGCCAAATTCGGTGTTGGCCAGAAAGACCCCGAGGTCAAGAGAAGCGTTACAGTACTTCTTACTCGGTGTCTTGATGACACTGATGATGAGGTCCGAGACCGGGCAGCTCTGAACCTGCGGTTGATGCAGGAAGAGGATGAGGTGGCTGAGCGTTTTATCAAGAACGACTCGATGTTCTCCTTATCCACATTTGAGCATCAACTCGTCATGTACGTCACATCCGACAACAAGAATATATTCAGCAAAGCTTTCGACCTCTCAACCATCCCCGTCGTCTCTCATGAACAAGCACTCGCAGAAGAGCGCACAAAGAAACTTCACACAGCCACTCCGACTCTCAAAGCACCATCGACAGGTCCTACCAAACCTCAAATGAATGGCGCAGCGGAGAGAGGAGCAAGCGCCGCAACAAATACACAAAAATACCAAGAAGCTTTCGAACGAATACCAGAGCTCAGAGCCTATGGGCCCGTTCTCAAATCAAGTTCCGTTGTTGAACTCACCGAAAGCGAAACCGAATACGTCGTCACAGCCATTAAACATATCTTCAAACAACACCTCGTCCTTCAATATGACATCAAAAACACCCTTCCCGACACCGTCCTCGAAGACGTTTCCATCATTGCCACTCCAGCCGAAGAAGATGAACCCACCCTGGAAGAAGACTTCCTTATTCCGGCCCCTAAACTCGCCACCAACGAGCCTGGTACCATTTATGTCGCTTTTAAGAACCTCGAAGAAGCTTTCCCCCCCTTCCCAATCACCTCCTTTTCCAACATCCTCAAATTCACGAGCAAAGAAATCGATCCCTCGACTGGGGAGCCAGACGCCAATGGCTACGACGACGAGTACGAAGTCGATGGACTGGACCTGACTGGTGCAGACTATGTAGTCCCTGCTTTCGCAGGCAACTTCGACCATGTCTGGGAAGGTGTAGGCGCGAACAATAACGGCGAAGAAGCGAGTGAGACGTTGCAATTGGGCAATGTCAAGAATCTGAGTGGTATGTCCCTGTCGCATCTTGAGACCTGCCTACCATATTCTACCTACCAATCCCCATTGTTTCCCCATCCCCGTCCGGCCCCCATCACTCTCCATCTACCGACCAACAAAAACTAACACCTACTGTTACAACGGATAGACGCAGCAGAACAGCTCCCCCAAACCCTCTCCCTCCAACCCCTAGAAGGCACCGACGTAGTCCTCTCCACCAGCACCCACACCCTCAAGCTGTATGGCAAATCCGTGCGCGGAGGAAGAGTCGCCGGCCTGGTCAAGATGGCCTTCTCGGCCAAGTCCGGCGTCACGGTCAAAGTGTCCATCCGGGCGGAGGAGGAAGGGCTGGCGGCAAAGGTGGTGGCAAGTGTGGCTTGATCCTTGATCCTTGATCCTTGGTCCTCGATCCGTTTCTTGGGGGGTTTCTCTTTTCAGATCGAGTGTTGAAGAGGAGAGGGGAGGGATATAGTGGAATCAAGTCTGACTGTTGATAGCTGGTGGTTGAAGTTAGCAGCAGCGGTGGTGGTGGTGGCGGCGGGATGACCGTTTGACCGAGCTGGCCGGTGGATATTCCATCCGATCACATCTGTTTGTTCCTCGCGTACGTAGGTAGCTAGGTATCTAGCCAGCCAACAAGCCAGCCAGCAAGCCAACAGGTAGAAAAGCCAAACGACTTGTGTCACAAACTTGGTCAAAAACCTGACCGAGAGGGTATTCATTCATTCATTCATGCAGTGGTCTGCAAGTTTCCTGGGAATACAAGCACAAGTACAAGCACGAGAACCGTCGCCTGTTGACTTAGGCAGACACCTGTTGGAACTTCTTACCGTATTAACAACCACTCTCACTGGTGAACTCGGCTCTGCATACTTCCGGATTCTTACGTTTCCTTGCATAAAAATCTATCTTTATTCTTTGGATTCTTTTAGGATCTATCAATCAATTTCCCAACGCAGCTACAGAGTACCAAGTTCGCTGCGTATTCCCTATCTGCCCATCTGCCATCTGCCAGCCATCCCGGGCGCATCACGGGACCCCATTTTTCCACATACAAGCACCCCCCCACCCAGGCGTCAGGATTGGGGCCCCAACCTGATTTGGCCTGGCCTGGCCTGGCTTGGCTTCACTCGGCTTGTCAGAGACTACTAACACGTTCGTCCCCGTTCCGGCTCTCTGCTCTTTCTGGCTGGCTGGTGCTGCGCGGAGAAGGGTATGCATTTTCTAGAAGTCTTGGATAAAAAGGGGAGACAGGGTGGAAGACTTGACGACTTCTGGTAAGAACTTAGAAGCAAGTAAGACGAGGGCGTTTATATGTCTGGCGACGTTTCTGGCATGTATGGCGGAAGCAGAGGCAGGGGGTTGCTGTGCTTTCACCGTCGTCATTCGTGCTCGTGCCTGTGCTGGTGAGGTAGTGTGACCTGATTCCTCGATCCGGGGGGAGGAAGGCCGCGTACTCTGCTCTACTCTGCTCTGTTTCGTGGCGGTGAGGTAGACTGTCTGTTTCTGTTTCGTCGACATTGAGAGATGGGAGCTGGAGCTGGAGATGGTGGTGAGATACGCCTGTGGTCCGAGGCAGGGTAGGGGCGTGTGGCCGGCCCGCTTCCCTCGGTGTGGTTTCTGTGGGAGCCAAGGTACCGCTCAATGTTGTCGTGAGACTCGGTCAAGCTCGCAGTCTGGAAAGGGCTTCGCTCTGTTTTGACTGGTGGCAGGTAGATACACTGTCTGTTCCATCGGGATGGAGAGCGCAAGCAAAAAATAGAGATCGTGGTGTTAGGATACGCTTGTGGCCCGAAGGTAAAAACAAGGCCTGTGTGCCGCTTCCTTGGTGAGGCTGGTCTGAGATCTTGCACTTTCGTCGTCCTCATTCTATATCCTAACAGAGCTCGCCAGTAGTTAGAGGGCTTTCATGTGCCACTCATCGCCCCCATAGAGCCGTATATATGTCCCTTGGTTTCACGCAGTTAGCCCACCTACTCGAGAAGCCCGTGGCTTTCCGCCTGCGTCTGTGATTTGGTCTGTTCCTCACTCCACCCTCCCCTCCCACTCCTCTTTCCTTAGCGCCCAGTCAACAGCAGCCCGTACATTCTCGACGATGATTCTTGGTTTGAGCTCTGGTCTCTTCCCGAAGTCATACCTACTCTCCCCCTCCCTAAAGACGCCCGTCTTAACCAGCACACTTACCCACTCCGTCCCCCGTTGCGATTTATGATTATTCGCCCCCATGATATCACTCTCAGGATTATCGCCTACCATGTAGACTTTCTTCAAATCTCTTATTGTCCCAGGTGTTGCCATCTCGGACCCCATCGTTTGGCAGATGAGATCCCGTCTATACCTGTCCAGCCTTTTCTCCGCGAACTCGTAAGTCAGAGCCGACGGCTTCCCAATCACAGTCCTTCTCAGCTCCGCGCCGTGGGTGAGGCGCCGCCAGATGCCCTCAAGTGAATGGATAAAGCCTCCCTGTCCCAGACGCGGTAGGTGCCACCCTGCCGCCCAGAGCAGATCCGGATTACTGAAATACAGCGGCGGCTGATCGTGCTGCTGATACCCGTTATTCGGCAAATCCTTATCTCCGTTCCTAGAGGATACAGTGCCCAGGATGCCGGAATCAGAGAGCAGAAGGTCGAGGACCAGCTGCGTGTCAAGAGCCCAATCTCGGGGATCGTGGAAGATGAGGACTGCGTCAATTTTGAGACTTGAAGAGGGAGATGTGGGGTTTATGGGTTTAGGGAGAGGTCGCGCGAAAGAGGAATAGTATGAGTCGAAGACAGAGGAGAAGGGCCAGATCTCGGGGTAAGAGGTGAAAATGTCGGCTGGAGTAATGACGGATTTGAAGCCGTAACTTTCAGCTACGGAACGGCATTGGTTACCTGAGCCGCCGATGACGAGGATGGTGGAGTGTGCTGAGAGACCAGCACCAGAGGAGGAATTATGGAGGAAGTCGGCATATGGGGTGTGGGATTGTATGAAATTTTGTGTGGTTAGCGGTGTGGTGAGGGAGAGGGAGCGCGAGAGGTCAGAGACGCGCTGAGATTCATGTTTGCCGCCCCCGTTGGTGAGCAGGATGAAAGGGATCTGTTGCTGTTGCAGGTAGGCGAGAGACTGAGAGGCGCCAGGGATCGGGGTAGCGGAGCGGAGTAGTACGCCATCGATACTGTGAGGGTAGAAAGCACATCAGTTGTGCGGCAACGTGTGCCCATGAACGCTGCTTACTCGAAGGCGAAGGCAAAGTCAGGAGGTTCCTTCTTTGCTGCTGGTGTACGGCCAGAGAGCTTGCGTGATGGCTTCCACCGGTTGGCTTCTCTGCATGCAGTCCCGGGGCACGGGATGTGATAGGGATATCGTCTTGCGTAAGAAAGGAGTCTCGCTCGCCGAGAGAGCATCCTCCTGTCAGTAAGCCTCACGGAACAAATGACGCTTGTTGAGATATTGGACGGGCATCGGAAGCTCTTATCGATAGATGGTAAGCTACCAGAACAGGAATAGCGTTGTTGTATCATTTTCGTTCCGTAATGTAAATTGGTACCAGTTGATCGTCACGTATCAAGGACAACCAGCTCCGGTGACAGCTACAATTGAATCTTGTTACTTTGACCCGTATCACTCGAGTAGGGGGAGGCCTGGAGTAATGTTAGTTCAGCCCTAGTACCATTACGTGTAAATCCGTGCTGTACAGAGAAGCTTTGTCTGAAGAAGTTAGATGTATTTGTTATATCACTCGATGTAGTTTTCTATCAGTCTCTACCTGTACCTCTACCTCTCCCCCTCGTTCTCCTGACTAAAGCACATATATGGCCATGTAAATTCGCTCGGTCCACCTTCAGTTGTAAAATACTCCAATTCCGCAAGCTCCCTTTTCCACACTTATGACTTCGAGTTGAGTCCCAGTCTCTTCAGCACCTCCCCTTGTTTCTCAGGCATCAACGCCCCCTCGGCCGGCCGGTTCTTTTTCTTGAACTCATCCACCATCTTCTCCATGGTGACCCATTCTACTCCCTCGTGCCCACTTATATGTTCAATCAGCCGTTCGTGCATCAACAACACATGTGGCCTCCCGCTCACATCTGGATGGATCGTCATCGGAAAGATGAACTCGTCATACTCCCTGTAAAAGTAATCAAAATGATCTCCCCAAATATCCTCCACATCTCTTGCATTCACAAAACCGTGACTGTTCGGCGCCTTCTTGATAAACATCATCGGAGGCAGATCATCCAGATACCAGTTGCCTGGTATTTCCACCATACCTGTCGGTTGGCCATGTTTCAGCGGCTTCATCCACGTCTCGGCAGGTTTATCGTAATCGATCTTCGTCCATTCATCCCCAGCCCGGAGGTAATATGCCTGACAATCATGGTGATTCATGCTGTGGTCGTATTCGATACCATAGCTCAAATATAGCTCCGTAGCTTCGCGGCTGACTTCCCACCAGGGTGCCACACTGCCTCTAGGTGGTTTTCCACCACAGAACTCAGTCAGCATTCGGTACGTCTTATCCAGGATGTCTTTTTGTTGCTGCAGCGTCATGGAAGATGGGTTCTCGTGGCTGTAACCATGCAGACCAATTTCATGGCCCGCATCGCGAACCATGGCGCATTCTTCCGGGAAGGTTTCTAGGCTGTGGCCGGGGATGAACCAGGAGGTTTTGATATTATACTTTTCGAATAGCTTGAGAAGGCGGCGCGTACCAAGAGTACCAGCGAAGAGGCCTGCTCGAGAATGAGTGTATTGGTAGAGTACGGGAAGAGGGTTATAGCAAGCATGTCCTCAAGAAGCCGAAACCCGAGCGAACTGGTTCAGGTTACATACCTCGACTCATATCACTTGTAGAATCCTCCCCACCATACGACCCCAACCAACCAGCGACTGCGTCGATATCAACGCCATAGCCGACAAGAACACGCTTCTTGCCCATTTTGGTGTTTCAGAAGCCTACTACAATACTATAGTGGTGATCAAGCGCAACAGCGTGGATCGTGGACCGACATACTACCAATTGACTGCATGTTCTGTCTGTTAGATACAGTTCGCTCTTATCAAGATAGTGGAAGCAATTGAAAATTGGAGTAGTTGGAGCGCACGAATTGATGACGAGTGCGGGGGAGAAAAAGTGTCCCACTCCGAGAACTGAGGTGATAGCCTTTGAAATAGTTGATATTTCGGAAGGAGATAGCTCTGGTTCGAATTCGATTGCCGTCGGAGTCCCTGAAGATGTGCTTCCTGGTATACACAACTGGCCTTTCAGAAAGGGCAATGGAATATCTCGTTCGGTTCAATGCGAGCGGATTTGTGCTTAAAAGTTGTCAAAATGAGACTTTCCGACGTCATTCCTTGATTTATATTACAGGAAGCCAAAATATCGATCGGGCGAAATGCCCAACCAAAAATTGGTACGTCTCAACGGTTGTTTGCAATCAAGAATTCCCATATAGCGATATGTAAGATTTTGGGACTGGAAGGATAATTTGGCAGAGGATAACAAGTCCAGAAAACTGTAGCCATTAAGTAGATGAGGCAGTCTTGTAGAATATCGGGGCGACGGTATGTGGTTGTTAGCCGTGTGATTGGATGAGCGGCATGATGGTCAACAGATCCCTCCGTGAGGATTCTCATCGAATCATACCTTTATGCCTCAATATTCATAGACCAGTTCTCGATTGTCATCAGCTTCTCAACCTGCACCAGCAGTTCAGAAGTCAGCTACTTCAGGCCTAGGACCACAGCCTTCTTCACCCTTGGGATATCAGGCAATATATTCGTAGTTACGCTCTTTCGTATAGCGATGTCCCCTGTGTAGTCTGATTCGAAGCCGCAAGATCATATCTCGGCGTCAAAGATGTCGTGTTGGTGTTAAGCATGACTATTTGGATATGTAAATGTGATCCTCGAGGCTCTTGTCTACCATGACCCTCTTTTCCGATTGAGCCTTTAGACAAATACATTTGTCAAGTGTTCGCGTCGAGTTCGAGAGTGGCTTCCGATACGGACTGGGAGTCGTTCCAATATTCCACACATCCGAACGATGAAACGAATTCAGCGAAGTCAGACGCGGCACATTGGCTGATTTTGCAGTTATGTTCATCGGTCAAGTTGTCTGGGCTATCGAGTATGCAAGAAAGGAAAGAAATCCATCCAGGGATTGACTGCTCTGCTGCCAATTTTTTGCAAAAGCTTCCCAAACAATGGACGGCAAGTCTGCCAATCAAGACTCCTTATGCTTCTTATGATCACTTCCAGCTCTCCTGGCGAACGGATTAATTAAAGGTCTTCGGCATCGGATTGAGTGTATCGAAAAAGGCAATTGTATGGAGGCTGGCAGGCCACAAATTATGGCACTAACGCTGTTTCGTGCTTTGAGTAGGTGCTCAGTCTATATATCACACGGCCTAGAATTTAAAAATATTTGACTCCTGTTCAGCGTTGTTGATCGGGTGAGGGTTGGGTCCCTGTTTCGTCCACCGAAGATCGCACAAATCTGCCTCCACGCCAAGACTTAGTCAGCTCACTGTCGTGGTCCGAGAGACTCAGTACCACTCGGTACCGCTCTTAGTTTGAACATACCGGTTCGTTATTTGCATGTACAGCAACCCACGCGAGAGCCTCATAAGAGCAGCAATAGTAAACAAAATAAGGACATATAAGTTCATTTTCATTGCATTATCCCTACCACCTATACTAGGCCAAAGGCAACATTTCATGTCATATAATCATGCTAGACGACAAAAAGTGTTACTCGTTCGGGCAATTTCTCTCACATCCGCTCAACGCAGTAACCGCAGACCTTGGTAGCTTTAACCTCGCCGACCAGAAAATCCAAGGAGAACGCCCTCGGTTTCAGCCTGCTCATCGGTGCTCGAAAGTCTGACTGCGGAGACAGGATCTCATATTTGGAAGTAAGTACAGAGCAGGGAGGACATGTGCCTTCATCCCAGTCATGACTGAAGACTGCGTCGGGCGTTGCTCATTCCTCCATGCGGAACATGTCATCCTCGTCCTCATCCATATTCATGTTACCATGATAACCCCCATGTGGCGTAGAAGCATTCTCTTGCATCCTCGCGTCTCGCTCATCCGAGATAGGTTGTGTCAAGGCATGAATACCCAAAGAATTGAACACCGTGGGAGTGGAGCTGTTTGCTAACAATTTGTTGGCAGACTGGTACTGCTCAGGCAGGGGCGGCACAGGAGGAACATCGCTTGACAGCTGAGTGGGTCTAGTCCTTGGCGTGCCAAAGTTCAGCAGCTCAGCCGCAGCGGCTAGGCCGCCGTCATCAATTCCCGAAGTCGTAGGGCGATGATCAACGCTAGGGAACCTATGTGGAGGAAGTCCTGGCGACGCAACGCTTTCGGCGAACGAGCTGGAAGGAATGGAACGGTATGAACGTGAAAACCCTCCACTGCTGCTGCTGAAGCGCTTGCTGCTCGGAACAGAGACAGCAGCATCGCTCATAGGTGGAGGAGTGGTCTCGGTTGAACTAAGCTCGTCTTGCGCTTCGGAAGAGCCGGAGAAACCGGGAGAAGCTGAGGAATACTCGCTGTCCTGAATATGAGAGATGTCAGGCGGTGTTGAGCCGTCAGCGTTCATGTTGACCAGCACACTTGCTGCCTCCAGAAGCTGGACTTGCTGATGCTTCGAAATCAACAACTTCGAGGTCAATGCCCATGCGGGATCGTGCTCCCACCTAGACATATCAGCAAGTTCCCCAGGGAGCAGTACCCAGACACCTACATATGCTTGGTCAGGCAACTGCTGTGCTTGTAACCTTTTCCACATGTATCACATCTCAGCTCTGAGGGCAGTCTCTTTCCCTCTCCTTTTGACAGATAAGCTCCCTCACTAGCACGTCTATTGCGACCTTTTGTGTTCATGGACCTTTCGACAGTATGCTCGTCTTCTACAGGATCATCTTCGATCGAAGCCGTGGACGGTTTGCGGTCTGTTGTATAAACATTGCTTGTACCAACAATAGGCCTTGAGAAGTATGTGCCCATACTTGAGGGATTGCCCATCGACGTGGACTCTAGACCTTTTCTAGATCCCAGACTCCGTCGATGAGATGTACTGTTCACGGGTGCCTCTCCTTGTTCTCGTAACGCAGCCGCTACTGCATGAGCAGTGCTACTAGCTGCGGTGGAGTTGACACTTTTCCGTCTGCTGATTCGATGTGTTGGGTTCATGGCGCCGAGAGATACGGAATGAGCATGCTGTCTGGAAGAAGAGGCGCTTTTGTGAGGAAAGCTACCAGAGCTCGTAGGGCGGGAGGTTGACCCTTCCTGCAGGAGAAAAGGCTGGTCAGCAGGGACCATTGGTCACGCGTTAGGGCCCTTCTCTACCTTGGAGGATGTCATGACTGCTCGACAATTATGATTATAATCACGACTCCCGCATTCAAGACCTGGAGTGCAGCCTTGAACTCGAGAGCCGTTGGAGCCAACTTTCACAATGTGCTCCGTTGGTTGCTCGCTTTCCGAAGCAAGAGCCTGAGCAACTGAGACTCGACTAGTAAGACGAAGCGTGTGGGGGGATTTGGGAATGACAGCGCAAGATTGACCCAGAGGAGAAGTTTCGGATAATTTCTTCAAAGCCAAAAAATCCCAAGGAAGCAAGGATGGGCGCTGTGCTCGTGAAGGCTGTGTGTTGTTCGGCGGGCGAGAAGGTGGGTCTGCGGGGTCTGACCAATGCGATTCCTGCTTTGCCGCGTGCCTGGCGTTTCGGAATCTGCCTCAGGAACTACACATGCCTGTTATACACGAGTAAGAGGTAGAGTGAAGAGGATGAGGAGTTTGCATCGAGGCTCATAAGATCAGAAACCAAAAAAAAAGAGGGAGGAGGTAGTAAGTTGTGGTTCGGAGTAAGTGAAAGAGGAGAAAGCTAAAGGGTGGGCAGCTGGTTGGTAGGCTGGTATGGGGGGTTAGGGTGGTGGTGTGGTTGTAGGCGGGACTAGTAGCGTTCCTGACTAAACGAACGAATGGCTGCGAGCCCAGAAAGCTGTCACTTACCAGGTTATTTTGACAGCCCAGGGAGAGGAATAGCTACATGAACTTTACACACTACTCAGGTTCGTGCTGGTAGCGAGGCTGCTGGGAGAACTTTCAATGAAGAGGGGTTCTACTGGACCATCAACTGCCATGGGTCTTAGAAGATGGTGTAGGGCTCGATCGGGCAAGTCGTAGGCCACCAACAATGCATCACGAGTCCAAGGTCAAGGATTTGGAGAGACTAGTCACGATTGACTAAAGGCTCTTCCGCTGCACAATGCAATAACTTGACCCAGGAAAATACCTCAGATCAATGCACCCTCCATTCTTTCTTGACGCGCCTCCAGAGCTCTTCGTAACAGCCCAGCAAGTTCCACAGCAACAAAGTTTCTGTCATGTAGCCTAGTTCATCACACCGGAGGAGCCACAACTTCGTTATGGGAAACCCAAATTTGCCCATTGTGCTTGTGATTTGCAAGTACGCACGGAGCATGTCGATCTCTAAAAATACCGGTTTGATTATTTGACTCGGCTGTACCGCGAACTACGCTGATCCGATGACAGGAGCCGTGACCGACGCAGGACAATAAATGATGGTGAATCTCGAACACACACGAGGGTAGGATGACCCTCTGCTGGTGACCCCCCGGAAGCAAGTTTGCTGCTCGGGCGGGTCACGAGCTCATGGTACTTGGTACGCAATCTCTATTGTGCACGCACACCGAGGACTTTGTTGACACCGAGTACCGGATCACGGATTCCGTTCCAGAAGCCTTTGGTCGCCACTGGCTTGCTGCATGCAGTCCATCGATATTGGCTCCACAATCCTTCCCATCGAGTCCTGATGTTAATGTTAGAGTAAGTATACTGCCTATTGTAACAACAACTGTCTCACCTGGATTGAATATATTTCAAGTGCAACAAGCCGGAAAAGAAACTGATCCTCCAAACATTGGCGCCGCGTGGCCCGCGCTCACCGGGTGATCAGCGTGTAGCAGATGGGTCGCAGGAGCTTGTGGGATGTGCTGCCAGAGACGATCGAAATGGCTGAACTTACGAATCGTTTTGGCAGAGCTGTTACACGAGCGGTTAAGCTACACGATCATCGTGATTCAAATCGCAAGCACGCCAAAATCAATAATTATTGCAACTTCGTAGCTTTGAAGAATGAATTGAATTTGTTCCAAGCGAGCTCGCTTCTGGCTGATAAGTGATAAGGTGTAAAAATCACCGGCTCACGGATCAAGATCGCATCCAATCTCCAGTCTTTTGTCCGGCTCGGATGGTCAGGCGCCGTCTTCTGAATGGCGCATCTCCATATATGGAAGCGAGACTCTTGGAAACCTCTATGTCACAAGCATCAATTTCAAGCACGATAACGGGACGTCCATCGAAGCGGTCCAGTGAAATTGAAGGTCATTGTTGATGTCACCTCTCTATCCAGAAAAATCTCACAACTGAATCCCAGGCAAGTGTTGCGTTGGAAGAGAAGCAAACCCCCCTCAACGCCGCTTTTATCACTAGTTCACCCACCATTCACCCACAGGCCAGCACCCCCAGGTGATTCGTGGGTGAGCGCCGCATGTGCCTCCCTCTTGTCCACAATCTCCAACATGGCCGTTTAGCGTCTACTTGTTCAATCAAGAGGAACGAGGGATTTCTACGTCCGACCTTCTTCTATACCCTCTCCAGCCCCTCTCTCTTAGACAAGGTGACCTCTCCTCTTCTTCTTTTCTTTTCATCTTTCTTTTCTGTCTAATAATACCATCAAAGTACTCCGTCCTATCTCTACATTCTCTGATGCTCATACTCTCAAAGATAGAGTGTCAACTCATAGTTCCTAGAAATCCGTCTCCTCGTTCTCTCAATTCTTTATTCTCCTTCCCGTTTCGCACAGCCCATAATAGTCTATAAGACGCAATCTTCAGTGCTGAATCCCCTCAGCGCCACAACATCCTCAGACTGGTATAAAGGGCCGACAGATCACAGCGGTTACCATAATCGCTTTGGCAGCGGCGAACGGTTATCAAAGAGCGACACACAAGAAAGAAGACGAAGCACGTCAAGAAGACTAGAAGTGATCAAGATGCTACACTGAAGCGTTATGTCATGTAAGGACAACAACCTCCATTCCAATTGCCAGAAAAGAGCCCCTGATTCAATGCTGACCACCGGCCAGCAGATGGCACCTCTCTGATAGGTAGCAAGATGCCGTCCAACGAGGATTACCCGCTTCAGGTAAAGAAGCCGCCCGGGAACAGTGTCTGCAGTCCAGAGTCACGGCCCCTGATCTTGCCACTGTAAAAGACTTCATGCTCTTCCACATTGTTCAGTTGTTTTTCGTCCCGGGTATTGCCCTTACTGCCTAGACGACAAAGCCTTGTCTGCGAACCCGCAAAAAGAATCATAAAGCCGTGATCACAAGCTCTAAAATCATGTCAATAACCATCTTCAGGGATGCTACCGGCCTATCATTAGCCCGCATCCGTATTACGACACGTCCCTCAAAAACGAAACGTCTTTCCAATTCCACCTAATAGACGACCATTAGTTCAGTCACACGTGCTCGGGGCATGCTCTCTCTGGTATACCTTAAACAGCCGTGTTGCAGAGAATCTATTCTAAGTAACGCTGACACACAAGGAAATCCACGCAAAAGAGGAAGCCCACTGACAATAAATATAACCTGACCCGGACGCTTCCGGTATTCCTAGGGACGGCAGACCCCCTAAAAGAGGCCCGGACCGCTAGTTCCACCGTCTGCACGTCCTTAGTCTTCAGCCTGTACCGCGATCAACTGTCACTCACCTTGGGCGCAGTTGCCGGAACGTTCACCTTCTACGGAACCCTGCCTTTTCAATAATATGCAAAGTAGTTCCGCGGTGAATAACGCATCTCTAAATCTAGAATGCCGACCGGAGACGTCACTATCCTCTGCACCCTCATCAGCAGATGGAGCTCTCAGCGGTAACAATATATTTTCGGATTTCATCCGCTCACGCTCCCCGAGTTGCTTGTCCTCTGCTACTGTCGACCATGGCGATATCCGCATCGGCTGAGATGGAACTGCAATAGTTGCTAATGGTAAATTTGCTGTAGTGATGACTACGATACTTGCCAGCGGCGCAGTAGTGGCTAAAATCGGCTCACAGTATACCCGCTGAGACGTGCAAGATACGGTTGGCGTGCCATGTCACCTGAGAAAGAATCCTTGTTCAGCTGGAAGCTGCTCCGGACATTGAAGTCGGGCTTCACTCCGTTCCGTTCCACCCCTGAGATCCTTCCTCCTGCTAGTAACTGCGCCTCCATTGACCGTGATATATTGCCTGCGGTATACCTACGAAGGAATAGGACGCGTTCATGCACCCAAGGCCAGCAAGCATATGCCGCTCAACCGAAGGCCGAAGCAATATTTATATCATCTGAGCACAAATCAAAGTCCAGGGCCGAAAGAGCTTTCGAGTACAGCAAGCCAAACAAGACGTGGAACCATGTGAAGGAGATGTTTTTACAGTTCGATGCACCAAATGATGACGTCCCCTGCCCATTTCATGTTTACATGGTCAAGAGCTTTACTCACTAGATGCAATGACCTCCAGGAGGCGTTGCATAGACTACCATAAGATATCCCCCTTCGTACAGCCAGGCCTATATTGTTGGCCAAATCCTCCTTTGCCTGGGTCCAGTATTCCCTTGATAATCGGGAATGGAGGTGTCAAAGTCCTGAATTCCTGCTATTCCTGTCAAACTGCTCCAAAGATCAACCAGGGTCATCGGCGATGATCTCTTTATCATCACGGGATCCAAGGGGCCTCCTTGTTCCTACGTCACTGACTTTGGTCATTAATCTGCTGAAAACGTCGAAGGGTAGTATCTCCAACGGTTCGTGAAACAGCAAGCGCTCTAACCAATCAATACATCTGGTCTTCAGTCCCGGCAACGGATCCAACTGGACCAATCACTCCCTCCCGATATCAAGCCGATCGAAACCAAAGAATGAACCGGTTTGCGACATTCCTTGCAACGAATAAAATCCCATTACTCAATTATCCTCCTTCAAAAAAATACTGCTCCGTACTGGACGAAGGGCATGACCAAGACGTCAGGTCATCAATACTCATACAGCGCGACACGGGCCCCGGGAATGGCCATCTTAACCGGCGGTCGGTCTTCAGCGGCAAGGATTGTATGACATTAATAGGTAATTAGGGGACAGAACAAGGGGAGCGCTCCGCTACTGACTGGCGTTTCGGGTGGAATCAGGGGTCTGTATGGTAGACTGTGTCAGATGCACCATACTAGGTCAGGCGTGATAAGTCGGATCAGGGGTGTTGGGGCCTGGGTAGCAGATTGATGGGGTGGCCGTTGACAGCAACCTTGCATGAAGGAACAACGGTAGAAGTGGAAAAGATTGCACGAGCCTAGGCAGTAACCAATTGGTGCTCCGTCTAGTATAGTGCCGTTCAACATATGCCAGTGGGCCAACCAGGGCAGAAAAGAGAGACCTGTCGATTCCCTCCAGTCCATCCAGCGTCAACTTGAACCTGCTCCTCGTCCTCATCGTCCTCCATGACAAACCCCGGATTAAATCTCCACTTCCTCACTCGTGCTCCAGCGCGCTCAACTTCGCGCAACGCTGATCATACTCGGATCCCCGCTCTCGACCTTTACCTTCTCCCGCACGTTGACTTCCTCCCCCCCGCGCCACATGAACGCCTCGCCCGTCTCATCGTGTGTGAGCATCTTGTGGCCTGGCCCGAAGAGTCGGTCTAGGGGGCTGAAGCCGGAGGAGTCGTCCCGGAGAGCGTGTGAGAGTTTGATCTGGGATTTGTGGGTGCGAGGGTACGGATCGTTAGAACGAGTGAGGCGTCATGCATGGTGAAATGGAGGGACAGATTGGGGTTCGAGGGCGGTTCCAAACTTGAGGCCGGGACGCTAGTTAGCCACCATGATTCCTCCGCTTCGGGTTCGGAGGAGGTAAGTGTCAGGCCTTTGAGGCAGGCGCGGGCGGGTCGAGTTGAGGTGCTCGAATAGGAGGCGTACTTGGCCGGAGATGAACCGCACAGAGGTAGATTGGCCGGTCCAACGGGTGATGTCGATTAGATCCAGTAAGGTGCTGAGCTAATTGGTTAGGTTGAGAAGGGGCATGAGGTTTACGGCGGGGTTGGGAGAAGTGGGAATTGGTTGGGTAAGAGCGTAGCGGGTGGAAGGGTAGGGAGGTGTTCCGCGGGGGACGTTTGGCGCGAGTGAATGCGTTGGCAAGCGATGGACTCGAAGTTCAGTTGATAGCTTGACAGAATACTCGACAAAAGAGTTCAGAGAATCGCAGCCATTGTGTACACAGAGTATGAAGTTGATGATTGATCGCTTGGAACATCAGAAAATGGCAAATCTCATTCCAACACTAGTTACGAAGCCTTTCACGCTCTCGGAGCGCAATGAGGAAAGCACAAGGATCGACCTAGGTTCTTGGGCGCCAGCAGAGCACCACATCCCTCTATATCCTCTTTAAGTGAAGCAACGAACCTTGGAATGATGCAAGAAGCCATTGCAGTTCTTGTGCCTGACGAGCTCGGCATGAGCAGCTCGAAAGTGTCTGAGCGGGGTTGTCGTACCAGTGGTTCTTCCTCTTCGAGCTTGAGCCGCTCAGGAGATATCAGAGGATAGACCCAGGTGGCCATTGTGGTATTGGCATGGGTAGGTCCTAAAATTTACAAGCTGTACCTGAAAGATGGGTGCTTGTTCCGTTCCGTCAACGCGCGAGAGAGCAGGCCCAGCAGGCTTGGCATCGCCAAGGTTAGGGCTGAGCAACTTGAACTTGAAGTGCGGACAAGAAGAGTGCGAAGTATCACAGCTTGAAATTTACGTTCTGACGCTGCTGGGCGCGTGGAGCGAGCCATCCTCGCAGCTGTCTCAGTCCTGTCCGAAGAAGCCTCCCTCCGCAATGCGTGCGAACATTCCTGAGCCTCAAGCCTTAAGATCGGTCTTCTGTTCTAAAGTCATTAAGTTGTGGAATCGGTTTCGTTGCTCTAGCCAAATGTTCTATTCAACAACAAGCTAATACATAGCTCCTGATGATCACCCAAGGTTCAAGGTATCTTCCAACTGATCGTCAGGCACAAGAAGTCATCAAACAGACCGGCTGCTTCTATCTCTAGGCCGAGTACTCCTTGATCCTTCCTCACCCGGACCTGTGAAGCCGATTTGCATCAGATTAGAGCTGCGTAAGATGTGCTTGAGCACTCCAAACTTGCTTCGAAGTCATCGACGCATGTATGCTGCCGGGATAGCGGGAAGGTCGAAGTCGCTAATATATTGGCAGTCATAAAGAGGGAGGATCGTGATTTCTGGGGCTGTTGCAGAACAAGAATTATCCACCATTCTGCGAGTCGAAATTCAGGAGTGAGAGACCACTAACCTTTGCGTTGAACATACTTGTGATTTTTATAGCCGATGTATGATCCAGCAACTGTGGCCACTAACGTGACCAACCCCAAAGAAAGGGTGATTATGTTGGTGGGCGTGAAGGCTGTTACTAAGTCAGCCGGGTGATTTCCGCATCTGATAGAGTATCACCCTTACTCATTTTGGACAAAAGGGTATTCGAGACGAAGAGAGGAACGCTTTTGTTTAGAAACATTTTCGGACGCCGATGTTGTGCCATTGGGGTTTCTTATGTAGCCCAGTGTCATGTTGGCCAGGGAGGCTGTGATGGTCAAGCTGACTGAATCCTGGAATGAAATACTCAGAACTGACAGTGGCGGCATACGAAGAATAGGACTTTTGCGACGGCAGTATCAGCAAAACTGGTGGAAATGGCTAGTCCAGTGAAGACCGCAGATGACATTTGCATGCACCAGAGTCAAAGTACAATACAATGGAAAGGGCTACTTTCGGGTGTTCGGCTGCTGGAACCGTCATTGGAAGTGGCTTGGAAACCAACCGAGATGTAAAATAGTACATTTGAGTCTGAGGACATCAGGGCGGGTATCACAACTCTTTGACGCCTCTCGTTGGTGGAGAGCAGAAGGCCGAGTCGGCCTTAGTTCGGTCCAGCATTGTGGGGTGGATGAGCCTGAGCATACACTCGAGTGACAGGCGGGGCATAATTCTCAATTCTTGCAAAACTACAATTTCAATTAGAGAGGTAATAGGATTGGCTTTGGCGACACCTGCAAAACTACTATTATTCTGCTTAAAGCTTGGCTTCGCATTTAGTCCGTACTACTTGCTAGTACGAGTCACGTAGCATTACGTTCGTAACTAACTACTACTAGTTAGTTCTTGTGAGGCTAACGTCTGGACTACGGGCCAACGGCGCGCACATACCCGGTAACTAGGCGGGAACTCAGAATAGGAGTTGTGTACTTGGGCCAACCATACTTCAATGTCTCCTAGATGGCCGGGTCCTTGGTGCGCAAGGCAGATTCACTTCTGCGATGGCGCCAAGCGCTCTAACTTTCGTGATTGCTTGTAGGAATTTAATTATCTCATTGCTTTGTCCGAAATATCAGCCTGTGCAACTTTATTTCTCTTTTCTAAATCTACTTTGTTTGAAAAACACTGAGAGGATAGGTATACATAATCCGCAAGAATTCACAATCTATTAGGCACGGGTTAGGCGCAGAGCGGTCTGTTAGAATGGAATATTCACTACCCAATCCACCTTTCACCGTTGGTCATGCCCCAGAGCTGTCGTATCTGGCTCAGAATCAAGGGTCCTCAAGCCAAGCTATAGGGCCCTATGGCATGTATTCAATACCAGAAGGGTCTGCATCCGAAACATTACTTCCAGCCACACGGCCTGCCTATACCGATACCCAGCTATTGCCTCATCCATTCAATCCACACCCGGCGCCATACGCTGCCGAGTCGCACCATGTCCAACCTTCTAGCGATATTCAAGATACACCCATGCTGTCGATGGGCCCACCAACCAATACCCGAAAGAGGAAAGCTCCGACATTGCGACGCAAGGCGTGGGAGCCTTACCAAGATCGTATCAAGGAGCTCCACATTACGCAGGGTTTGCCGCTTTGGGAAGTGAAAGACACCATCGAGAAGGAGTTTGGTTTCACAGCCGAGTAAAGTCTCTCCCTGAATAAAAGAGGATAACCTTTATATCAGTGAGAAAGCGAGACTGACCCTTATCAGGATAAGGCAATACAGAACGCGAATAAGTCAGTGGGGTTGGGACAAGAAAGTCAAGCCAGATGAGATGAAATCCATTGCAAGGAAACGGCAAAAGCGGAAGCTAGTTGAGAGTGATAAAGGCGAGCTCGCTTTCACCGTAAGAGGGAATCCAGTGGCCCCTGAAAAAATTGATCGATGGATGAAGAGGAACAGGGTTGGCGAAAGCACCTTATATGCCCCAAGTCCTGCTGCCTGTAAGAGGGTCAAGCTGTTATCCACTGGAAGAGCCACACTGACAACGCCATAGCTACCCCGTCTGCAATTAGTTGTTGGACAGTCTCCGAACAAGGTTCTCCAGCTCTGAGCCTTACTTATTCTGCCAGTACTCCGACCTTTGACGCGCCTTCGTTTGGCCAAGGTCCCCATCCCTCGTCCCCCGCCTCGTCTGTCTCAACCATCATTCGATCCACCAACAGCGCATTTACAGGGCAAAGTCCAGCTCCTATCTCATCTTTCGTAGACGAATCTATCTTTGTTCAGGAAACTCCGACAGCCCAACCTGATTCTTGGCCACAACATGGTCCATTCATTGGCCCACAGATGCAGACACAACAGCCTTCCACAGGATCGATCCAGTACCGATATGGGCACGAGGATGAAGTACGTCTTAGTCAGGAGCTGTCTAGGCTTGAAACTCTACATGGAAAAGACCAGCCGGAGACCTTGGACACGTTGAGTGAACTAGGCGAAGTATTTTTGGACCAAGGTCGATACAAGTCCGCAGAGACACTAATTCGACAATTAGTGCACGCCTGTCAAAAATGTTATGACAAAAATGACACTGCTACACTTCAAGCATTCGACTCCTTAGGTAGAGTATTGTACATGCAGGGGTTGTATCTTAAGGCAGAGAAAATTCACCGAAGAACGCTTCAATCTAGGAGGGACATACTAGGACAGGAGCATACAGACACACTGGTCAGCATGACCAACCTGGCATCAACGTACTGGAGTCAAGGACGGTTGCAAGAGGCTGAAGAGCTAGAGATACAAGTTTTAGAGACGAGAAAGCGGGTATCAGGAGAGGAACATCCAGATACGTTGAGAAGTATGTATTATTTGGCATTAACGTACTGGAGTCAAGAATGATTACAGGAGGCTGAAGAGCTAGAGATACAAGTTTTAGAGACGAGAAAGCGGGTATCAGGAGAGGAACATCCAGATACGTTGAGAAGTATGTATTATTTGGCATTAACGTACTGGAGTCAAGAACAATTACAAGAGGCCGAAGAGCTAGGGATACAAGTATCAGAGACGAGAAAGCGGGTATTAAGAGAGGAATATCTAAATACGTTAAAAAGTATGCATAATTTGGCATTAACGTACCGGAGTCAAGAACGATTACAGGAGGCCGAAGAGCTAGGGATACAAGTTTTAGAGATGAGAAAGTGGGTATTAGGAGAGGAACATCCAGATACGTTGAGAAGTATGCATAGTTTGGCATCAACGTACCGGAGTCAAGAACGATTGCAGGAGGCTGAAGAGCTAGGGATACAAGTTTTAGAGATGAGAAAGTGGGTATTAGGAGAGGAACATCCAGATACGTTGAGAAGTATGCATAGTTTGGCATCAACGTACCGGAGTCAAGAACGATTGCAGGAGGCTGAAGAGCTAGGGATACAAGTTTTGGAGACGAGAAAGCGGGTATTAGGAGAGGAACATCCAGATACGTTGAGAAGTATGTATAGTTTGGCATCAACGTACTAGAGTCAAGAATGATTACAGAAGACTGAAGAACTAGAGATACAAGTTTTAGAGATAAGAAAGCAGGTATTAAGAAAGGAACATCTAGATATGTTGAACAGTATGTATAATTTGGCATTAACGTACCAGAGTCAAGAACGATTGCAGGAGGCTGAAGAGCTAGGGATACAAGTTTTGGAGACAAGAAAGCAGGTATTAAGAGAGGAATATCCAGATACGTTGAACAGTATGTATAATTTGGCATCAACGTACCAGAGTCAAGAACGATTACAGGAGGCTGAAGAGCTAGAGAAACGGGAAACAGAGATAAGACAGAGGCTGCAAGAGAGAGGTAACTAGACTTGCGAGTATTTTAAAAACTTTGCTTGAACATTGTTGTCGTCATTAATTGGAACTGTGAGAGAAGAACTGTACACTTGAGATAGGATTCGATGTATAGTCAGAGTATGTCGAGAACCATTCCAGACTGTCTATCTTTCCGAATCCGGCCAAGGGAGAGGAACTAGAATTACTAACAGCAGTAAAAGGCAGAGCCAGGTGAGGGAGTCTGAATGGAGGAGGGAGCGTGGGAGCGAGGAAGCGAGGGATAGAGATAGGAGACTCTTAGGATGATGACGAATAAGGATCGTATCGCTGATATAGCCGTTGAATGGATGGTGTTGCCAGCCACTGCACTGCTCGCGCCACGTACAGATTATCGACTCCCAGAACGTCTGTGTCCATCACAGATATTATACGAGGAGAAGAGCATTCTTCATGGCGTCGTCAATAGTTGGTGTCGATTCTGTGCTTGTCAGAGTCTGCCATATCAGAGAAGTAGGGTACAACCCACAAAGGCGCTTCGGCCGGATATTTCAGGAGCCACGTTCACTCTTGGAATAACTCCACTGCTCTGCAGATCTGTGCTACGCTTTCCACATATGTAATGATCTTAGGTAGGTCTAAGAATCGGGTGGCCTTGTCAGGAAGCACACACTGAAGATTCAACATACTTCTCTCGATTCTCGAATACAGCTGACTTGGAAATATATTTCAGGTCGATCGATAGAGGCTCGAATGGTGTGAACATCCTCAAAGCCAGCAGACACTCGCACCCAATCCAGCGTGTGAGGATCTGGTGTGGCAGACACACCCAATACTTGCGCTGACACTGGTATTCGACTCCAAAGAATGCGAAGCTCGTTATATTGGGATCTAAACTCCTTCCACTCGGATACCAAATGAAGCTCATTAGTTGCGAGAAGGCATAGACGAGAGGAAATAGATCGGTATGATAACACGTCTTCATTAGATATGTTGGAGACTGCTGTCTCTGGACAAGTAAAGGCTGCAATTTGCATGAGTTCGGATTTCCACAGTCATCTTAAAGAAAAGTCTTCCGCACCCATGCGTATACAGGCTTTCTCTCATCTTTTGCGATTAATTTGACTTATTGTCTCACTGCATTCAAAACGATTGGATTGGCTAAAGGCACGTGATTTAGCTTCTTACACTATTCATCCTGCGGAGCTTTGCACGGCATGGGAATGAGAGATATCCCAGTGAGTCTTCAATTAATGGTGCAGCTTGAAAGATGACGCTCTTTCCAAATCCAGTCTTCGAAACAATAGGTGATGGATGACTTGAGGCTGTTGACTCTTCTGATCGATTTGAGACAGCCCCTGTGTCTCTGCTCTGATCATTTCATACTGTTCTGTATTTTCAGATTTTGCTTCCATAACTGACCATGCCAGACTAGCGCCAAGATGTCGCCAGGACAAGAAGTACTCTCAAATCTTACCAAGTTTACACGAGTGTATCCGACAACCTCTGACGGGTCTGGGCGTGGTGTAATGAGCTTTTGGGTGGTTTCAATGGGCTATGAGAGCCACCGGAGGCATATCTCGGACGTCATTGCCGATCGGTTATTGCTGGCGACTGATCAGGTCTTCTAGCTAAATGGGTACTAAAATGGTAGATGTAGAATTTTGCGCCAGCGACAGGGAATTATGCAGATTTTTGGCAATACATCGATAGCTAGACATCAAAGGTGCCGTTGATCATGTTCTTTGGTGAGAACTGAGGATGTTGGGGCAGTAATAGCTAATGTAGTCCACGAGATTTGGGTTGCGACACGACTGACTCGACTTTGCTGCCTGCGTAAACGGCCAGGGTGAGGTACAGGTGATGACCTGTGAGCTGGAGCGGCATCACTCTAGGCCTAGACGGGTGATGAGCCTGGAGAGGTTTTTCTTTACTTGGCAGATATCTACTGAGGCACTGCGCTCCTTTTGCACTGGATTGGTCCTATTCAGAAGATGGGTAGGCCTCCTCTTGACAAGAAGCCACAATAAGGAAATACATCAAATTAGATGCTGGCTAGTTGAGGAAGCCTTCCACCTCATTGCAACTGGCTCCTCAACTTCTCAAATCCGACAGCGGATTGCTGCCTGCCGCTTCTCACCATGGTGCCTTTGACCGCAGCGCAATTGAAGGAACATCCCGAATTTCCCAAGGTAATATGGGATCTACAGCCTACTAAGAAGGGTACCGTCCCAGTAGCAGAGGGACGGGGCGGTCCATTCGATATCTCTTATGAGATACATGGGACTGGGCATATCTGTCTAGTGGTGAGTGCTATCTCTTGAACCTGTAAAGCCCTGTTTTTAGCCCAGTTATCTCCTAGCTTTGATGTCACAAATTCATTCTCGGAATTAGGTTCCACATTGATCACTCCAAGCTTCATATATTGCTTTTTCTTTCTTGTCAATTGCCCTTCTCAATGCCAAGGCAATTCTCCCCAGTCCCTTCACCTCACCATGATTCTTCCACAACCTACCAACGCCCCTGTTCTCCCCATCTAGTGGATAATGGGACTCGGCGCCCTCAAAACCGCCTGGCAACGGCAGACCCTTCACTTCTCCCACGCCTCTCCCTCACGAACCAGCAAATATCAGTCGCTCATCTTCGACAACCGCGGCATGGGCGCCTCTGCCAAACCCACCCTCCGCTACACCACCACCGAAATGGCCCATGACACCATCGACCTCCTCAACACCATCGGCTGGACTTCTCCCCGCCAACTCCACATCATAGGCGTCAGCATGGGCGGCATGATCGCGCAGGAACTCGCCCTCCTGATCCCCTCCCGCGTCGCCAGCTTAATCCTCGTCAGCACGGCCGCCCGGCTCGAAAACACCGTCGGCTTCATCGAAAACCTGCGCCAAAGAATCAATCTGTTCATCCCCAAGGAAATCAACACCCAGCTCACGGAGATCAAGACGCGGCTTTTCTCGCAAGAGTTCCTTGATACCCCAGATGAGGATGGTGGGTTCCCAACCAACGGTGATAGATTCGCGGCTCAGGAGCTCAGTAAGCGCATGGACAAGGAAGGGTTTACGAGGAAGGGGTTCGTGCTGCAGGCGGTGGCGGCCGGGTGGCATCATAAGTCAGCGGCGCAGCTGAGGAAGTTGGCGGATGAGGTGGGCAGGGAGAGGATTTGCGTTATGCATGGCACGGAGGATCGGATGATCACGTACCACCATGCCGAGGTGTTGAAGCGCGAATTGGGGGAGGGGATTAGATTTGAGCGGTTTGACGGGAGGGGACATGTGTTGACGTGGGAGGAGAGGGAGGCTTTCAATCGGGTGGTGGAGGAGATGGTAGAGAAAGGCGAGAAATTGGATGGGTGAGAAGAGAAACCGTCTGCTCGCTTCCTGTCGCTGGGGTTGTGTTCTTGGGATGATCGATTGGTCGATTAGATAGACAGACATTCGAGTCTGATATTGATACACTGCTCAAGTACCTCTTAGATAATGTACAGATACATCCATCATGCTGGTATCTAGAACCCCGTCGATCTTCTCCTTCAGAGCTGAGATATCATACACCCAATGGGGCTCAAATCCAGCCCCAACCCAGTACCATCCAGAACGCCACGCTACTAAATGGGCACGCTGGGCTTCCCAGAGAAGGGAAATCCCCTCCCACAACCAGTCAGTAAAATGCGAAACCAAAACCCCACCAGCACCATCATGACGAACTCGCCTTCTCCAAAAACTCCTTCGCCTCATTAACCTTGGTCGCCAAATACGGACTGCCCCCCCTATCCGGATGATTGAGCAGCATCAGCTTCCGATGATTCTTCCGTATCTTGTCTTTGGTCAACGCCCTCTCCCTATCCAACACATCACATTTCCGTCAGTCTTTGCTGCACATGTCATATTCGGGCCCAGTAGAAGTTGTTTCGTAAGGGGGCGTGGTAGACGTACGATAGTTCCAGTATCAGGGCGGCTTCGCGACGGTTCATGCGTGGTTCGAAGCCGCCTTTGTAGAAGGCAGGGCTACGAGGCCGGCGCGGCCCTGAGGAGGGAGGGGTTGGTAAGTCTTTGTTGTTGCTGTGGAGAGGGGTTGAGAGAAGGGGGAAGGAAGGGGAGGGGAGGGGAGGGGGATTGTGTATGATGTACCAGGAACGCTGCGGTGGCCACTCCAACGCCGATTGCTATGGCTGAGGACATGGTCGTCCGAAGGTGGGGAGATGGATGTCTGGATGGATGAGGTGGGTTTGGGAGGAGAATGTGTCCTTCGTGTCCAGCGTAAGAGGGGCTATAGAAGGAGGAGATGGATTGCGGTTGTTCAGATATCCTTGCGATAGAAAGAGAGAATAAGATACTCTTGACGATGCCAAGGACTAAATCTTGGCATGACAAGCAAAGTAAAATCTGCTCCGCACTCACGTCGCTGCTCACACCCTCGCTGCCGCTTTTATCACCACCTCACCCACCCGTCACCCATCCGTTTCCCAGTCACCCAGCCCGAGTGAGCGTTACATCATTCTGTCTCAGAATGGCCGGCCAGTGGCGGTTCAGGGTTACCTGGTTCCACGTGGAAATCCCACCTTGAAAAGTCGCCCTTTTCTCCCCTTTTCTTTTGTCTGTCCTCCTCTCCCATGTTCCTCCTTTTCTCTCGTATGTCCTCTCTACTTTCTTGAGTCTCCCCATTCATTTCTCGATCCTTGAACTTGTTCGAACGGCTGGATTGCATCTCCAACTACAATCCGTGAACTGGCATGAAAGGCCGGCAAGTCACCACAGCTAACTCAATCGCCCAAGCGGCGGCGTACGGCTACAAGAGGGGGACACATCGGAAGCATAATGAGATCTGTCATCGTGAAAAGCATTTCAAGAAACTAAGAGAGATCTGTCAGAGCTGCTGTAGGGTAGGCGGGCATTGGATATCTTTCAGATATCGAGATATGCTTCTAGGCATGCGAATGGCATGCGTATAGCAGGCAACGAGAGTGAGCAATGGCAGCTACTGAGTCGAGTTCACAACTGATCGCTAGCCTTACAGAGACTTCCTGCAGGCTAGTTCATAGTACTTTGCCCCAAGCCTACTGATGATCCTAACACTTCAAAACCGACCAAGATTCCCCTTTCAGTGGAGCGAAGCGGATGACACGAGTCGGCGGGTTCGTGATGTTCGGAATCCGCTTTCATGTTTTCAATGTAGGTTCTTAGTTTTGGGCTTTCTTGAATAGGGCTATCGTTTCTGTTTCTTCGACTTTATTCTATCCTTCAAAAAGGTATTTAAAGTGCTCGGCATATAAAAACTTGTCTACCCAAAAAAATCTGCTTCTAAAATCGAGTTGCTGAAGCAGCCTCTAGCAGCAAGTACCCGAGCAGCTCGAAGCAGTATTGGAGCTATTTACTTAGCTCAAAGTACACCACGGTAGGTCATCACTACCACGTCTGAATCGTTACGTTGCCCCGGGGGTCAAAGCACTGACCAGGCCTTCCTTAAATCATTGCCAGGTGGACAACCTGCTTCATGATGAATGTGAAATTTGGACTCATCTACGAATCCTGCTGGAGTCTTTATTTTTACCGTACAAGGCCTCGATAGAGTTTCATCGTAGCATGAACCTTCACGGAAACATTTGTAGCATCTTGTTGGTGGAATGGTGCCAGCATAGTGCTCTCCCAGCAGGTTCGTTAGGGCTTCTGCTGCTTTTTGACTACGAGGCCGGATCGGTCTGACATCAAGCTCGTAAATTTGTGACTCCGCGTGGCCTCCAAGCAGGCTCCCTCAAGCTCTGCAGGCATAGGTTGAACCAATCGCGGATGGCGCCATTGCCGGAGCCGTAAAGATAGCCCCTTAAGTGTCTCATAGGAGCTCGCCTCAGGGGAATATCGTTTTAGGGTGCTCTAGAGCGAGAGAAGGTGAATCCGAAATGAGCGAGGGTGACTTTGAAATGCTTCGATGCGAGTTGTGTTCTGCTATGCGAGTATTTGTTATTTGCTGCATTGACGCAGATATTGGCCCGTTCGATGGCTCATTGATTCCAACGATTTCGTTTGCGCTGTATTCCAACGAGACCTCGCCTTTTGTGCAAGTGACGGCGAGGGAAACAATTCCATCGTCTTTTATTACAGTGTGAGACGAATCGAGTGTCATCCAATCGAAAGAATGTTCGAACCCGTCACCATGAGAGAGAACGCGGTCGATAAGAGCGGACCCCGAACAGAGTTCAGAAAACTTGAATACCTTGTAGGATTCAACAAATTTCTGCTCCAAATGTCTAGGAAAGCTGGATGACATATCTGGAGCTGATATTCCTGGCGCAGCATTAAGTGAGAGAAGCATACTGCCATGATCTTCGCTGTCCAGCTAGAGTATAGTAGAATATCGTATCATGGACCAGTCGGTATCTGGGTATTCAAGTGTAATGAGTTTCTGAATAGGTTTCAGCTGTACACCAAGAGGAGGAGGATAGATCAATGAAATTGAAAAGCCTTGATCCCAGAAAGTATTCAGGTCGATGTCAATACCAACCTGGAAAACCGAGAGTAGCCGCTGGTACCGGGGATCTGACGTAATGTAGATGCTTCGACACTCAGAATCGCTCTCAGGAACAAGTACTGGCACAGATTCCGCAAAACGCTCGTACACGTCTAGATCTGTACCATGCGGTATGAGAGGGTGCGCTAGAATTATGTGAGAGTGAGTAATGACGATGCAGTTGAGTGCAACCAGGATAGTATCACAGTCAGGCAGTGTCAGTGCAGGAAGCTTCATTAGAATACCCTTGTTGGTCTTGCCATAATGCGATGACCTCAGCCAGTCTGGTCGGTAGAGTTGAACATCTTTGATGTTATAAAAATTCCACGCTGATGCCGCTAAGCCGTTCGAAACGAATGCGAGCTTTTGGTTGGTTTCAGGATCCCAACGACTATATTTTCCATAGCCCCAAGCGAATGATGTGTGGTCGTCTGACCTCTCCATGATTTCGTGGCTGTAAGCGAATGAATGCCTTGGGACCTTCACCATAAAGCAAGGGCATGTTGACATTGAAAAGTCCTAACATGCATTAGGCCTCATCTTCTATCCTTGTCGTAAATCTGCGACTCGCCCACTTGAACTTCTGAGCAATGGAAACCTCCTCTGGCTGGAAAGGGTAGCGCAAACAGTCCACTGGGATGCCTCTGATAGTAACATGCAGAATCTTGGCACAATGTCTGAAGAATAGTAGAACTTCTCCAATGCGCCTAGCGGGGTCCAATCTTCAGCAAAAAATGTAAGATAGGGAGGTGCCAATAACTCCTGCAACGTCCAGCCTCGGGTGAGCCATCTGCACTTCTTTGCCTCCTCTAAGGATATATCATTTGATGGTATATCGTCAAGGAAGACTAGACAACGGCCTGCCAGACGGTACCAAGCATACATAAGAATTGATGGCTTCCGATAGTTCTGCGCTACTGCTCTTGTCGATACAAAATGGGTCAACACTGGTGACAATATGGGAGCGATTAGTGTCTTTACGCGATCTGTAATTTTTACTCTTAGTTTAAATTTCATTTTTTGGTATTTTTCTATCTCTCCAATAATTATCTAACCACTTATTCCACAACCTTTATTAGATTTATATGATGTATATTATATAAAGGATCCTAAAGGGGTGCCTTGACAGTGACTGAGCAGAAGGAACTTGGGCGCTATCCCCTCCGTGCCCGAACAGGGGTGTAGAATGCCTCAATTAGCGTCGTCGATCTCCTTATTTCGATGTTGCTACTGTCAGAATCCCTGCGCACACGATACGTATCTGTTACGTATTAGCAGGATGATACAGGGGTCCCCGCATGCGAAACGCACGAAACGCTCTTGTAACTTTTACGCCCTGTTATTTATGGCAGTGAGCATTGCTATACGAATTGAACGCCAAATGCTGTTTCTGAGCTGTTGCAGTAATGCGCTTCTATAGCTATTAGTGTGAGCAAATGCTCCTCTTGATAGGAGTAACTCAATCAATTCAATTGGTATCTCCGTACGCTATTTGCTACATCCTCTAACAGCTACAACTTTTGCTTGCTCGAACGCCTTTGATAGATATTCGGGAATAAGTGTCTTCAAGAGCAAAGCTTTAACTCACTTGTCAAATGATTTGTCTGATAATATATTCATTGAATGCTGGTTAGACGCTCTCCTTTGAGCGACCTTATTTGAGCTTAAATTTCACCAAACGCGCTAATTGAGGCATCGGGCACGGAGGGGATAGGGATGGCAAGCTTTATTCCCTCAACGCAGGTTGACGGGAAATTTATCTTCAGATCTGAAGGGCCTCTGCCGCCGCTTTTGACGGCACTTTTCCTTCGATGCCAGGATCAACCCTTGGGCCACAGCTTATATCAGAATCCTTGACCTCACATGATTAGCTTTGCCTAGCCTCGATAGGCCTTCTCAGAAATACAATTCGAAGGTTCCCAATAGGTGTCCCTTTCCCTCCAGAAACACCTGACTTTAAGAATATGATAATGGGCCTTGCCGTAGTCATGCCCTGTCATTTAAGAGCTCTCTGTACCCTCTAGCTCTTAACTGCTAGAGCACACGGTACGACGACGGCTCCTTTGAGCCTCTAGTACTTGTTGTCCCACTGGCAGGCCCTTTACGTCTATCCGTTACTCATTCGACAACTGAGTAGCTCCCGAGTTGAGCTACTGTCGAGCCTTTCTACTCAACTTCAATCCTTGCTCTGACTATCAGGACGCGCGGGTCGTGATCGACGTAACAATCTAGCTAACGGCTATACTGCGTCTCGTAGGCTAAACGCTACGGATGATGATGATAAGGGTTAGCATAGAGACTGTGGCACTCCCCTTTGTGCGTAAACCACCCGCACGCTGGGCGCAGGCCAATTGGCTGCCCTGGCCTGGGCGCTCAGTCTCGTCGGTGGCGAATCAAATTATGCCACATTACCTGAGACGCAGCCTTACACCCTCCAGAGAGAGATATAATGAGCGCTCTTGCGGAAGGTGTGTTTTAATTATTATCTTCATATCAGTGCATCACTACATCATCCGCAATCGAGGCGGCTAAATATAACTTGATCTTGGTCTTCTACAACTGTTTTCCCTTCGAGCAGACTTGAGAAGGTAAGCTGAAATTCTGTTTTCGCCTGTTCTGATACTAATGAATGTACGAGATGCCACAGAAATGCCCTGACTGCAAGGGTCTTGGGGAGGAAAATGAAATATGTAAATCCTGCGAAGGAAAGGGGGTAACCGGTAGCGGATTGGGTCGCTACACCGATTGCAAGTCTTGTGATGGAACGGGTACGAAAAAATTAGGAGTGGAGTGCGTTTTATGCAGAGGTTTCGGGATAATTTAGTACTTGAACTACTTCGAAATGGAAGTGAGGCGACCATAACCCAAAAGGGCCACCGCCTGAGGAGGAATTTTCGTCAACAACTTTACGGAAGTAGTACTGTACTTGGCACAAACTTCACGCAACTTGAAGGATTGACAGACCAAAGCGCCGCATTACCTTTTTGAGAGCTACTCTCCATAAGCCTTCAACCGAGGCTCTTCTTCACTGGGTTATTCAATGCTCGGCAACTCTTATCGCTCATCACGTCTCTGAAAATGCTTGTGAAGTCACACTGACGAAGTCTCCTGTCAATCTTGTGGAGTTCGAAGGTATTCGACGAGCGGTGTTGGAAACCCGGATCTACAGTTTAAAGATAATAAGAATTTTGTTGATCGTAGTAAGTGTCGTGATATTGTTCAGGTTCACTAGCCACTACTAGTAACGTACAGAACCACTTGCTGGGCCACCCCACTTGGCGGGCCAGTTTGCACACACTTTACGCAGTAATTCTACCACTCAAATGGGCCAATATCCACGTCCAATTAGGGAAATAATGAAGCTGGCGATACTTCCTATTTAAGCCTATCTGAGAGAATCCTGATGCGTAGCGAATCCTCTGAACGGTGCATAATTTACACTCAAGAGGGCGCCCTGCCCTCTTTGACAGCCTTAACCTCCTTAAGATTCCACGAATGCTGCACCCTCCCTTTTATTATGCTTTTTGAGCGCTTTTTGACCTCTTAATAATGTACTAGTGGTAACGTTTTCAAATGGAAAACATATATATAAATAGAATTAGGTTTTTTAGGATTTCGAGCCCAGGGGAGACTGTTAGAGGTGCTCCATACTCCTGCCGTTAGGCCAAAAGAACAGAATGATACGGCTCAGCCGGATCATGAAGCACAACCACTTATATAGTATTCTTGGCATTCCTGACAGCACTTTGACCAATTATAACGCTGATTCCCGCAGTCCGCATTTTTAAGCTTATTGTCGCAATAACCAATTACACGAGCTTGGCGGTGCTTTCACAGTAGATAGATGATAACTCTAAGCTCTAAGAATAAAGCCCCTTAAGAGAGAAGAATAATTATTATATTATGCTAAGACTGCTCAGCAACTAAGCATACTACATACGTTTAATACACGCATATATATAAAAGAAGAACTCTGCACTCTAGGAGTTAGAGTTCCTTTATCGTTTGACTTATTGAAGTTGAGAGCCCATCCTTTGTCGGCACTGCTGATAGTGCTTTATAACTGTTTTGTCACTAGGGTGTAACATTGATAGAACAAGTATTCTTAGACCACAAAGTGACTGGACTAGGAATTAAGAATACGTCATTTGAAATAAAAAACACAGGTTTTACAGAGCGCTGTCCGTAATGAGAGCATCCGGCTCAAGGAGTTGAGGGCTCAGCCCAGAACAACTGTGTGTGGGCTTTCCGGGGCCTCGTGCGGCTGCAAAGGAACACTAAGCCGCAAGTGGTGGTGAGTTCGGGGCAGATTTTTCTTTACTTGGCAGTATTCTTTGCCCGCGGCGCTTCAGAAGTTCCTGCCCTTAATTTTGACAGTCAGACACAAGTGGGAAGGATTCTGCAACCACGGTTTCGCGAAAACGAAAGAAAAGACAACGGCGTCGCCCATTGTGTTGAACTCTCTATACAATAAGTAGTCCACTACTTAATCCCAGTGCCGTGCCCGCACCCACGGCGCAATCATGAGGTAGCACAGCCCGACAATTGTCGCAACATGATTAACAACCCCTAACGTTAATATTCCAGAATCGAAACATGCCACCTCTGTTCGCGGCCGATCTACCCCTCCAAAGGCATCACCTTCGTGCGCAACGATGCGCGCACCTTCCGCTTCTGCCGCTCCAAATGCCACAAGAACTTCAAGATGAAGCGCCAACCCCGCAAGCTCAAGTGGACCAAGACCCACCGCGCCCTTCGCGGCAAGGAAATGATTGTCGACCAAAACGTCCTGCTGAGCCAGTTTGCGAAGAGGCGCAACGTACCCGTGAAGTATGATCGGAATCTGGTGGCGGCGACGCTCAAGGCGATGGAGAGGGTGGAGGAGATTCGCGCGAAGAGGGAGAGAGCGTTCACGAGGAAGAGGTTGTCGGGCAAGATGGCGAGGGAGAGGAGGAGGGCGGAGGATAGGAGGGTGGTGGCTGAGGGGGAGCATTTGATTGCGAAGGAGTTGATGGATCGAGAGGCGGAGAGGCCGTTGGTGGAATCCGTACAGGAGGAGAGAAGTGTGAGCATAGTGGTGGGAGAGGAGAGGGTGAGGACGAAGACGAAGACGATAACGAAGACAAAGATGAAGATGCTTGTCAATGGTGGAGTGGAAGAGGAGATGGATCTGGACTGAAATCTGTCGAGAAACTAAACGGATGATGTTAAGATGCTAATTATACCCACGAGCAGTTCGCTGGAGTTATATTCTATCGTGTAAACAATGGATCCGTCTAGGGCAACCTTTCACGCTCTACCGCATAAGATATCTGACTGCTATCTTGTTCAAAATTCCTACAGTGGGGAAGCCTTCGGTGTGTCTTCATTCAAGATCATACGAAGGGTGAGCCCTGGATATCTCGCGTGCCCTCGTGGTGACCTGCATGCTTTCCACTGTACTTGTATCTCGGCAAATGATTGAAACAGTCGAAAGAGTTTGAAAAAACGTTGCATCTCGATCTGTTCCTTAGCCTGGGATGGTGTACTCTGACCGATTTTTCTCTCCTTGAATCCCTGGAGCTCTTTAATAAGTCTTGTAGGCACAGCTCGGCTCTAGCAGTAAACTTAGCGCAATCCTGTGTCTTGATGGTACTCTTCGTCGACTCGGCCTTCATCCTTTGCTGTCATAAGACATAAAGGTAAATCTGTTCAATATACCTTCTCTGCGCGGGGGAAAAAAGTTGTGGATACAACATCTCCCACGTCTGATCTTGCCGATTTCGAAGCGGGACTCCCAAATAAATAGAGCTGTGTCACATATCGACAGTGATGATCACCACCCAGCTCCTTGGAATCATTCACCAGTACACCACAAGTTCCCGTTTCGAGGTCAGAGACTGATTGATGTAGTAAAATAGCGATATTCTCCTGGTGCTTAAGCGAATAAGAGTCACCGTCAGAGGTTTCAATACTGAAAGGTTGTCGAAGCCGGAACATTCAATGTCAATCCACCTAGGAGATCGTGGTTACCCTTGAAGTGGAGATCTTTCTTTGAGAGGATAAAGTCTGTGTGGATATGAAATCCCGTCTCATCTAAGGTTGCGAAGAATTCTGTCTCTCCTGCATCGCTAGGGATGGTTAGTTTCAATTTATAAAGGTTGAAGGAGCCGATCCGGAGTCGATCCGGAGCCAATCCGAAACCTGGTAAATCAAGACGTGGGTTGAGCAGCACCAGAAGGTGACTTAATAGCTCTGCAGTAAACGATAGATGGCGAGATTGCTTTCAGAACTGTCAAGATCGAGTCCGCAAAGGGTAACAACGCATATCAGCTCATCGGTTGGCACCGTCACGTTTCGAAGGCCAGATCATGGATGAGGGCGATGAAACGATCTTTGCTGTCATGGCCGTTCGTGAAGAGTGGCTTCAATGGTGTTTCGTCCCACCTAGCAATATTATCTTAATGTCCTGCTATGAATTCGGACACAGAGGCCGATCCAGAAATTGGATGTATAAGTTGGATGCTGGCCAGCCTTCCTGGAGCGTCCATAGACGTTTCTTCCATTCGGAGCCTAGAAGCCCTATGCCTCTTTCAAACCATCCAATGCCAATTTGAAGCAAGTGACGGCTAACCACGAGCACTCTATGTGCTACTTGATAGACGTGCCTTAGCTTTCCCAGAGTAAATGCTTTATGTTGAGAATTCATGGGCGCAGATATAGCGTTATTCCAGAGAAGCGAGCCAGGACAACAGAGTTCTAGGAAGAGCTAAAACAGAAATCGTATTTGGCACAGTGATATGGAAGTGCTTGAAGGATTACCAAGGCTATGGGCTCGGACATGGCTTATTGCGATCAAATCTCTTCCAGTGATGTCAACAATGGTATACCTCCACATTGTAGTATGCCGACCAGGTCAGCTTCCTCACATGATACTTCCTCGTAAATGCATGAAAGAAACCAGCTGGCATGAACATGCTCGACTCGAACATTCGCGATGAGAAATTGTTTCGTATGACGGCAATACGCTTGCGACATGCCTCATTTCTACTGGTGCATTCTTTAGTGTGAGCGCCTATTGGCCAGGTTTTGCATGCTCAATCCATGGGTATTTATTGGTCAAAGTTTCCACTGCAATTTCGCTTCTAATTTTGCTGTACCGTAACGTAGCTGACCCCCTCGTGCAGCATACCCCATCGTGCAGCACCAAATTCCTACACCGCATTTTGAGATACAACTTCGAACAGCCACCATTTCGCCACCACAAGGCCTATTCTCTTCGGAACAGGTCCAAATTGAAGCTGAGCACTCTCTCTTTTTATTGATACTCAATATGGCTGATAAATATGCTAATTTATCAAGTTCTGAGCGCGTTGACGCAGCTGTCAAATTACTTGCTGAGAATCCCTCCTTAAGCATACGAAAAGCAGCAATTATTTGCAATGTTCATTCCTCCTCTGTTTCTCGACATCAACGAGGTCTTACACAGCCTACGAAGTAAGCATATCAAGAGCGACAACTACTTACACTAGCAGAAGAGGCTATTTTGATCAAATACACGCTCAAATATAATGATTAGGGTCTTCCGCTTCAATTTAAGCATCTGTCACGGCTGCCATGCTTGTCGGCCGCTAGCGCTAGGGCCGCCGGGTATTGATTGGCACTACGCGTTAGTAAGGGGCATGCTCGCTATATAGGAGCGACCCCAGTGCCATCCTCGTCGGCTCTGCAGTCTTAGGATAGCACTCAACATGGGCTGAAGATCTCGCGCACTCGTCGCCTGCTTCCAACGTGACACGTGACAGCATCTACGTCAATTTACGTTAGAAATCCTCTATCAAAAAGGCACTCGAATGACTCTAGGGTATTATTGGCACCAAGGGTTATTACAGCGTAATCTATAGCTTTAAATAGCCCTCTTATAGCCTATTAATTATTATTGAGTTTCTATTACAAAAGAGTTAATTGTAAGACAATAATTCACTCTATTCTATCAAATTCGTACAAAGTACTTAATTAGAAATAAAGATATCTATAATATAGATAAGAAAGGCTTTATAATAAGGGTAATATAAAGAACTTACGTTCTTATCTTTATTTATTAGAAATAAGTATTTATATATTAAGATAATAACAGAGAATAAATATCTGTTATTAAATATATATAAGAAGGTAATAATAGCAAGGCTATTATCTTATTTATTATCTTAAAAGGCAAACATTAGTAAGCTATTTAGTAAGATAATATTAAGGATTTTAATACTAAGATAGTTATAAATAAAAAAGGATAGACTAACAATATCCTTGCTATAAACTAGCTAATAAAGTATTAGGGCTCAACTGGTTAAGACAAGTCTCAACTAGAAGCTGGGTCCAAAGGGTTGGTTGGGTAGAACAGGAAGTGCAGTGAACAATACTAAGATGTCTTCAACTTAGGTATGAGCTGATAACATGAGTTGACTACGAAGACTATGAAACTATCTGGGAAATGAGCGTGCTTATATAGAGTAGGAAACTCGTGCTCTCAAGTGCTCACGACGGAACACCTCGTAGCATTGCTTATGCGGAGACGTCCTGGAGCGTTGCTCATGCGGAGACGTCTTTGAGCATTGTTCCCAAGTGCTCATGGATGAGCACCTCTGAACACTACGTCAGGAGCTACCGACCTTGTAGGCAGTTCAGGGTCCGGTAGACTTGTCCAAGCCTGTCATAGCTTCTTCGCAGAGCGCCAGGCAATCCCTTAGTGCCTATCTATGCTTAGCGTGTTCATGTGCTGTAACACTATCCCCTCCTCTTACTAGCTTGGTCCCACAAGCTAAAAGGGTGTCTTGCAATTTCTGAGGTTCTTTCAATTCTTCCTTCCGTGATGCCTCTATCTGCTTTGCGCATCAGCAAACCTTCCCCTCGTGTTCGTGGTCAGGCTCTTGCTGCAAAGATAGCCCTCTAGGGTTGTCAGATTGATATGCCTTGTTCGGTATGTGAGCGTGACAAGAAGCTGTGTTTCTTTTCGTCACATTCCTTGAAGTGTTCATATTATATAACGAAGGGTGTTCCTTGTGACGGAAACTATTTAGAGGATGCGTTCCAGAAGTTAAAGTCAGAGCGGACTCGTCTAGAGGCTGCTTGTTCTTACGCTATTGCGGAGGTGTTGCGCTCTATTGCTGAAGCGGCGAGTTTAGATTAGCGCATTAAGTCTTTGAAAAAGGCTCAAGGTCGAATGATTAAGCGGGAGGCTCGTTCCTTAGAACAGGAAGAGCTTGTTCAAGAGTCGCAATCCAATGTTGAGTCCGGGTTCCGGCAGCAGTAATTCGCAAGTGTCTTAGGGCTGTAGGGTCGACGCCCTTAACAAGCAGGAGTTGGCTGCTCTAATGTCTTTTTCGCCTAGTCCGGGTTCCGGCAGCAGTAATTCGCAAGTGTCTTAGGGCTGAGGTTTGTTTCTGGTTCCCATGTATTTTCTGAGTCTGTGTATCCTGACTATTTAATTAGATAATAGGGTTTTCTATTAATGTCTTGTTTGTCTAAGACTTTTTCTACCTTATACTCTTAGTCTTAAGTTTTATTATCTAGTTGGATTTCTGTAAGTCTTGCGTTCTTTAGTGCTAGTTCTAATAATAAGATATAGAATACTAGGTGTATTCTTATCTTTGCAGATAGTTGCAGTTTATATATTATCTTTCCTAAGACTCTCTTAATTAGATATAGTTCTAATTTTATGTAGTCTAATTTCGAACTTAGTTATTTAGTCTTAATGTTTTTTCTTAAAAAGTAGACTACGTCCCTCTCTTTAAAAGTTAGTCCTTTAATTCTTTTAGAGTTATAGTATATTACAAAACGTGTTATAATAAATTTAATATCTCTTAATAAT